TGAACCCTCTTTTCTCCTTTTACCCAAAAGCCGCCGTTTTACTCTTTTCTTCATCTCACTTCTTTTTTTACTAGAGAAACAAAAAAGTCAATAACTGTAAAACCCTATCACACCATCTAACGCCACCGCTTTCACCACCGTCTGAATCTCATGACTCTGGTCGGTTCTTAAAAATCAACAACGCCACCTCACACACTCTATATCTTCACTGCCTCTCACTTCACTATATCCGTTTGTAATCATGTCGTCTCCTCATTCAATCGTCTCAAATTTTCACGATTCAATTTCATCTTTTTCTGGGTTTCTTCTCTTGAAGTGCGGAGAAGATGAATATATTTATATGTGGACACGACTGTGTGTACATCTACCTGTGGACACGATCGCGAGTTAACACATATTTATCTAGATTACAAGTGGACACGACTGGGTAGATGTAGACCTGATCGCAAATTAACCCGTAGGTATATTCATCTAACACGTAGATGTGGACACAAAGGCAGATGTGGACTAAATCAGAGGTGTACACGACTGCGTGTACATCTAGATATGGACATGATCGCGAGTTAACCTATATTCATCTACTCCGTCGTGTATCAAAGGTAGATGTGGACATGCTCGCGAGGTAACATATACCTTGGTCAGTACAAAGGTATATAATTTCTAGATATATTCATCTAACACATAGATGTAGACATAAAGGTAGATGTGGATATCTAGATGTGGACATGATCGCGAGTTAACACATATCTTGGACATGATTAAAGATATATGATTTCTAGGTATATTCATCTAACACGTAGATGTGGACACAAAGGTGGGTGTGGACTAGATCACAAGTGGACACGGCTGCGTGTACATCTAGATGTGGACATGATCGCGAGTTAACTCATATTCAACTACTCCGAATTTTCGGATACATTTAACTTGGATGGCTGGCTATCCATATGGATGCAGTTTCATGGATAGCACTAGTATGGACATATACGTTTATTAAAGAATAAATAGATGATAGTTGGATATAGTTAACCACTTTGATACAGGTGCATGGAGGACAAACACATGGATAGTTGCAGTTCAACAACGGCCTCGCACTTCAACAACTTAGAATAACATGTGGTCGTAACAAAGTGCCTTTGCTTGTTATCAGAGACGTTTGTTGCACATCTCTTCCGGAATGATAGCATAAATACGCATGAAGACTACATACCCACAGACGTATATCCATAAACATAAATCCAGAAACAATACACAATATGTACGCATATGACAGTGTACACTGACCCATCACCTCGTTCAAATATACATGTGTGTCCACTACCACCTATCCATTCGAGGAAAAAAGTTTTCAACATTCATTTTCTGTGTCCACGACCACCTGTCAATACATTATTGTGAACGTTTTCTGAGGAATGAAATCATCGATACACCACGCGGGTGGATGATCTGATGTGGATGCTTTGAAACGATGTCAAGTTAAACCATATTTCTAAATTTTGTGTAGATGATTTAGTTTGCAATGAAACTTTTAGCCATCTTTATTCTTAATCATCTTAATTGGATGTTTATAGACCTCCTTATGCCTGTATAGATTATTTAATCCTACCTTGTTATCTTTGTGTTTGATATATATTTTGAGAATAGTAAAATACAGAGTTTGACAATTTATAAAACTTAACGAAATGCAAAGCCATTTTCTTAAAACAAACCTTTGATATGCTTTTCCGATAAGTAACTTCAAAACCTTTTCAAACATATAGCTCGTCTCATCCTTCTTTGCCTTTAGATCTTAAGAAATGTTATACTCATAGATGTAGCCCATCAAAAGGACATTAAAATGTTGATACAAATAAGAACAGGAAAGCGAGAACATGCAATCATGGATATATGAAAGTTGAAACTGTGGATACCATCAAGAGCAAAAAACCTTGAACATATGGACATAAAACCATATATACAATCAAGAACAATAAAATGTGGGAACAATCTTCTTTTATCAATATATAACGTTTTATTGAATGCACAACGACATTATGTTTAACAATAGAGATAGAAGGAAACAACAAATTCTCTTGTATCACGTACTATCAATTAATGTGAGTCAAACAATTGAAAGTCATATCCATACAAACCCGTCCACGAGTCACAATCTATGTGTTCAGTATATTAGTTGCTTCAATGCTTGACACTCGATATTACATATGAGCATGATGAATTAGTTTAATCTGAGAATGTATTACATTTGTGTATATTTCTATGCTAAAACTATGGCAATATTATTGTATTTTAGACCTCTTCACTGTTTACAGTCTACTATCAATATACAAGTGTATTCATGTGGTTGTATCTTTTATGTTTATGATTTTGGAAACGGTATGCCTAGTAACCCTTTCGTTAGTATTTCGTTAGTATGTCTTTCCCACAAGTTATATTAGTGAAACAAACTTATTTCACTTGCTACACATACAAATTCGATGGTGAGGTTTGAGTTTCGCCATATCCATTCATATCCCAAAGCAATTATCCAAACAAAGACGTCCAGATGGACTCAAAAATATCTGGACACAATTGCGTGGACATCTAGACGTGGACATGATCGCGAGTAAACTCAGATTTATCTACTCCAAACTTCAACAAAACTGATATCAGATATATTCAGCTTCTCCTCACTCCAAGAAAAGAAACCCATATACGATTTATCTCGCATAATCTTGTTATTAGCTACGTCTTTGAAGTATTGAAATCTTTGGAGGAAAATAGGGAAAACTTTTTCCCAACAGATTGAAATCTTTGGAACAATTTATTATTATCATCTAAACCGCCCATTACCACATATACGCAGGCATCCACCATATCATTACCACGAAGACAAAATAATCTGTAATATCCCACAATGAAACTGCTACATAATATTTTGTTAGTTTGTTGCGTATCCACACTGGCTAATCCATAAAAGTAAAGTCCAAATGTGCGTCATCCATTGTTTGTTTGTGTCCAATATCACCTGTACATATCTTTGTCCATCAATGACACTAAATCTCAAACCCAAAATTATTATTAGTTATCCACGATGATCAATCCATGATACTAAATGCAAAAGTATCCATAAAAAAAAGTGTGCAACATCCATATGCAAGTATATCCACTACTCCTTGTACATATGTACTTATGCTATTAGTTACATGTTTTCTGTTAGAACTTGAAACTATCGTTACGGCGCTGCTTCGGTGTTGAAAATCTCAATTTAGTGCTAGATTTAGATTTGGAGGAGATAATTGTTAAAATTGCAGAGGCAAGAGGCAAAATTGGATGTTATTTTCAACAGCCCAAATTTTCTCAGATCAGCAGCTTCTTCATCATAGCCTCTCAGAGCAAGCTCTTCTTCTTTGTCTTGTTATGGTCTTCTTCCTCCGATGCCGGTGAAGAGTTCTTCCGTAACGGTAAAAAAAAGTTCAGAAACGTTGATAGCAGTAAAATTCATAAAGAAGAAAATGAATCCAACTTAATAAAAGGCAATTTTGAATTTTCATTCCTTCAAAAGTGGTTCAAAAATGGGCAAAGTCACTTGGAATGGAAAATACTTTATTTGTAATAAAACTTTGTCAAAGTGCCTTTAATATAATTTTCTCATGAAACAATGATTTAGCAACTACACATTTTCCTATAATATGTATGCATATACGTTTGTACGAGATTATTTGGAAATATCTAATAATTTAGTGATCAACAGATTCAACACCTATAAAGTAAAAAAAAAAAAACGATCATAGCTAGAAGACCCTAGTTCATATAAAAATACCAAAAGTATAGCACAATTTATGTGTTCGAATATGCATATTCAACACAAGGTAGCAAGTCACTAGTGAGAATGGTGGCGGTAGATATAGATGGATAATCTTATAAGCCAAGATTATATGTAATTTTCAAAACTATTCAACATAATACACCCGTTTTTCATTTGTTATTTATTTATTTTAAATGTTAATTTCTTGGCGAGATGTTAGGATTTAGAGGACAAGATTCCAACCATTCTCTACAAACAAGTGGAAGAACAACATGTACATGAGCGAGGCAGGCACACGTGTGAGGTAAACCAAACGGGCTGTTCTATTAATGGGCTTTGCTTATCGGCACAATGTGATATTGTAAACTATAGCCTGGTGTATACATATATAGCTCTGAACTTCAAAATGAGGACTTGTTCTTGATGGCTGTCAATATGATGGTTATGGACCGAAACCAGTAAGTCTAGCTAGATTCGGAGACCAACAAGATGGTGAATGAATGTTCAGTGGATGATAATTTGAGCTTAATGTCGCAAACAACATGTGTGACTAAACTACTAACATATTTAAGGGCTTTACTTAACGTCCCAAATATGGATTTAAAAACAGTGTGTATTTTACTATACACATGCTTCAACTATTATTGATCAGAAAAGTACTATTTAAACATACAAATCTCAAACGGCGATCGATCACTAAAGATCACGATCTTTTGGGTCTTTGACCATACATTCTATGCAAGATTTGGGATATTCTTGATAAACAACATTTCAAATTCCAGAGTATATATGTGACATGCACTGCACTAGTTGATACTGATCAGAAAAGTATTATTTTAACATACAAATCTCAAACATCGATCGATCACTGAAGATCACAATCTTTTGAGTCTTTGACCACACATTCTATGCAAGATTTGGGATATTCTTGATGAACAAAATTTCAAATTCCAGATTATATACGTGACATGCACTAGTTGATATTGATCAGACAAGTACTATTTAAACATACAAATCTCAAACACCTATCGATCACTAAAGATCACGATCTTTTGAGTCTTTGACAACACATGCTATGCAAGATTTGGAATATTCTTGATAAACAAAATTTCAAATTCCAGATTATATAAGTGACATGCACTAGTTGATATTGATTGTTTACTTTTGATGTAATAATTCTCACATCCTTAAAAAAAAACGACCAAAGTGATCAGAAACAATGGCAGATTCATCAGCACCATTGTTGACCTATACTGAAGATGAAGATACTTCCCCGCCTTTGAATTTCGACAAGATTTTCGAGCAGAGTTTGTCTGATTTCGGGTTCTCCCAGTTTCTACAGATAATTCTTATCGGGCTTGCCTTTGCCTTTGATTCGCAACAGACATTCATCACCGTCTTCACAGACGCATATCCCACGTGGCACTGTCTCGACCACACCATTTGCAATCCGGCAACTACCGACATCTGTGAGATTCCACGGTCTGCATGGGCTTGGGACGGCGGATCCAAGGGTATATCCGTCATTTCGGAGTTCAATCTCGAGTGTTCAAGCTCCTTCCTCAGAGGTCTTCCCTCATCAAGCTTTTACGTAGGTTCTATCGTTGGAGGGGTTGTCATGGCTATGATCCCAGACGGTTTCTTGGGACGGAAGCAACTTCTTTTCTTCTCCACTTTTGCCATGTCACTCACTGGAATCACTATCTCCTTCTCCTCCAACGTATGGATCTACGCGATCTTGAAGTTTGCTATCGGATTCGCTCGTTCCCAGACTGGGACGTTCGCGCTTAATCTAGTATGTGAACAAGTATCCACCAGACTGAGACCGAGAGCTACTATGATTCCCTTCACTCTGTTTGTGTTAGGGTTCCTGTCACTGCCTGGTATCGCCTACCTTGTTCGACACGACTCCTGGAGAGTTCTCTATCTCTGCACAGCCGTTCCTGCCGTCATCCACAGTATTGTCCTCTATTTCTTCGCCTTGGAGTCTCCTCGCTGGCTCCATCTGCAAAGGAAGAACGAAGAAGCCATTCAAGTGCTCAAGAAGATTTCACCTGCAAAGAGAGATTACTTGGAATCAATATCTTATAGGCTGTCTCGAGAAGAAACCTTGGAACAAGCTCCAAGAAGCTCGATCAAGGACTTGTTAAGCCGAAGATGGGCTATTCGAAGAATCGTGGTTGTTATGATCATAATGTTTGGTTTGGGAATGATGTATTACGGAGTTCCATTAGCGGTTAGAGACATAAAAGTAAACATCTATCTGAGCGAAGCCCTAAACGCTTTGGTGGAGTTACCGACGTTTGTTATCACACCGATCTTGCTAGAGAAGTTCAACAGAAGGAGCTCTGTGCTTGTCAATTGCTTAATCGGAGGAGCATTAGGAGTGTTGTGTTTCGTCCTGACCCATTTTGGGAGAACAAACATTGGTCTTGCCCTCGAACTCGCTTCTTTCTTCTGCGCCAGGATCGGATTTAACCTAATGTCGGTTTATCTGGTTGAGATGTTCCCAACATGCGTGAGGAATTTCGCTACAACGATGCTTAGACAAGCGCTTGTACTTGGAGGAGCTTGTTGTCCGATCATTGCTTCAATTGGAAGAAATGTTCCGTCACTATCTTTCGCGGTTTTCGGGACTGCCTTGGCCGGTCTCGGTTTATTTGTTTTGCTACTTCCTGAGACAAAAGGCTCAAGTCTTTGTGATACAATGGAAGCACAAGAGAAGAGTGACCAAGCCTTGAAGACTAGCCCTAGTTGTTGAATTTTTTTGTTTCGTAAAGTATCTGTCCATTTAAAATTTTAAAGTTTCCAACCGTTCAGTCCAATTTCGTTTCCAGTTTTGGGTGATTTTTAGGAATTCAATAAGAGATTTAAGATATAAGTGAGATATTTTTTCTGCTGAAATTTAGAAATCATGGAGAGGAGCCCACTCCATCGACAACGTTGATAAGATTGTTCGGAACTAAAGGAGACGCCATGTTAAGTCAATTCCAACCACGAGGGAAGCCTCATGTTTTGGTTTTACACAAGAATTCAAGTTGTAGTTTTTTTTTAATTACTTTTTTTATATAAAAGAAAAATCATCAACTTAAATTTTGAGTTTATGTGTAAAAAATGAAACTGAATACTTAAACAAAAGGGAGATTTGTAAATATAGGCAAAAAAATGGAACATTTGTCCCTCTAATTTTACTGGACTTTTACCAATAATCTAATCCCTCCATTTCTTTTTCGTTGTTGTTCTAAATTTTAACTAAAAGGAATGCTCCAATGATTGTGTAAAAAAAAAAACGGAGGGATTAGATTAATTTATAGTCAAATTTTTTTATTATAATGTTGAAATTGTCGAGAAAATGCCAATCAAAGTAAGGACTTCTGTGAATGATTGTCTTTACATTGGTCATTATTGCGCCACAATGGTTGGAAATTAGAATTTTGTATAAATAGCTTTATTACTTGACACCGGTTATCTTACATAATGGACTTTACTTAAGAGCATTTGCAATGCAGAATGAAAGGCTTTAAAGTGAAAACATAATAATAAAAAAATTAATAAAGTGATAAACTCTTTTTTTAAAGAGCGATTTTATTAGAAGAGCTTGTAAAATCAATTTTGAAGAGAAAACTGGATATATGTCACGGGGTTCGCCGAACTTTTTTTTTATCACGAAAATCATAAGTTTTAGAGCTCTATCAGCTATGCATTGTTCATAAGACTTATGTTATTTAATCAAAGTCTCCCTTAGCCCTCTAAGGAGTCAAGGGTTACATTTGGCATTAGTAAATAATTAAATGGTTACCCTTATTTTGATATTGATAATGAGTTTGAACAAGTAATCTTGCCGTGAATAGTAATTTTGGGGAATATATTGAATTTTTAGTCATTAATAAATGAGGATTCAAAGATGCTTATATAATTAAGACTGGAATAAGACAGAAACAATAGTTTAATAAGTTTTATATACGTGTGAACAACAGCATTCTCAGTATAGCTAGATTTAGATAGCAAAATTATACAATATTATATACGTTGTCCTCCTTGTTTTTCTGCACACGTTAACTATACAAGGAAGAGAATTTTGAACGAAAATTTTTAAACTTACGCCGTAGTACATTTCAATATATCTAAAGATAAGTATTTTAAAAATAAAAGTAAAGAAGTTCAAAACAATGATCCAAAGACAGTTGTGAATATTTTGACATTTTTTTAATGAAATTTAATGTTGAAAAAAAATAAAATGATTTTCGAAGCTACCAATTTCAAAATTTGAAGGATATAATATGTTTTCTACTTGTTGCTTGGTTGCTCTGACATGTACGACATATATAATATGATGTTTTTACATTTGTTCATTTATCTACCAACCGTAAAACTTGGTTTCTACTACTACAAGATACTTTGTGTTCTACAGTTTGATAGATTTCGTAGAATACATGTTCTACAGACTATACTGTCTTCCACAATCCGTAAAATCCATCTTCTACGATCATGCGAAAAATATAGCAAAATAATTTTCTTGGCGTGCTCCATTTGCACATGTGAACTGTACGTTATTGGCGAAAGAAAATAAAAGGTCCGATATGATTTTGATCAAGACGGCAAGATACGGTCCATGTGAACTGTAAATTTTTGACAAAAAGTCCAACCTCCGATTTGAATTGTAATGCAGAGCGGGGTCCTTGTTGTTAGTTTCTTTTTGTTTTATACTTGTAGTAAGCCGTAACCACAAAACACATGGCTAAAAAATCATTAACTAACTAGGAGAGAAGAAAAACACAGAACTGTTATGAAAGAGGAAAAGAGAAGAAGTATAATATATTATATATTTTTTTAGATTTTGATATATCACACATTTTAATTAAATGATTGAATTATATTTTCGAGGGATAAAATTGGATTAAGATTATTAGAAAGAGTATTTGGACAAAAACAACTTAAACAGATTATTAAAACAAGAGGTTCCTTTTTTTGACCCTTTTTGCCAGATGACATGGCCTGGATTTATGTGGAATAATTAGATGGAAAATCAAAACAAAAAGCCGCAAGAAACCTCCTGAGCCGTCGGACCAAATAAAGCAAGCCGCTTTGAAAAACCTTTCAAACTAAGTCTTTGTGAACTGTGAGACATTTAAGGCAAGTGCAAATATACAATACTATTTGTAGAATGATCCTAAGAACCTTGGTTTCAGTGAAAAATGGGCCGATTGATCTTCAAAATATGGTTCACCAACGAACGTGACAGAAACCAATAAATTAAACCATCCTCAACCAACTCCTCATGTGGATGATCCATGTCCATACCTTGCTCGATGATATGATTGTATGAGTTTAATAATTAATGCCATGTGGAAGTTAAGTTGTATGAGAGTGATGGGGATGCTCGAAGTCTTGGGTACAAAAAATAATTGAGAATGAGAGTGATGGATGATATCATTGCATGAGTTTTCATACCGTGAGAAACACGTGTGGCGTACTCACTTGGCAGGAAAATAATACAGATGATCGATCTATTAAAGATCACAATCTTGAGTCTTTCACCACACATTTATGCAAGATTTGAAACGTTCTTGATAAACAAAAAAATAAAATAAATCTCAGATTCCAGCTGATCACATACTAGCCAATTCCTAGTTGAAGCGAGCAACAATGGGCGGATTCATCGGCACCATTGTTGACCCATATGAAGATGAAGATACTTCTCCGCCTTGAATTTCGACAAGATCTTCGAGCAGAGCTTTACTGATTTCGGGCTCTCACAGTTCTTACAGATATTCTCATCGGGCTTTCCTTTCCTTCGACTCGCAACAGATATTCATCACCGTCTTCACAGACGCATATCCCACGTGGCACTGTCTCGACCACACGATTTGCAATCCGGCAACCACCGACATCTGTGAGATTCCACGGTCAGCATGGGACTGGGACGGCGGATCCAAGGCTATATCCGTCATTTCGGAGTTCGATCTCGAGTGCTCAAGCTCCTTCCTCAGAGGTCTTCCCTCATCAAGCTTTCTACGTAGGTTCTATCGTGGAGGGGTTTCATGGCGATGATCCCAGACGGTTTCTTGGGACGGAAGCAACTTCTTTTCTTCTCCACTTTTACCATGTCACTCTCTGGAATCTCTTTATCTTTCTCCTCCAACATATGGATCTACGCTTTCTTGAAGTTTGTTATCGGATTCGCTCGTTCCAGACTGGACTTACGCGCTTAATCTGATATGTGAACAAGTGTCAACCAAATGAGACCGAGAGCTACTATGATTCCCTTCACTCTCTTTGTGTTAGGGTCATGTCACTGCCTGGTATCGCCTACCTTGTTCGACACGCTTCCTGGAGAGTTCTCTATCTCTGCACATCCGTTCCTGCAGTCCATCCACAGTATTGTCCTCTATTTCTTCGCCTTGGAGTCTCCTCGTTGGCTTCATCTGCAAGGAAGAACGAAGAAGCCATTCAAGTGCTCAAAAAGATCTCACCTGCAAAGAGAGTTACTTGGAATCAGTATCTTATAAGCTATCTCGAGAAGAAGCCTTCGAACAAGCTCCAAGCTCGATCAAGGACTTGTTCAGCCGAAGATGGGCTTTCGAAGAATCGTAGTTGTTATGATCATAATGTTTGGGTTGGGGATGATGTATTACGGAGTTCCATTAGCGGTTAGAGACATAGAAAGTGAACATCTATTTGAGCGAAGCCCTAAACGCATTGGTGGAGTTACCGACGTTTGTTATCACACCGATCTTGCTGAGAAGTTCAACAGAAGAAGCTCTGTGCTTGTGAATTGCTTATCGGAGGAGCATTAGGAGTGCTCTGTTTCGTCCTGACCCATTTCGGGAGAACAAACGTTACTTTTGCCTAGAACTCGGTTCTTTCTTCTGCGCCAGGATCGGGTTTAACCTAATGTCGGTTTATCTGGTTGAGATGTTCCCAACATGCGTGAGGAACTTCGCTACAACGATGCTTAGACAAGCGCTTGTACTTGGAGGAGCTTGTTGTCCATCATTGCTTCAATTGGAAGAAATGTTCCGTCGCTTCTCTTTCGCGGTTTTCGGGACTGCTTTGGCCGGTCTCGGTTTATTTGTTTTGCTCCTTCCTGAGACCAAAGGGTCAAGTCTTTGTGATACATCGAAGCACAAGAGCAGAGAGACCAAGCCTTGAAGAACAGCCCTAGTTGTTGAAATTTTAGTCTCATAAAATTTGGTTTTTACTTTTTATATAGTATAAATCATATGTGAAACAGTCTTGTTCTTGTGGGTGGTGCGTCGTTTCAGAGTTTGACTTCGTTTTCAGTTTTGGTGTTTTGTAATAATGCAATAAAGATATTTAAGGTATAAGTGAAATATTTTTTTTTTTCTCCTGAAACTAAGAAATTAAATATTGCTAATCATCTAAAAAGCTATCATGTGAATGTCTCTGTCTTTGAACTACTAATACAGACGCGTTTACGTCTAAAGACGAAGCCAAGAAGTCACCGACAGTTCCAAGCTCTGGACATTCTTCCCAATCTTTCATTCTCACTGTCATAGGGCAGTCTCCACTACTCTTCCCCACCACAAACAGTGAATACATCTCTCCAATCTCTCTTAGAATCGTCAGTGTATGTGGTCCGTTGCTCACTACCTTCTCTATATACCCCACTTGCCCCGTTGTCACAAACCTATTGCATAAAAACATATGGTCAAAGATAGCTTCTTAGCTCAGTCAAGAGTCAAAACGCAGAGTATTGGTCAAAAACAGAGAATTAGAAAGGTACCGGTTATAGAATTCTTCTAAGAAACTCCGGTCTGTTTCCTGTTCGGTTTGATCTCTACCCAGAACGTCGATGAAAACCTCGTTATTATCACGTGTTGTCGGATTGCCAACCGGAGGCTCTGTCCTAGAATCCTCGGAGACAAACTGTATGACTGTGAGATGAATGAGAGTGTTATTCGCTAGCCACTTGCATAGAGCCAGAGCCTCACGATCATCCGGACCACCAAAGAACAACGCCGCAATGTGTTGAACTGAACCAAACCCGTGCGGCTGTTGAAACCCGGTTATGTTTCGGTCCACAAATATACCGATCGAACACGGAGCGTGCCTTAGAACATTCCGGTTCATCTGTCGGAAAGTTTCTCCGTCGTTTGTAGTCTTCCCATCGATCCTCTGATGTTTATGGAACGGAAGAAAGACGATCGAGACACGGAGATCCTCGGTTGCGTTACAGATCTCTTCGTGCATGTTAATCATTTGCGTCACAAGTTTCACCTGTTGGATCAAGATCTTGCTGTCTTTACCAAACGAGTCAATGGAGTCATTGATCTCTAAACCATCGTTAGTACCAAACTCGTCGTCTCCTCCTCCATTCACGTTTCCACCATCCTCGTCGTGCTCGTGATACAACAGTTCCGATTTTCGTTTCTTCGGGAGTGGTACGAGGTGCATAAGCAGAGGCGCGAAAGGCTTAGAAGCTCCACGAGATCCGCTCAGGGCAGAGACGAGAGAGATCGCACCGCGAGCACACCGGGCGCCGTAGACGCAGGATACAAGTCGTAACTCATCGTTCGTGTCGTGAGACTCAAGCGATGTCTTCTGGTGAGCAAAATCTTTCTCTCTTGCTTTAAGCAAGAAAGACGCAAGGACACCGCTTATTAACGTTGTGATCACCAAAGCAGCCACTATCATATCATGTATAGTTGTTGTCCACCATTTCTACAAAGGGATTCAGACAAAAAATAAAATATTATAAAATAATAGGATAGCCCTTGAGTTTTATGCAGAATAATAAAAAAAAAAATGCTGCATATTTGGTGTTATTAGATTAAAAAAAAATCGTTTGTACTAGTTATAATTTTGATTATATATATAGCAAATTATTTTTGGAGAAAATGAAAACTCAATGAATAATGTTGTGAAGAATAACCAGTTTAATAATGCCATGTAATATTGTAGGTCACTCCAATGGTTTATATGAAGACTATTTCTATCCAAAATGTTCTTAACAAATATATAATATGAGATCCTAAAACATGTAATTTTTGTTTTTGTGTGTGACTATTTTGTCGTGGATCATGTGCAATAACGTAACATACTCTACATGTGATTATAACAAGATTTAAATAAATGAAAAAGATACCTTATGGGAGAAGTTTGAGTCGAGAAGAAGAAGACCCACATGGCCTTTAACAGAGAGAATGGCTGGTAAGAAAAGCCAATACTTCTTGGGGATCTTGAGGTATATGCAAGCGCCTATTACACCAATAAGTTTCCCAGCTATGGTTAGAATCACTATTATAACGAGACCGAGGTAATAGCGGTTGGTCAATGCAGTGATGCTGAATCTGAATCCGATATAACCAAAGTAAACCGGAAGAACAAACTCGTGGATCGGGTAACTAAGTCGTTGGATCATCGTTCTGTGAGTTTTTCCTTGTCGTGGAAACATTATGCCAATGGTGAAAACCGAAACCGAGGAATTGACATCGTAGGATTCGATGGTTATGGCGAGGATGAGAAGGAAGATGAAGAAAACTAAGGTTTCAGCCTTGGAGAGGTATTTCTCTTTAGGGTTCCTCTTTGGGAGCCATGGAGCTAAGAACCTGTTGAGCAAGATTAGGGCTCCGGTTGCGAAGAAAAAAAGGAAAAGATCACCTATCATGGATCCATTAATGAAGGCGATGATTACAGTGTAGAGAACGACGTTTGTTAACTCGATGAACAATGCACACGAGATTGTCAGCCGTCCGATCTCGGATGTGTTGAGTTTCCAATCAGCCATCGAACGGAGGACAACAGGAGATGCCGTGTTGGATACGGTAATGAAAAGAACCATGAAAAACGTAAAGCGGTCTTCTTTAATCTGAAACAAAGGTATGCATAAAAATAAGAAGCCGAGGCTGAGGAGACCGCAAGCCACGAACGAGCTAAAGGCTATCACGGTAGCTTTCTTGAAATTTCTTCTCATGAAATGTAGATCGACTTCGAGGCCGATCAAGAACATGAAAGATGTACGTAAAGCGAATGAGAAGAAAGAGTAATAGTCTGCTGCATTTTTCTGGAGGAAGAATTCTTTGACTTTAGGTATTCTTGAGAGCAGAACAGGACTCAACACAATCCCAGCCTGAAAAATCCAATAATAAAAAGTTAGTCAGATATATTTGCAAGCCCTAAAAACTGGATGTGTCGTGCAAGGCAAGAAAGGAAAAACGCTTACGAGAATCTGAGCAACGGGACCAGCTTGACCGCAGGGTTTAAGAAGAAGATAGAACAATTGTGAGAAGACGAGAATGCAAGCCATTTGAATAAACATGGTATTGAGGGGATTAAATAATTCATCTCCCTGTGGCAAACAAAACAACAACTTCGGATCCATTTTCTTTGTCTTGATTCGATGATCATGAGCATTCTTCAAGCGTTATGATGACAATAAGATCAACAGCAAAAGTTCGTTTTGTTAAGGAAAAGAAACTCGAAAATGTTTTCTAGATCAAGAATTTATAATTTTCAGACGTAATTCAGAAACAAAATAAATTATGTTTATTTTGGTTGGAGTTGATAGGGATTTACAATCACTTGACCGTCCTTCAATTACTCGATGCCTCTATTTTTCCCTTAAAAAGAGGATTAAGTAGACTAAATCGGTAAGTTTACATTCAAAGTCACAAAACAGTTGGTTATTTTCCGGTCAATTATCATTTAACAGATTCAACGTACACCATAGTCCATAACTACATAAATTCTTTAGTTTTTTTCGTTCCTTTTATCTTTTACTTTTCTTCTTTCTACAATACTTTCTATTTATAATTTTTGAAAAAATGAAAAGATATTGTTTGTGATGAATCGTGTTTTCGTAGATTTTTCTAATATTTTCGTATAAAACTATGGGTGTTCCTGACACAAACAAACTACACATTAGCCTTGTTGTCCTAAACAAACTATAGGGGGTGAAAGTTAATTTCTAAACTGTTAGGGGTAAAAAACTGAAACCTAAGAACAATTGAGGAAAAAGCTAAATATATAGAAAAATAGGACTTCTTTGCATTTACGCTAAAGTATAAACCTGTAAATTGTCAAATGAAACAACAAAATCAAGAACCCTAAAAACCCCGGACCCTGAGAAAATCAGTAATTCGGAGGGAGAGAGAGAGAGAGAGAGAAAGATGTCGTTCGCTACATGGAGATGGCTAGTGATGAAGACGCGAGATTCGAGATCCTTCTTCTTCACGTTCGCCACTTTCTGCGGTGTCATTCCTGGCATAATTGGCTATGGTGTTATGCAAGTCACCAATTCCACTAACCCGGAGCTCGAGGCCCGTCTCCGGAAATCCGCACGGCCAGATACCGTCGTATGTATCTCTTCTCTCTCTCATGTGTAGCTGTGTAGTGTTTCCTGCATTTCTACCAAGACATTTGACCAAAATTTTGTGATTGGTCCTTGATCGGATTCGTGGAGACTTTGAGGTGATAAATTTATTCGTGAATCATCGGATCGCAAATATGTTTACTCGCAAAGTAAGTAGTTAGTAGTCAATGCAAGTTCTTCATTTGGGCTTTCTTTCTCCTGGTTCATGCTAATCGGAAAGCTAGATTATTGAGCTTAATGGTTACAATTTGTTCACTCATAGGCTCTATGGAAACGTTGATGAGTGAAAAATTTTCTTAAATGTTGAAACTTTACTTGAACATCTTGATGATTGTTGTGTCTCGTGCTTATGTTGCTTGAGAATTTGAAATCTTTTCTCACCTGGTACTCTGCAAACCGCCATGGCATTGAGTCCCTCTAGAGTTGTTTAGGCCTACCTTTGAGGATTGTATGGTTCGTCATATGGAGGCGCTGTTGCTAATAACACCAACCCATTGTTCTGTGTTAACTAGGAGTTTCATGTATCTTAGTTCTTGCTCTGCTTAACAATGTTGATTCTCAATTGAAGTTTCTTGATCATAGCAATATGTTAGTCTTAGGCTGATTGTCAAAAACATGAACATGTAGTGCAACTTTGGCTTTTGAAATTTTCAGTCTTTTTAACATATTTCTGCAATCTGTGGTCAGATGATGGGTAAAGTAAACCAAGAGAGGCTAGCTGAATACCTCGGTGAGTTGAAACAGAAGCAAGACACCAACGACAGATACGTGGCTGCTCTAAGGGGAGAGACTCTAACCAGGAAGCCTTATCAAAGAATCCAACCAGTGCCAAAGCCAGACGACACTGTGACGACGACAACCAAAGCTCAGTAAAATGATAAATTCTTTGTAAGACTCAGTGTTAACGGATACTTTCTTCCCACTCGAATCTTATGTTGATGCAAAGATGGCAATGCTACTTTCTTTTATTTGTAATCAGCAGCTTTTCTAACTGTTGAAGCATTGAATCGCTTTTATCATACATTTTGTTAACACCATGTTTATGTACATTGCTTTCTTCATTCTTGTTTGCAAAGTTAACATTTTATAGTACACACAGGAAACTGCATTATACAAGCTGATTCGTGAACATTGTCACAGTAAGTTCTAAAATGAAGAAAGATGGTATGTGCAAGTGTTTTTGTTATGTGTAGACAGCATCATCGATCACGTGTAAAGCCGTAGCCGGGTTATGATCAGTACTCTGCAGATAGGGCAATTTGAAATCCTGGAACCACACTCTTTACAAGTCTGCAAAAAACAAAAACTTTGTAGAAGTAAGTAAACTGGTTTTTGTTCATCAATGGGGATTGAGTAAAGGATGAAACTTACCGTGTGGCCACAGTTAAAAGCCACGTCTTTTCGGTTAGTCAGACAAATCGGGCAATTCTGTTTTAACAGTAAAACCAAATGAGATTGGAGGCTAGAAACAGAGTTAAAGAAGTAAGCAAATCAGTGTGACCTGTGTTTGTTCGTTTAATTCAGGTGATGGTAGTCCAGTAGTAATTGGAGGCGTGTAGGGAATAGGTGGTGGTCTCGGATTGATCTTCTTAGCTAAGCCCGTTTGTTTCCTTTTATAGATAAGAACAGAGGAAGCAGTTATACACAGCCAAAAACGGAAAAGTTCAAAAGCTCTGTTCTGTCAAAGAAGTACCCGAGTAAGCGGAGTTCGACTGTTGCTTGATACTGAAAGGGAATCTCCATGAGAGCAGCAAGAGCAAAGGCAGTTTCTTTGGCAGACTCTGGTGAATCTCTCTTCATAATCTCCGTGAAATTCACAAACTTTGCAAGAGAGAGCGATCAAAGATCAAGAAGAGAAGGGATAACAGATGGAGAAGAAAGATTGGAACTTTAGATGGTACCTGAAAGTTGTCGAATTCACGCTTAGGGATCTTATCATCAAACTTCCTCATGTCTTCCCATGGCCCGTCTCCAACACCGATTAAAACAATCGACAAAGCATACGAGCTAGCAAGGTAAAAAAAGTCAGATTCTGGAAAAAAAAAAACAGAGTTAAGGAGGATGAAGAAACTGATTGCAAGTTTTTTTTCACCTTGCGTTTACAATGGCGTCGATAGTTGTTTTCTCTTGCTGACTGAGTTCTCCTTCAGCCATATCCAAACCTCTCGTTACCTTCACATTCAAAAATGTGGCCATTTTAAGTTATTTAATGTACATACTCTTTTTTTGGTTTTGAGATCTTAAAAAAGCTTTAGACTTTACCTGTCCATCAGCGACAATCACCAGAACATGAAACTGTCCTCCGTTCTTCTCCACAATGTCGACCGCAGCATCGATGAGCGGTCCATACGACGTTGGCCCTTTAGAACAGAACACAAGGTTGAGATTTGGTAATGAATGTAGATATTTTACTAAAGAGGTAGTTAAAGACCTGAGAGACGCAAGTTAGGTGTGATTCTTCTGTAACATGCCAAGACTTCTTCAAAGCCGTGACATGGAGAGTTGTCACTGTGGAAACCGAACACTTCCTCGTCGTGTGTCGTTGCTGGATAACGCAAAGAAACACACAGTGTTAGGACACAAAAGATTGAAGATGAGTGTCTTTGAGGAAAGAAAGAAAAAAACTCACAATCGCCAAATCCGAAACAAGGGATGAGATTGTCTTCGTCGAAAGGAGCTAAAGTTTGGCCAATTACATAAATTGCCTTTTCATATGGATTCGGCTTTTCTCCGAGCGCGTGAAGACATTTTCCATCAAATGACGTTTTCCCTGAAAACAGAGCGATAATCAGTAATCACACTCTGTTGCATTAAAATGAAAAAGAAAGTGAATTTAGAATTTAAGATGTGTTTTTGTACTTACCAGTCCATTCGTTGCTCTTTGTGAAATCAACTCCGAGAATGAGATTGGATGATTCAAGACCAGCTTCTCTTAGAGCTTTTGATACCTTTTATGAAACAAACACAATTCGTTAACTCAAACAACTACTCTTCATCTACATTTTCACTTACATTTTTTATGATTAAGTTTTTTTCCAAATTATGTTTAAATCCCAATGTCAACGAAATGGATAAGAAATAGAAGAAGTAGCAAGTAACCATGGGGGATCCAAAGTCAAGTCAACACCAGAAATGGAGATTGAGATTAAAAAAAAAAACACGAACCTGATCAAGGGAAGAGAAGCGGTCAGGGATTAGAGCGTACTTCTTCTTGGTGGCGTTGGACTTATCGGATTCGGAGATTGCAGCAGGATCCGACGGTGATGCTTCACTAGATTTATCAGACGACGTCGTTGTTGTACCTTTAAAACTTCGACTGTTTTTGCTTTTGCTATTTCCAAACTTCCGTAAGAAATTCCCCATACCCGCAGACATCTCGTTTCGTCTTCTTCTTCTTTTCTTCAAAGTGGAATTTGAAAAATGGAATTTGTTTTCTTCTTTTTCTTTGCCGGAATCTTTTGAGAAAGGCACCAATAAACTATTTATTGCTTCACTGTTTTTAATAAATTTATTAGTTTTATTTTACGCGGCAATAACTAATATACTTATTTTTTTATCTGGGGGGATTTACGCGGCCAGCTAGGACTTCGTATTTACTAACCCACATGATTACCGGAAGGTCCGGAACCTATAAAATTAAACTATATGATATACACTGAAGATCTTATAAGATAGATATAAATATACCAAGAATGACTTTGTGATCAAGATGGAATTATAAAAAGAATGACTTCGTTGTCAGGATGGAATTAGATGCTCCTGTACTATATCTCAAATGCGAAGTTAATTTTTCTCTATTTTTGCACTCCACCCGTTTCTTGAAGCTTACTTTAACCAAATAAAACAAAGTAATCTAATAGCCCAATAACTTTACATAAAAGGCTCAATCCAATCCAAGAAATTCCTTTTTATTTGGATTCAAATGTGGCCCACACAAACTAGGTTTCGGGCCATAAATACCATGGCCCAAAAAGTAGTACTGAAGCTCTGGCTGTGAAGATGCCAGCTAGGCCAGCAACAATGAAAAGGAGTGGGTACGTGTCCCACGTAACTTATTTGTATTCGCATGTAAAGTGTAAACGATGTGAATTTATTTTAGGCCACACAAAAGCAATCCAGACAGAGTGTTGTAAACATCACATACTATCGAGAATATACGGTTTATCCTGACCAGATAAGGAAAGAAAACCTTTTTAACAAAAAAACAAAGGAGGAAAGAAAAGCAAATTCACGAAATTATCAACTGTCACGAGAACCATGGCCTAAAGATTCATCGCTTTGTTTATAATAATAGAGAAATAAAATATAGGTTTAATGTACTTGCTTATCGTGAGTATGCTTTTGATAACAGCTAATTTTTAATTACCATGGAACAATCCGGCCCGAACTACAAAACACATCCCAGCTAAAACAACGAAAAACCTTAGGTTGTGGTTATGTTTGAGGAAGATCTTTAGTTTTGCAGGGTCGTTCTTTTTTTATATGTTTTTGGAAAAATGGTTGCATATGTGATGTGTTGCATGTCGACTCCGCCTCGATCAAAGTGAATATATGACATGACATGTCTGGCGACGTTATATTTTGTAATCAGATTTAATGGGTTTTAGTCAAAAAGAACATAAACAATACTATTTGCCTGGCTACGCGACGATTGTGATTATGGATGGCTAAGATTAAAAAGAGATTTTTTTTTTTCACATCAATCACTTAAATGGGTTTAGTCAACATATTTGGGTCTGAACTAAAGAAATATAACAAGAAAATTGATATTCGGCAAACTATATTTTCTTTGAAAATAAAACAAAAGGTAAAATGCTGAACAGTAATATATTAGTATGGTTGTCAAAAGATAGTCAATATTCAAAGGGTTTACGTTTAAGGAAATTTGGCCAAAAAATTGTTGTGGTACACTTTCTTATATTGGTCGATTTTCTAAGATACTTGATTCATTTATTCAAAAATACTTGCATGCATTTATAGCAGATGCAATTAAATTGATTAAACTTTATTGCCACGTGGAAAAGTCAAAGACAATTTGAGCTCGTTATAAGAGGAGGTCGAAAGACTCGCTGCCTCACATGTCACAAGAAACAAAATCAAAACACAAAAACAAGAAAAACATAAAAAGACAAAAAAGCATGGATGATGAATCAACTCGGCCGCTTATGACAGATTCGAACTCGCCACCACCGCGGAGATCTCTAGACGACACGATCGAGAGATACATTGGAAGTTTTGGGTGGGCCCAGTTCCTTCAAGCGTCACTAGTCTCCTTCTCCGGCGTTTTCGACGCTCAGCAAACTTTCATCTCCGTCTTCACAGACTTCGAACCCACATGGCACTGCACCGAGTCAGACTCGTTCTGCCACCAATCCGTCTCCAACATCTGTATCCTCCCCAAATCCGCCTGGTCCTGGGATTTCTCTCCTCACGTCTCCGTCATCTCCGAATGGGGTCTCCAATGCGCCGGCTCCTTCGTCAAGGGCTTGCCGGAGAGCTCCTTCTTCGTCGGATGTTTGATCGGCGGTGTGATTCTCTCCACGTTGGCCGATTCTTCGCTGGGTCGCAAGAACATGCTGTTTCTCTCGTGTCTCGTGATGTCGATATCAACGATGCTAACGGTTTTCTCGCCGAACATTTGGGTTTACGCGTTTCTCCGATTCGTTAACGGATTTGGCCGAGCGACGATCGGCACGTGCGCGCTCGTGCTTTCGACGGAATTGGTCGGGAAGAAATGGAGAGGACAGGTCGGGATCATGAGTTTCTTCGGATTCATGCTCGGGTTCTTGTCTCTCCCTCTCATTGCGTACGTGAATCGAGGAAACTCGTGGCGGATTCTCTATGTATGGACTTCGATCCCGACCGTGATCTATTGTGTTCTTGTTCGGTTTTTCGTGTGCGAGTCTCCGAGGTGGCTTTTCGTTAGAGGTCGTAGACAAGAAGCCATTTCGATTCTCAAAAGAGTTGCTTCGATCCCGCTTACTGATGTCAACAATGGTGGTGCAGCGATATCGATGAGCTTTTCGAGTTTACAAATCGAGGAGGAGGAGGAGGAAGAAGAAGAATATGAGAAGCCTAGTGTGAACAGCTACACGGCGATGAAGAAACTGGTGGAGAAGAGATGGGCGTTTAAGAGATTATCAGCGATCATGGCGGTTGCGTTTGGGATCGGTTTGGTGTATTACGGGATGCCTTTAGCGTTATCGAATCTCGATTTCAATGTGTATTTGAGTGCATCGTTTAATGCGTTGATGGATTTGCCGGCGAACCTCATCACGCTTTTCCTCGTGGATAAACTTAGTAGGAGAAACGCGCTTATTGGTTTTACCGCGTTAGGCGGCGTCTCCAGCGTTTTGATATTCGCGTTACAGAATATGAGAATCGGTAACCACGGTGGGTTACAGTTGGCGTTGGAGCTGATTTCTTATTTTAGTGCGTGTTCGGCGTTTAACATGGAGATGATTTACACGATTGAGTTGTTTCCGACATGCGTGAGGAACTCGGCAATCGCAATGGCTAGGCAGGCGTTGGTGCTTGGTGGGGTTTTCAGTCCGATTATGGTAGCGGCTGGTCGGAAAAACGGGTTCTGGTCGTTCGGTTTGTTTGGTCTTGCTATAGGTTTGTTGGGATTGTTTGTGGTTGGATTGCCGGAGACTAAAGGGAGTGATCTATGCGACACTATGGATGAGGAAGAGTGCAAAGATCGGAAGAATAACAACAGTGTGATTGCCTAGTATGATGTAGAATTTTAAATGCGTGTGATTGAATGTAGAAACTACTACTTATCCATAACAACAATGTGATTGCCTAGTATGATGTATAATTTAAAATGCATGTGACTGAATGTAGAAACTACTACTTATCCCACATGGTTATCGTTTAATGTAAAACATAACTTTAAGCTTAATGGTAGAACGTTTAATAATTGCATTTACTTCGGGCTTATAACATATGCGTGTTTTAGGAACTCAGCCATCGCTTTGGCTAGACAACCACCGGTTCTTGGTGATGTTTTCCGTCCTATCAGGTGACAGCCGGTAGGACCAACTTATTTTGGTTATCAAATGTATAACTAAGAACAAAATATAAATATCTTATTAGGTTTGTCATCTTCAATTCACATCCCCATTATTAATATTCTAAAACTAATCAACATTTTTTATTTATTTGTTTGTAGGAAAATCCATTTTACATCTTCATTTCTGCTCATTTTTTCCTTTTGTTTTGCTATATAAATTCTTATTTTCTTCATTATGTTTACCAATTTCTCATTTGTCTATTATTTTATTTGACAATTCTAGATATACAGAAAGAAATTTATACAAATAATAATATTTCAGATAACAGTTTTGTGTGCAATTTTATTTATCGATTATATGATAATTAAATAATCAACAACTTGTTTAGTTAATTATTTTTAATCAATTTTAAATATATGTAGTTTTATATTGTTTTGTGTTCCAATCTAATTCTTGCAATTGGATTGTTGGATTGCTCACACTCATGCTTACCGGAAACTAGAGGCGTTCCACTTTCTGATACGAAACGATTAACCAGGAAGAGAACAAAGTTCGTCAAAGTGGTAACAATATGATTGTTCTCACATGGGTGATTTACAATTTGAAGATGCATGTGAAGTAATGTCGATTTAGTATTCATCATATTATTATCGTTAGATATAAGTAGGGTAAAAGTAAAATGTTATAATAAATGTATTAGTTTGGGGACTATTATAGACTATGGTAAATTTGATTTATCATAATAAATTTGAACCAATTTCAAAATGACATATTGACATATAAGAGTCTCCCAAATGAAAATTGACTCTTTAACTCTTTCCTTTTTTTTCTATTACTTTTTGGATGATAGACTACAAGAGATACTATCATTGAATATATTACCAATTATTCTATAAATAATGGGTTCAATAAGCCAAAATTACCAATTATTCTATAGATATATTCAAAAATTACATGTAATTTAAAATATTTTAATAATAATATGGGGGTAATTGTTACATGTACATTCACTGAGATGATATAGTATATTGAGCTGTTCCCAACGTGTGTTAGGAACACGGCCAAAGCTATGGCTAGACAAGCGTTGGTTCTTGGTTTTTTTTTTTTAGTCATATCACCGTGGCTGCTGCTGGTGTAGTCTCCACCGTCACAGGTTTTGAAGCTAATGTAGAAGATTGCAATCTTCTGCTTCACCCTCTTCTTTGACTCCACATCTTCTCTGGTTTGCACAACTATCTTCCTCAGTTGAAATGGCTTTTCCCGGTCTAGTACTTCTTGCTGCAAGACAAGACCAAGAGATCACTAACCTAAATTCTAATGAGAAGATTAGTTTCAATTCAACACAACCATCGAACCCTTGTTTCGTATCAAACAATCAGGAACACAATGATTCCAGAGAGAAGCGGCAGTTAAATGATTGTGTTTAATATCAGATCTTGCACTATCACCGTTCTGATTTTAGCTCTTCTCAACTTGGATTCCATGCAATACATACAACTAGCGCGCAGACCAAGTTATAAATTACACCACTAATTTGATCACACTGAAGGCCCAACTAAATAGCCCAGACCAACTAAGCTAAAAGGTCCAAAACCAACGATGAGCTGGCAGATCACGTGATAACACGTGCTCCATCGTCCCCTCATTTCCCATTACCCAACCGGTACGGAGGAGGTGGTTTTCTTTCTTCTTACTACTACTGCCTTCTTTCAACAGCTCAACCAATCCTTTGGGTAAGAATAATTTTAGATTAACCAAAGTCCCAATTAGCAAAGAAAAAAGCAAAAAAAGGGAAAAATCTGAAACCAAAAACGAGAAGGGAAGGCCAAAACGGAGTCGAAGAACCTTTCGCGCTCTGACGAAATTCATTACTTACACTGATATACTTCTCTTCCTCTCTCAATCTCTCCCTATCCTCAACGCCACAGGATCCTCCGAGCCAGCACGGATCCCTAGAAGATCCACCCTCAGCGGCTCATGACGCAGTCGCCGGTTCAACCTCCTCCGCCGCTTCCCGCTCCGCCGCATTCCGCCGGCGGAGGTGTTTTGCGAAGCGATGTACAGGTCCGGTGCGCAGGCTGCCGCGTGATTCTGAGGGTGAAGCCCGGCGTTGTGGAGTTCTCGTGTCCCACCTGTCAACTTCCCCAAATGTTGCCGCCGGAGCTCCTTTCTAGGGCACGGCCGCAGTTCCAGCAGTCTCAACAACCACAACCACCGCCTCAACCGCAACCGATTCAGACGCTTCCGCCGCTTCAGCAGCTGAAACCACCTATGAATTTGCCCAGGCCTCCGGTGCCTGCACATGGAATCGATCCGACGAAGATGCAATTGCCTTGCGCGAACTGCCAGGCGATCCTCAATGTGCCACACGGACTCACTCGGTTCTCATGTCCTCAGTGCCATGTCGAGCTCGCCGTCGACGTCTCTAAGCTCAATCGCTCCTTAACTGCTCCTCAATCCACTCCTCCGAATCCTTCTGCTGCACCGCCTCTTCCGTCTCCGCCTCCTCCCGAAGAAGTCAACGAGGTTCATTTCTCAATTCACCCTGAATTTCGTCGTTATTTGCTGACACAAGTTTTGAATTATGCTTGGAAACGAAGAATAGTGGTTGTTTCGTAACTCATTGTTCTCGTCATGCTCCCTTCTTCATCCTTGTCATGGTCAGATCATAAAATTTGTATGTTTCTTGCTTACTAGGAAGCCATCGATGTGGAGAGAGAAGAAGATGAAGGTGGAACGGCGGGAGAAACGTTCATGGATTATGTGAGTGCCTCATCTTAACAGTTGTTTTGGTTACCTCTTCGTCAGTTGAATGTTGTTTTGATGATGCTATTTTGTGTATTTGTGCAGCGTCCCCCAAAACTTTCAATTGGACCACCTCATCCTGATCCGATTGTGGAAACATCATCTCTATCTGCAGTGCAACCCCCAGAACCCACCTATGATCTCAGAATCAAGGAAGAGCTTGAAAGGACAAAGGCTTTATCGTGCTTGCAGATTGAGACATTAGTTTACGCTTGTCAGGTTGGTTGCTTTTAAATGGCAGAGGTCTTGGTTAATTGCCTCAAACATGACTTGCAACTGTATGACATAGTTGATTTTTTTTATTTTTATAGAGGCATCTCCAGCACCTTGCTGATGGTACCAGAGCGGGATTTTTTGTTGGAGATGGTGCTGGCGTGGGGAAAGGGCGAACTATTGCTGGTTTGATTTGGGAAAATTGGAAAGTTGGAAGGAGGAAAGCCTTGTAAGTCTTGTTGGACCATACTGCTGCGCCAGTTACATCTATAATAAGATACATATGCATAGTTTTGCTTATAGTGTCCCTTTGATTGGTCTCTTATATAACTTACAGTAGGATGAGATGTCAGTCCTCTAATTTGTATACCTCCTTTTTTTGTCTAAATTGTGATCTACATAGGTGGATTTCTATTGGTTCAGACTTGAAGTATGATGCAAGAAGGGACTTGGATGATGTGGGTGCCTCGTGCGTTGGAGGTATTCTTATGATTTTATTTTTAGCTGCAATTGAGTTTGTAATCCAATGTGGTCTCTGTTATCTGTTTATGCTGTCATTATGCCTAGATAATGTTATGGATAGCTGATGTTTGTGCAGTTCATGGTATTTCAGATAAATTAAAGTTGGACTGTAACTTTAAAGTAGCTTCATTAGATTTGCAGTTCTCATCTCGTTAGTATAGGATTGAGCCTGGAAAATTTTCCAATTTGCGTTTTTCAGTCTCGTTGTTATTTTATAATTTACGATATGTTATACGTGCAGTGAATCCTTTGAACAAGCTACCTTATTCTAAGCTTGACTCAAAGAATGTCGGTGTTAAAGACGGAGTGGTATTCTTGACATACAGTAGCCTTATTGCTTCCTCGGAAAAGGGCCGTTCTCGTTTGCAGCAGCTTGTCCAGTGGTGTGGGCCAGAATTCGATGGTCTATTGATCTTTGATGAGGTAGCAAATCCATGAATGATGTATATTAAATTATTTTACGTTAAAAATACTCCTTCCGCTCTTTTGGTGAGTTGAACAATGTGCGAGTATGCCATGTCGTAGTAAATTGCTTGATCACTGATTTTATCATTTTTGAGCCGAGATCCGATAATTAATACATCATGCACCTTCAGTTACTAATCTTTTTCCTTTTATGTAGTGCCACAAAGCGAAAAATTTGGTACCTGAAGCTGGAAGTCAGCCGACACGCATCGGGCAGGCAGTTGTTGACATTCAGGTCTGATACTAAAAGTTAAATGCTTGACTACACTGTTCTTATCAATGTTGTTTTAAATAACGTTTTTGGATCTGAAAAGTGATTTAAGATACTATCATTTTATTTTGTTTTGGATATATTTCTTGACAGTGCAGATAAATAACATAGTCTGTCTTCTAGTTTAGGAAAGCTTAATGGCTGTTAATGTCTTATAGTTGATTAGAGATTATGAATTTTGGAAAAGCAGGATAAGATCCCCCAAGCACGTGTTCTTTATTGTTCTGCTACTGGTGCATCTGAACCACGAAACATGGGTTATATGGTCAGGCTTGGTCTTTGGGGAGCTGGAACAAGTTTCAGTGATTTTAACAAATTTCTAGGTTGGTTTTTTGTTTCTATTTCTTTTTGAATATATTTTGGTAGCATTGTAATTAGTACTTTCTGTCTTATTTGCCTTCTAGACAGAAAGCTTTCTAAAAGTTAATTCGGTATATACGAATTCATTAAGCTTGGCTTATACAAAATATTCCTTAAAATGAGTTTGATAAGCTTGGCTTCGTTCACTTAATTAATCAAAATAGAGTCTTATCTTCTCTCAGTCTGCTCTATGCATTGCATAACTCGGAATGAAATTTTAACATAACCTCTGTGCAGGTGCGCTTGATAAAGGTGGGGTAGGAGCATTGGAATTGGTTGCCATGGACATGAAAGCCAGGTTTTACAAGCGTGTGTCATACTTCTAAGCCATTCTTATTGCTCATAGTCTATCCTAACACACCTTCTATGTAACAGGGGAATGTATGTATGTCGTACCCTGAGCTACAAAGGGGCTGAGTTTGAGATTGTTGAAGCTCGTTTAGAAGCTGGAATGGAGGTAAACCATCTTCTTTTTGCCTGAGAGCTGCACATATCGTAATTGTCTATCTAGCTCTGTTATCAAGTAAAGGCCGTGTAAGCTAAAAAAGTGGTATGAAGAGTACGTTGTCTCCGAGGAAGCTTGAACCAACCTCTTAGAAAAACTTAAGCAGGCTTTGCTATGCCTATGAAATTTCCAATCCCGGGGTCTTATATTAAAGTCTGAATGGTGCTTTGATACTTTTTGGCTAGCAAATTCATTTCTAGTGTTCCCCTGATTTTTTGTTTCAGAGATCCATGCCGACAAAATTTAAAAGCTGCGCTTTTGTGTTGTGTTACTTGTTTTCTTCTGTAGGCAATGTACAATAAGTCTGCAGAATTTTGGGCAGAGCTTCGGATAGAGTTGTTATCAGCAAGTGCTTTTCTCCCTAACGAGAAACCAAATTCTAGTCAGTTGTGGAGATTGTACTGGTCAAGCCACCAGGTATAACTTTTTCAGAAACAATAGTTAGACAGTGTTATTACATTTGTTGATAATTGTCATCTTAAATCATAGATGTTGATTAATCTATCTCCTGTATGTTATTGCAGCGTTTCTTTAGACACTTGTGTATGTCAGCTAAAGTTCCTGTAACCGTGAGGTTAGCTAAAAAAGCCTTATCAACAAACAAGTGTGTAGTTATTGGGCTTCAGAGTACAGGAGAGGCTCGTACTGAAGAGGCTGTAACTAAATATGTGCGTTTCTCCTCATACTCCCTTTGGAAAAAAATATTATTCAATTATGATTCCATCTAACTAATTATACGCCATCAATAATCTTGTACCCCTTTTCTCTTGCAATAGGGTGTTGAGCTTGATGATTTTGTTTCGGGCCCTCGAGAACTCTTGTTGAAATTTGTTGAAGAGAACTATCCCTTGCCCGAGGAGCCTGAACCTCTCTCAGGTAACTTAATGCTCTCTGAAGGATTTTTGCTTTTGATTCCCTGGTGGCATTTAAATCAAGTTCATAGTTTGCCTCTTTTGGACTTTTACAGAGGATGAAAGTGTCAAAGGACTTCAGAGGAAGAGGCATTCAGCTTCACCTGGTGTTTCAATTAGAGGGAGAGTAAGAAAGATGGCAAAGTGGAAACCAGCTAGTGATGATGAAAGTGATTTGGAATCTGAAGGTAGGTTTCATGGTGAATACATACCTTCTGGGTACCTACTAAACAGACACAATCTTGATGCTTAGGCTATAGGGACACAAGTATTAAATGGGGTGTTTTAATATACTTCTTCTCTAAGCACTGCAAGACGCATCTATTAAACACAAATTCTACATAGCAGCTAATAAGCTTATTAACTTTCCCCCTATGTATTACTATAGATCTCCGATATAGGAAATTACTAAAGGGATGACCGTCTTTTCGTCTTGGTCTGTGTCTTCAATTAGTCGATTTTAAAATCCTCAAGATCTGTACATTCTCCTAATCAGTAGTGTTTTCAATGCAGCTGAATCTGCTGACGATTCTAATGATTCTGATGATGAGTTCCAGATATGTCAGATATGCAGCGGGGAAGATGTACTTTGCTTTAACTTGGATATCTTTATTTCCGTTGAGGTTACGAGAATTTATTAACTTGTTTTGTGATGAAACTAGGAAAGGAAGAAGTTGCTCCATTGTTCTGAATGTGACAAGCTTTTTCATCCGGACTGTGTAGTTCCTCCAGTTACAGATATACCGTCTGAAGCGTGGATATGCTATTCTTGCAAGGAAAAGACGGAGGAGTACATTCAAGCAAGGCGTCTCTACATTGCGGAATTGCAAAAAAGGTCTGTACACCGGAATAGCAACCTGTGTCTTGATTTTTTCGTGTTCATATAATAGAAGCAAAGTTTTTTTTTTTTTTTAAGAAATGGTTATCCATTTTGTTTCTTCATAGGTATGAAGCAGCCTTGGAACGAAAATCAAAGATTTTAGAGATTATTCGTTCTCTGAATCTTCCAAACAATCCTCTGGATGATATTGTCGATCAGGTAATTATCATCTATACGCCTCTGTTTTTTCTTAGGTATTATACATGAGTCTCCTTTCTTTTTATGGAATATCACTTTGTGTGAATGGTGTTTAGTGGTATCTATGAATCCTTATTTAAGTTATGGCATCTAGGGTGCGTTGATTGTAGTATCCATAGGCTTAATCTTGTGGTTAAATTGAACTTCTGGAAACTTAAGAATGTGCCCAAATTGCTGATGCCGTTTGTGTACTATTGCAGCTTGGAGGCCCTGACAAAGTTGCAGAAATAACAGGCAGGCGGGGTATGCTTGTAAGAGCGTCTAATGGGAAAGGTGTTACATATCAAGCAAGAAATACGTAAGTCTTAAAAGTCCCTCTCTCTCTCTCTCTGTTATTCTCTGTTTCATCCACTTTTAAAGCTCTAATTTGTTATTAGTACTTTATCTTAAACCGCACTAGTAATTTACTTTTCATCCTTGTATTTCTTGGCTCTAGAAAGGATATCACAATGGAAATGGTCAACATGCACGAAAAACAACTATTCATGGATGGTAAAAAGTTTGTTGCCATTATTTCTGAAGCTGGTTCAGCTGGTGTTTCGTTGCAAGCAGATAGAAGGGCAGCAAATCAGGTGTGTCGAGTTTATAGCTTCTCCTACTACTATTTTTTTTTATCGTCTTTCTGCATATTCTTATTGTTTTGAAGAACTAAGTATATTGTAAAAGATGGCCTTAAAAGGACTTCACATGTCGACTTTTGGGTTATTACGTAATAGGAAGTTTAAAAACAAAACAATACTTTTCTGCAGAGAAGAAGGGTTCACTTGACTTTAGAGCTTCCCTGGAGTGCTGATCGTGCAATTCAGCAATTTGGAAGAACTCATCGGTCGAATCAGACATCTGCGCCTGAATATAGGTTGACATGACAACATTTGTGTGTTTGATTTTCTATCTGCCCAATGGCAAAAATATTTGCTACCTTCAATTTAAAATGTATGATATCAGTTGGTGAAATTGATAAATTATTTGTTTTTTGGTCCTGCCAGGCTACTCTTCACAAATCTCGGTGGGGAACGCCGCTTTGCCTCGATTGTTGCAAAGAGACTAGAAACTCTTGGTGCTTTAACACAGGGAGATCGCAGGAAAGTCACGCTCCTCTCTAAACCATTTCCCGGTTGTTTGTCCTTTGGCTTGTTATTACTTAAAAGCTTGCCAGTAATTTTGTCTTAATAATATAGTGTGGTGTATTGCAGGGCCGGGCCTTCCTTGAGTGCTTATAATTATGATAGTAACTTTGGTAAAAAATCCTTGATGGTGATGTATAGAGGAATAATGGAGCAGGTCTTTCTCATAAATCCATGCGGCCTCTTCAAACTCGTTTAATTTTGCTTCTTCAGTTTTGAAGAACAATGATAATGAAATATCGTATGGCTTACTTTTCAGGAGAAACTACCCGTTATTCCTCCTGGGTGCTCCACTGATGAACCAGAAACAATTAAAGAGTTTTTAACCAAGGCAAGGGCTGCTCTTGTTGCGGTTGGAATTGTTAGGGACAGTGTTCTTGGTAAGCTTTGCTCATTATTTCATTTTCTTCGTACTGAATTTGAATTTCTATGTGTAGTAATCTCTGTTTTTTTTTTTTACCTTACTTCATTGATGATACAGCTAATGGGAAAGATGTTGGAAAGTTATCTGGACGTATTATTGATTCTGACATGCATGATGTTGGACGATTTCTGAATCGCCTCTTGGGATTGCCACCTGATATTCAAAATAGGTATTATGCGTCAAATGTGATTTGACAATTTGCACTCCGCAACTTATCTTTCTCATTTAGAACTTGCTTCCATTTTTTTAATGCTTTAGTCTCCTGTGCTTTGCAGGTTGTTTGAATTGTTTACTAGTATATTAGACGTTCTTGTACATAACGCTCGTATCGAGGGAAGTTTTGATTCAGGAATTGTGGATATGAAAGCTAACAGCGTTGAGCTGCTGACCACTCCAAAGGTTGATATCTCTTTCTTGATTTTTTTATTCTTATTGTATCCATGCTACTAATATTTGAAAATTTTCAGACCGTCCATGTCGATCATATGTCTGGTGCCTCAACTATGCTCTTTACGTTTACCCTAGATCGTGGTGTTACGTGGGAGGTACTTCAATAACCACTCTCGATACACATTAGTACTACAATAAAGCAAAAGCTTGATTTATTCTTTATCCCAGTCTGCGAGCTCAATGCTAGAGGGGAAGAGAAGGGACGGGCTTGGTTCGGCTAATGATGGCTTTTTTGAATCTAAAAGGGAATGGTTAGGAAGACGGCACTTTATCTTAGCATTTGAGAGGTAAATCATTATCCTCTCTAATCTTTTAATATTTTTTAAAAATATCAATCTCAATGGTGGGTTTATCTTTGGATATCCAGTGCGGCTTCTGGTTTGTTTAAGATTGTTCGTCCTGCTCTTGGAGAGTCGATCAGGTATCTACACCATTGGCTTAACCTTTTTTACATTTGATATTTCTGACTCGAAACTGGTCTTAACTCTTAACTTCGTTTTGTATTTTCCAGGGAGATGTCTCTTTCGGAGTTGAAAACGAAATACCGAAAACTCTCATCTCTGGAGAAGGCTCGTGCTGGTTGGGAAGACGAGTACGAACTTTCATCTAAACAGGTATGCTTCCTCAATCAACAATATTTTTTTTAAGCCTCATGGCTCGTAACCATCAATATAGCATTGTGATTTATATGAGTTTCTTCTATGTGAGATTACAGTGTATGCACGGACCCAAGTGTAAGCTGGGCGAGTATTGCACTGTTGGACGGAGAATACAGGAAGTAAACGTTGTGGGAGGTCTCATTCTTCCCATCTGGGGAACCATTGAGAAAGCTCTCTCCAAACAAGTAAAAAGACTTGCAAAATTTCTAAGACTCTCTCTCTCTCTCTGAGTGTTGGCGTGGAAACTTATAGTGTATCCTTCCGGTTCTTTTGCAGGCCCGTCAAAGCCACAAGAGAATTCGAGTTATACGGATAGAGACTACGACGGATAATCAGAGAATTGTGGGCCTCTCTATCCCTAATGCAGCTGTAGAAACTGTATTACAAGGTATTTACCAGCTTTCCGACAACACACCAGTTTGATTTTGAGACATACCAAAAGAGTCATTTGGACGACAAGAAAATAGAATGATTACTACAATGCCTTGTTAATTCTTTTCGCTTTTGTATGTTGTTTTGCAGATTTAGCATGGGTTCAAGAGATTGATGATTGAGAAGAAACGTTATTTATCCCTCCCGAAGCTCAACAACCAGACCCAAGTTCCCATGCCTATTCGTATCGTATTTGTTTAATTTATAAAGAAAGAAAAGAAACAAACACTTGGACTTTCATTTTTGTGTATAATCACATGACAAATTTGGGCAGGAAGATACATAGATGTAATATTATTATCTAACAAGAGATTCTTTCCTCTGTTTTGGTTTAAACATTTTCTTCTGGATTTGCAAAATAAACAAACTCAAACAAAAAACATGAATAATTTAGTGTTTCACAACATACAACATAGCTCATAAGTTGATGCAACCGAAGTTGACAATCAAGTTCAGCCGAAATGATACAGAGATGTGCAAAACAAACCAAACTAATAACACACGATATAATCTCACAAATTATCATTCTCAATATAACAAGAATAGTTTAGTGTTTCACAGAAACAAACACACCATAAGTTACACAAATGCCCCTCAAACAGTAAAAAACCCAGGCTTATTTCCGACCAAAGTCATCAACCAACGGTCGTTATAAAAAGAGTAAAAAAAGAAACTTGGGCTTTTTAACAGATAAAAGGAGCATCTGTAAAACCATCATGGCAATACAAACCTGGCTGCTGAGTAAACCCTTGCTTCTTCAACGCCTTCCTCGCCCTTGTAACCATCTCCCTGTTCGATATCTCACCTTCCGTCTCCTCCAATATCTTCTGTATCGCATTACTCATCGCTCCATACGCTTCACTTGGTTTCCCCGGCGGAGTCGCATCCGCAGAGGTCTGATCAGTCTGACAACCACTGATCAATATCCCACTGTCTGGAAGCGGAACCGAACCTCTTGATCCTCCGGCATAAACCTCTTCTTTCCTCCCAACTTCTGTCTGCATCGCAGGTTTCGTATAGTCTTCATCGTTAAGCTTCCCTTCAAGAAACCCTGAAGCTAACTTCCCAAGCATTCCCATTAACCCACCTCCTTCTCCTCCGTTCCCTGCCTGAAGCTTTCCCAAAATCACTTTCATGAACTTCTTCACTTTCGGGCTCGAGTCATCACCAAACGCGTCGAAAAGACTCGGCCTGATTTTCCCCACTTCGATATCATCGTTCCCTGTTTGCTGCTTGAGGATATCGATTAACGTCGATAGAGGCAGAGACTTGTCTTTGGCAAGGATCCTCTCTCCATCGTCTAGCTCGATCTCTTTAGTCTCTATCTCTTCCGCTTCGTTGTCTTCCTTCTTGCTCCCTCTGATCGCGCTTTCCACCTTGTTCTTCAAGAACTTCCTGAAACCGAACCTCGACGAAGACTCTTCCTCTTCGTCCTCGTCCTCTTTCTTGGTGCTCTCTCCGATCTGCTCCTTGGCTTCATCGATTAAGCCACCACTGTGACATGAATCTGAAATGATCGTCATTCTGCAACCTTGTGGAACTCTGTCCACAAGATCCCTGAAATCATCATCTTGAAACAAACAACAACAAGAATCAAATCAGCCAAAACTCTTGAATCTGTATATTCTCATTCCATATTCTTTTTTTTTGGTATGACATTCCATATTCTTCCTTTTCATTTGATATAATTATTCAAATAAAAATCAACAATCATAAACAAATATTCACCAAAATTCAGGATTTCAAAATCTGTCTTCTACTTATAATCGGATCGGATCGGAGATCAATCTAAACACTATCAATCTCGGAGGAGAGCAAAAAAAGTTCGAAATCTCAGTTTAATGAAAACTCACCGGTAATCAGATTCATGTCGCAAGGAACAATACACTCGTCGTAGCCAGTGTCATCGTCTTCACCAGTCTCGGCCGGTAACCTGGTACCGTGACCACTGTAATGGACGACGAGAAAGTCGCCGGAATCCGCCGATCTGATGAGATCCGAGAGCGCCTTGCGGATGTTCTTCCCGGTGGGCTGCGTGGATGATTCGTCGGTGTCGATGAGCACGGTGATGTCCTCCTCAGCGAATCCGTACCGTTCGACGAGACATTTGTACATCCGACGAACGTCGTTGACACATCCTCTCAATTCCGCCTTTGTTCCTGGGTAATTGATCCCAATCAACACTGCCTTCTTCGCCATCGTCTAATCTGATATCGGTAAATCGGTAAATCGGTCTTCTTCTCCGGCGATTGACGAGCTTGTTTATGTGAAGGAGACTGAATCCGACAATAAAAAAAGTGAGCATTTTATATAGTAGAGAATTATTTATTTATTATTTATTTCTTGGCGAATTATTGATTGGTATGTAATAAATGTTAGCGCGTTTCCACGAATTAGAACGTAGATCCAACGTGCAATTGGAATGTTTCATTTGTCACGTTGCAATTTGTACAGATAGATAATAACACTACTTTGGATAAAATGGATTAATGAGATTATAATAGGAATAAATGAGAAAGGCCTTTATTGGGCCCAAAATGGCTATTTTGGCCCAATTATACAACAAATCACATAACTTACTGAACACGGAAGTCCAAATTTTCAAACATACAAAATACAATCATTTAACAAATAAACGGAGCATTGACATAAGTATCGCTGCAATAAAGCCCTGGTCGTTGAGCAAACCCCTGTTTCTGAAGAAGCTTCCTCGCCTTCAAAACAAGTTCCTTGTTACTAATCTTCTCACCTTTCGTCTCCTCAAGTATGATCTGCACAGCGTTTGTGAATGCTCCATACGCCATTTCAGGTTGACCAGGAGGACTTGCGTCTGCAGAAGTTTGATCAGTTTGACAACCACTGATCAAAATACCGTTATCAGCAAGAGAACCATCGCTTCCACCTGCATAAACCTCTTCAGGCTTCGCATACTCTTCATCGTCGTTGAGCTTTTGTTCAAGAAAATCTTGTGCTAGTTTCCCAATCATTCCCATTATACCACCTTCGCTTTTACCTTCTTTCAGCTTCGTTAGTATCACTTTCATGAATTTCTTCACCTTTGGTGATGCATCTTCTCCAAACACGTTGAATAGTGTTGGTCTGATTTTCCCAACTTCGATGTCTTCGCTTCCTGTGTCTTGCTTGAGGATGTCGATTAGAGTTTGCAGAGGCAGAGATTTGTTGACCACATTGACCTTTTCACAATCTTCTAGCTCAATCTCTTTGATCTTGTGAGATTCCATTGCTTCTTCCACAGCACTAAGCACGAAGCCTTTGATTCCAAGTCCTGAAGAGTCTTTCTTTGTCATCTTCTTCGTGCTCTCTCCTATCTGCTCCTTAGCTTCATCAATGAGACCACCACTGTGACAAGAATCTGAAATGATTGTAATGTGTGCGTCTTTGGGCATCTTCTCCACAATTTCCCTGAATTCGTCATCTGTAAATAGAGAGAGATTCACAATCAGAAGCATTATCAGAAGACAAAGAGTGTTTCTTAAGCTACAAGAAAACAGAATCTTCCTCAAATGAAATAACAATTCAAAAACGCACCGTTTTATTTAAACCCAGATTTAAACCAACTTTCGCATTTGATAATAAAAGTTGGTTTTCAAATTGACTTTGAATCTGGTTTTCACGTACCGGTGATAAGATTCATATCGCAAGGAACAATACACTCATCGTAACCAGTATCATCGTCTTCACCAGTCTCCGCCGGCAATCTCGTCCCGTGACCACTGTAATGAACGACGAGAACGTCGCCGGAATCAGCCGATTCGACTAGATTCAGCAACGCTTTTCGGATGTTTTTCCCGGTGGGTTTGGTGGAAGAGTTGTCAGTATCGATAAGCTCGGTGATGTTTTCCTCGGGGAATCCGAAGCGGTCGACGAGGCATTTGTGCATCCTCCGGACATCGTTGACGCAGCCTCGTAGCTCCGCCTTGGTTCCTGGGTAATTGATCCCAATCAATACAGCTTTCTTCGCCATTGATGATTGATGATATCTTCAAAAGTCTCTCTGCTTTACAAATTTTGTTTGTTTTTTTATTGTGAGCGTTACATCTTCTCCTTCATGCTTTTTATACTAAAAGAAGCCTTAATGATGTTGCCAAAAAAAATGAAAAAAGCCTCTTTAATAACAAAACTTAATATATAAATTTACTCATCATTTCCATTCCAGTCTTATCAATTGCAATATTAGGGTGGAAAAGTTGTCATAATTCAATAAGTTCAAATTATAATATCCAAAACCTACGAATATTTTTAGCCGTTTAGAGAAGGAACAAACGTCTGTGGCTTGTTCTTTCTTCCAAACAAAACCTGAAACGTACAAAACTTGTATAGATTGTGAGAAAATAGTATGGCAATGATTTTACGCATCTTATAGCCTAATTAACAATTATAATTACGAAGAAGATACGCTTGTTATCTTATTATATAAAGCTGGATGCGCACGACGTGGTTGCGACACGTAGGATTTTTATAAAATTCAGGATCGCGACATGTGTCACTTTTAAGTTTATGTCGTTAAGATCGTGACATGTGTCTTAGGAAAAAAAGAACTTAAAAAAATTCCAGAAAAATGTTAATTAAAAAAACGAAATTTAATTTAATATATTATATCAAAAAGGAAAAAATAATATTTGTTATATCCAAACAGAAAAAGGTTTCCATTCATCAATTTTTTATTATATAAAGTTGGATGCACGACGTGGTTGCGACACATAGGATTTTTATAATTTATAAGATCGCGACATGTGTCACTTTTAATGTTACGTCCGTTAAGATCGTGACACATGTCTTAGAAAAAAAAATTAGATAAAGGAAATTGTTTTTAAAAAATTAATCCATTACAGTTAAAAGAAATAAAAATATATTTGTCATATCCTAATAGAGAAAGGTTTCTCATTCATCAAATTAATATTATCCAAACAAATAATAAAATCAAAATAATGTAATAAATAAAATCCTATTTGTACATGGAATATGTTATGTAAACTAAATTTCCTATAACTGCATGTAATAGGTTACTTGAACCCCTATAAAAGAGAGTCAAGATTTCTCAATCATAAATTCATCAAAACAAATTCATCAAATCCCTTTGATTATATTTCTCCAATTTAAAAATCATGTTTTTGAAAGTTTTGCGATACATAGGATTTTTATAACTGACAAAATTGCGACATGTGTTTTAGAAAAAAAAAATTCTCGAAGTATGAAGATCGTAACATGTGTCATGGAATAAAAATAATAAAAAAATTAATATGTATAAGACTAACTAAAAATTAGAAAAACAGATAACAAATAATTAAAATGAAAAAATAATATCCATTAAAAGTAATAAAAAAACAGGAAACAAATAATTTAAATTCTTTTGTTACATCTATTAAGAAAAGGAAAAAAAACCATTTCGAAAAGGAAAAATACCAATATATAGTATTTATAATGGTCCGAGGCAAAAAAAAATTGAGAAAGAAAAATATAAATAGAAAACTAACAAAATAATTATCAAGCAATTAACTAATATTAAAAAATTATAATTGATATTCTAATTTTAAATAGTTTGATTTTCAATTTTTGTTAGGTAAAAAAATTGAAATAAAGATTTCATCAATTAAAATCTCTTGAATGGAATAATAAAAGTTTGATTAATTAATCAATTGATCAGATTTAGACATGTGTAAGTCTTTCTGTATTGGATAAAAATAATAGTAAAACAAATTAATTCATTTTGTCATATCATAAATTCAAAAGAAAAATCAATTACAATAAAAATGTAAAAGTATTACCAATCTTATTTTATTTAAATATTTTTTATCGGGTTTTCAATATTATTTTGTTTACGTTTAAAAATGATCAAATTTTGTTTAATATTTTCCATGCTTTTATTATAAAATCTTAAAATATACCCGCGTATACGCGGGCCTTAATCTAGTTGTTTATAATTTTTACAAAAGTAATTACCAAAATTTAAATCGTACGGAAAACAATTGTTTTGTTTCTTGTACCAGAAGTTAGGTCAACTATAGGGGATAATAAACCAACATAAGACATGACAAAAATAGAACTTCTTACCCATTGAACAAACAACACTTGGCATTATTCAAAATCAAACTTAAAGAACACAACACACCACGCACATACACACGCATCACAAATCACAAAACGTGTACCACAAGAAATCAAATCAACATGCAACAAACCCAGTTCAAAATTCTTTTTCAACATATAAACTGAGCATTCGCATAACCATCATCGCAATATAACCCCGGTCGTTGCTCAAACCCTTGTTTCTTAAGAAGCTTCCTAACCTTCAAAACAAGTTCCTTGTTACTAATCTTGCCTTTAGTCTCCTTAAGTATGATCTGTATAGCATTGGTCAATGCTCCATAAGCCAATTCCGGGTGACCCGGTGGGCTTGCATCAGCAGAAGTTTGATCCGTTTGGCAACCACTGATCAATATACCGTTATCCGGAAGTCCACCATTGATTGCACCTGCATAGACCTCTTGGATCGCTAGTTTCACATCATCGTTTAGCTTCTGCTCAAGAAACTCTTGAGCCAGTTCTCCAATTGTTTCCAATATCTCACCTTGACCACCAGTTTCTTGCAGCCTGCTCTGAATCGCATCCATAAACTTCTTCACCTTTGGGCTTGAGTCTTCTCCAAACATATCGAAAAGAGTTGTCCTGATCTTCCCCACTTCGATGTCATCGTTGCCTGTTTCTTGCTTCAGCATGTCGATCAAAGTCTCCAATGGTAGAGATCTGTTTCCTAGCTCATTGATGATCTCCTTAGTCTCGGTTTCTACTGCGTCTTCTGTCTCCTTGATCTTTGAAGAGTCTCCAGATTCTTGCTTCGGCTTCTTCTTCTTTGTGCTCTCTCCGATCTGCTCTTTGGCTTCATCGATCAGACCACCACTGTGACAAGAGTCTGAGACGATTGTAATGGGACAATCATTCGGCACCAAATCCACAAGATCCCTAATATCATCATCTGTAAACAGAGTCACCATATAAAAGTATAATTAGATTCCAGCATGAAGGTTTTGAGTTAGAATCTCAGGATACACAAAATTTCCTCTATATGATCTTAATTCAAAACCCTAACACACATATAAGCACAGTAACACCATAATTTCCCTCATACCCCACCAGTAAAATTTCAGCACATAGGCTTCTATTTTGCGTTACATCACAGACAAAAATTTTTTTTTCTTTACCAGAAAAAAAAAGATCCTTCACATGTTTTAGCCTTTTAGGTATAGATACTTTTCAGTTATTACATAACAACAAAGTTTGAAAATCCCAAACACAAATGATTAGCTAGTTAGAAATACAAATTTTGTGAGTTCATTTAGAAAAATATAAGCAAACAAATAATAATATATCAGTTTGAGAAATTAAAAGTTAAAGTTCTCACAAAAACATGAAAAATGAAAGTCAACTTTTATCAAAGTTTCCACCTACCGGTGATGAGATTCATATCGGAGGGAACAATACACTCATCGTAACCAGTATCGTCGTCTTCACCAGTTTCTGCGGGCAACCTCGTCCCGTGTCCACTGTAATGGACGAAGAGAACATCGTCCGGTTTAGCCGATTCAACGAGATCCAACAACGCCTGTCGGATGTTCTTACCGGTCGGTTTGATCGTAGAGCTATCAGTGTCGATCAACAGTTTTATGTTCTCCTTGGAGAATCCGTACTGTTGGACGAGGCTTATATGCATACGACGGACGTCGTTGACGCAGCCTCGTAGCTCCGCCTTTGTTCCCACGTAGTTGATCCCAATCAAAACCGCTTTCTTCGCCATTGATGATAGTTTCAAACTCTGCTAACACAATATTTTTTTGATAGTTAGTTGTTTCATCCTTTGTGATTTTATAGCCATTTTTATAGTAAAATGATACCTTATACCTAGTGTGTTATTTTCTTGTAGTAAATTATTTTGTTTTGAATGAGTATGACGTCTTATTGTCACATTTTTGTATGACTTTTTCAAAAACATTTTAATTTAGAAAATCATAAGCTCTGTTTTTTACTCTTTATCTTTTTTTTTTTTTTTTTTATTTCAGTTTGTTAATAAACACGACTTAAAAATTACTGATCGTGTTTTCTATTGAAAAACAATCATTTACTTTACATTTTTCCGTTTACGTATAGAACAAAAATAACTAAGTTTGTATATGTGTGCATGACGACGAATTAGAGTTCATTTACTCTGTTTTGCGTCAAGCAGGTAACAGACTAACAGTTACAATAACGTACAGAGTTTAAATTGCTAATAAGATACATGCTAACAATTACTTTTATAGTTATACTAATTGAAGTATAGTAATCATTCTTTTTAAAGCCTGAAGATAAGGACAATTGTGACTCCCTTTCTTGAGAGCGCAAATTAAACAATCTCACGTCATAAGCACGTCGCTTTTGTGAAGCCAACTCATATTACTTGTATAATGTGTTCAATATAAAAATCATCGTATGTGGATATTTCTTTGAGTCTCCTATTCCTTGTATTACAAGCTAATGAGACTAAGTCTGTTATCTATAGAGATTTGATTCCTTGTATCAGAAGTCAACGAGACTTAGTCCTTACGCACGAACTGAAAAGTGGAATATATCCCAAAACACAAATTTACTCCAAGTTAAATTCAGACAAATAAATAATTACTTTATAAATTTACAAAGAAATTTACTTAGCATATAAACGGAGCATTCACAAAACGGTCATCACAATACAATCCTGGTCTCTGAGTAAACATCTCTTTCTTCAGAAACTCTCTTGCCCTCAAAACCATTTCCTTGTTCGTGATCTTGTCTTCCTCCTTAGTCTCCGACAAAACCATCTGAATCGCATTACTAAACGCTCCATAAGCTTGTCCACTCTTTTTCACATCCGCTGATGTCTCATCCGTTTGACACCCACTCAACAGAATCCCTCTGTCCGGAAACATTCCGTTGCTTTGTCCTCCTCCATAGATATCACGATCACTCTTCACTTGTGTCTCCATCGCAGTTTTTATCTTACCAAGTAGCCCACTTTGACCATCGTTTAGCTTGGTGAACATCACTTTAACGAACTTCTTCACTTTCGGGCTCGAATCTTCGCCAAACACATCGAAAAGCGTCGGTCTGATTTCCCCGATCTCAATATTTTCTTTCCCGGTTTGCTGTTTCAGAACACTAATGAAGCTCTCCAGTGGCAGATACCTTGATTTGACAGTCTCATCTCTCTTTACGATCTCCCTAGTCTTAATCTCGTGCGGTTCTTCCTGAGATCTCCAAATTCCACAAAACGCAAGAAAATTCACCAAAACGCTATGCAAGAAGTTGAAGAATTCGAATCCGAAAATGGAAACTTTTTGTTCTTGATTTGGCTTCTTATTGGCGCTCTCTCCAATCTGTTCCTTGGCTTCATCGATGAGTCCTCCACTGTGGCAAGAGTCTGATATGAACGTTATCTGACATCCCTCTGGAACCTGTTCGACTATATCCCTGAAATCATCATCTGCAATGAAACGGTGTCGGCTACACATTATTAGATCAAAAGAAAACATATTGCTCTGTTTTCACTCTGTTTCGAGACAGAGCACTCTGTTTTCATAAATAAACAGAGGACTATTTCTTCCTTCTCTATATAACCGCTTATTATCGCATACCAGGGATTGGATTCATGTCGCAAGGAACGATACACTCATCAAAACCGGTATCGTCTTCTTCCCCTGTTTCAGGTGGGACCCTCGTACCGTGTCCACTGTAATGCACGAATAAAACATCACCGGCTTTTGCCGGCTTTATGAGTTCCGACAAGGCATGACGGATGTTTTTGCCGGTGGGTTGAGTGTAAGATTTGTCGGTGTCTATCAGCACCGTGATGTCATCCTCGGCGAAATCGTAGCGGTCAACGAGGCACTTGTACATCCGATGGACGTCGTTGACGCAGCCTTGTAGCTCCACCTCTGTTCCGGGGTAGTTGATCCCGATCAACACCGCTTTCTTCGCCATTGTCACAACCTTCACAGAGATGTTTTGACTAGATCTGATGATTTTGTGATCAAGATTATTGTTAGAAGCATAATCTACTAACATTATTGGTTATCCGTTGTCGCCAGTCAACTTTATGTTTTTTTATTTGCATTTTTGGTAATCTTTATTTCACTTTTGTAATTAATCACATAAATAAATAAGTCTTTCTGATTAATAAATAAACTAAAAAGGTAGCTAGTTGCAAAATATTATTACACTTTTCTAAAATCACATAAATAAATAAGTCTTTTTGATTAATAAATAAACTAAAATGGTAGCTAGTTGCAAAATATTATTACCACTGTATTCAAGCCACGTGGAGATTGGAATATTGTTATTTTAAAAATATAAAAAACGCCGTCTGAGGGGATCGAACCCTCGACCACGGGATTAAAAGTCACGCGCTCTACCACTGAGCTAAGACGGCTAGACGATTAATATTTCGTAACAAGATACTTATAGCAAAGAAATAATTTCTTAAGCCCGACAAGAGGCCAAGTGTTAGTTAAGCCCACCCAATTAATAAGCGACACAGCTGATTTAAGTTCGGCCCAGTTAATAAACGACGTCGTTTATAGAATCCGACGTATAAACACGCCTGAGGTTTTGTCGAACATTGCATCATCGTTCTTCGCCCTTCCGAAGTGCTTTTTCATCTTCCCCGTTGTATTCTCTCTAGAAATCGCCGGGGGAAAAAATAGGTTCAAAGCTTAATCTCTAATTCGTCGGAGAAATCGAACGATAGGTATATAAACACGGTTGCTTTTAGAAATTAGGGCACAAAACGATGCCCTTGTTTATGCCAGACGAGGAGCTGGCGCGGCTATCTAGCGACGCCGCGTCGGTGGTAGCTGAGAGAGCCGACGAGTATATACGGAAGCTGTACGCCGAGTTGGATAGTGTTCGTGCGAAGGCTGACGCTGCCTCCATTACGGCGGAGCAGACGTGTTCGCTTCTCGAGCAGAAGTACCTCTCCCTCACTCAGGATTTCTCCTTGCTTGAATCCCAGAATGCGCAGCTCCAGTCTGATTTCGATGATCGACTAGCTGAGCTCGCACAATCTCAGGCGCAGAAGCATCAGCTTCATTTGCAATCGGTTCGTCATTTTGCATTCGTGTGGGTTTTTTTACTGTCATTTTGGATTTGATTGTAATACTTGTTTGATGCAGATTGAGAAGGATGGAGAGGTAGAGAGACTGACTACAGAGATGTCAGAGCTGCATAAGTCCAAGAGGCAACTCATGGAGTTGTTGGAGCATAAAGATTCTGAAATTAGCGAGAAGAACTCCATAATCAAGAGCTATTTAGAGAAAATTGTGAGTGAAAGCTTACCTATTGTCACTAATTCTCTGTGGCTTGTAGCTTTAGCTGACTCGAATTTTACTCTTGTTTCATTGCTCAGGTTAAGCTGACAGACGCTAGTTCGGAAAAGGAGTCTCGACTTGCTGAAGCTGGTGCAGAATTGGCACGTTCCCAAGCTATGTGCAGTCGTTTATCTCAGGTCAGATGACTTTCTAATGTAATAACATATGTTAATCCTTTTTACAACAATGTTTATGACATATTGTTTCTGACGTAATCAGGAGAAAGAACTCATGGAAAGGCATACCAAATGGCTTGATGAGGAGTTGACAGCCAAAGTTGACAGTTATGCTGAACTCCGTAGAAGGCATTCTGATCTTGAGGCTGAAATGTCAGCGAAGCTCGTGGATGTAAGAACAGTTTCTTAGCTTATTCTAATGCTTCTTTCTGTTTTTCTTTTCTAAAATGCAGTTCAGTTACTGAAGTTTCGTCCCTCCTCTTTCAGGTTGAGAAAAATTATAATGAGTGCTCTAGCTCGTTAAATTGGCATAAGGAAAGATTGAGAGAGCTCGAAACGCAGATTACTTCTTTGCAAGAGGTATGCACGAGATAAAACACTTATCCTCTTTGTATCTTTTCATCATGTGCATTATGAGATTTACTTGTTTTTCTTCATATTTGAAGGAACTCAGCTCGTGCAAAGATGCAGCAACGGCCACTGAAGAGCAATACAATGCTGAACTTTTCACTGTGAGTTTTCAAATACTTGTCTTTTCAAACATTGAACCTGATTTCAGCTTTTTTAGGGGACTAGAGGCATTTCATATTCTCAGAAAGTTTTTCTCCCTAGTTGTTTTCTAGTGCAATCTAATCCATATCTTTGCTGCTGGCATAGGCAAACAAGCTTGTTGAGCTGTACAAGGAAAGTTCGGAGGAATGGTCTAGAAAGGCTGGGGAACTTGAGGGTGTCATTAAGGCCTTAGAGGTAAGTTTGCTGTCACAAATCAAAGGAAATGGATTGTATCTTTTGTGTATGTATGTTCCCCTGCTGACTTCAATTTATGACTAAACAGGCACGCTTGGGCCAAGTCGAGAGTAGTTACAAAGATAAATTTGAGAAAGAAGTGTCTACAAACCAGCAGTTAGAGAAGGTAATGAGACCCTTCAGTTCTATTGCTTACTTTGCTTAGCTCTGGTAACTACTTAGGTGACATCGCTTTCAACTTATATTGGAGGTATTACGTGTAGGAAAAATTGTTGCCATAGTATTGCGACACTCAACCTTATTATCAGATATGATACCTTGAATATAATTTGCTTGTTTTCTAAAATAATTTAGTTCGTCCGTCTTTGTATAAAAAGAGTATATTTTCCTATACTCTCATACTTTCAGTATTGAGAAGTTCCATCTTCAATTTCGTATAAGTGGGAAGTAGTTTCGGTGCATGTTCTTTTCTTTTGTGCATTTTGTATTTTATTTGCTAGAGAGAGAGTTAATTTTTGTTATCACCAACATCAGGAGAATGAAGACCTTAAACAAAAACTTGAGAAGTGTGAAGCAGAACTCGAGAAAACTAGGAAATCAGATGAGCTAAGGCTTATACCTTTCAGCAGTTTCACAAGGTATGTCTCATCTTTCTGAAAACAAGATATTTTCCAATTTTCTCAAACCATTATAGAATCACACCAAGACAGTAGATATGCATTTTTGTAAACTTGCCACTCAAATTTGCTACATTTGCTTGTCAAATCGGTCCAAAAACAAGTAAAAGTTGGGATTAGTGATATTGGTTGCTTAAAGAGGTTCACACTCCATACAGATTCTATAGTTCCCACCTATGATCCCCTCGCACCAACATGTAGGTCTGTTGAACAAAACATAGTGGCCACTAAGCTATTTTTTTTAATAGCTAGCTGTTGCTAGATACTTTACAATAGCTTCAGCTTTTAGGGGTTAACAGGGAATTAATTTTGTGTAGAGTGTTTAATCCATTAAAATAGATTTTAGTGGTTTTTAGATATGTATTTTGATTGCCGTAGTGTTCATGGAACGATAACATTCTCACATGTTTCTCCTGAAATTCCTTGGTTGCAGAGGGGTTGACGATTCTGGGACCAGCAGCACGATAGAGGAAAGCCTGGAAATAATTTCGAAGGTTCCTGCTGGTGTGTCAGGAACAGCGCTAGCTGCTTCACTCTTACGTGATGGATGGAGTGTGAGTTTCAGTTTTCTTATATTAGTCCTCTTTATCAGTGTCTCAACTCTTAATGTTGTATATATGCCTTTTTCATGTTTTGTAGCTGGCCAAAATTTATGAGAAGTATCAAGAGGCTGTTGATGCCATGAGGCATGAGCAATTAGGTCGAAAGGAAGCTGAGTTGATACTACAACGGGTATGATCTATTTGACCTTTTGAATTTAGATTTTAATCTTATTTGTCTATGTTTCATTAGTACTTTTTGTTACTGCAGTTCACAAATCACTTAAGCATTCTATTTCCTGTTAACTTATGTAAGAGTCGTGGGCTTGATGGGTCAATGCCTGAATTTAGAAACATACCTTTCCTTCTTCTCGTTATTTAACTAGATTTTTTGCCTTGAATGTTGCCTTGTAGGTTTTATCCGAATTAGAAGAGAAAGTGGGGTTCATCCAAGAGGAAAGGGGTAAGATCCGATTCTGTCCTCGCTAAGATTTCTTTCACCTGTGCAGATTGTTTACTTTTATCTTGTTGGAGACATCACACTTAAACTTATATTTGGTGGAATCTGTTTTTTGTTACCAGGTGAGTATGAGCGGATGGTTGAAGCTTATTCTCTAGTCAATCAAAAACTTCAGGATTCTGTATCTGAACAATCAAATATGGAGAAGTTCATCATGGAGCTAAAGGTACTTGATATTATCAAAGTGGCTATTGAGTTGCATATTATTGCTGTTCTTATACATTTATTTAAGTTGCATATTAGTGCTGTTCTTAAACATTCATTTAATTGATAGGCTGACTTGAGGAGAAGGGAACGTGAGAATATTTTATCACAGAAAGATATATCTGATCTACAGAAGCAGGTAATTTGACAATCTATTCTCCTTTGTACACCATGTTATGATTTTTCTGCATGTTTGTTGTGGTCTTCAGTTTCTTGACTAATATGATTTGCAATGATAATAGTTCAGCCTTTAGCTCACATATATATGCTCTAGGTGGCTGCCTAATCAATTGATACTTTGTGTGTGTACACATTTTAGGTTACGATACTTTTGAAAGAGTGTCGTGATGTCCAACTTCGCTGTGGAGCTGCCAGGGATGATGAAGAAGATGATCCTCAGCTTTCTGATGTTGAGATGGATATGGAATCTGAAGCTGATAAAATCATTTCTGAGCATCTTGTAAGTTTTTTCTTTCTTATTTTGGACATCATGTTTTGTGTTAGATTTTACTTGTGAAATCAATTCTGGATGCCTAATGTTTGTCCTCTTGTTGGGATGAATTTCAGTTGAAGTTTAAAGATATAAATGGACTAGTTGAGCAGAATGTTAAGCTCAGGAGTCTTGTTCGTAGTCTCTCAGAGCAGATTGAAAGTAGGGAAATGGAACTGAAGGTATGAACTATGAAGGACTTTTTCAGGTTTTGCTTCTGTATGGTATGGAATTTGAAAGGAATTTTTGGATCTCAGGAAAAGTTTGAGATAGACCTGAAGAAAAAAACCGATGAAGCTTCTTCCAAAGTAGCTATCGTGCTTAAAAGAGCTGAAGAGCAGGGACACATGATTGAATCACTGCACGCATCTGTAAGTCTCACCCCCCTTCAAATCTCTTCTCCATTGCAACACAGGCTCAATTGATCTGGGTTTTTATTCAGTGATTTATCATGTACATTTCATTCTTTTCAGGTTGCAATGTACAAACGATTATATGAAGAGGAACAGAAGCTTAATTCATCTTATTCTCGTTCTCCAGATTTGCCTCCTGGTTAGAGCTCTATACATCAATATGAGTTTAGTGATTATGTGTTTTTGCATAACCTCAGTTATTGATGTATTTTGTTAGCTGTAGTGCCGGGAAGGACGAGCTTTTTACATCTGCTTGAGGATTCGCAGGTAAAATAGATTGCAATTTTTTTCCTTCCTCTTCTTTCGTGTCCTCACTTAAGGCGCATCAAAGTAGTTATTTGGGATTCACCATGTTGACTCGATTGCTTGCTCCAGGAAGCTACTAAAAGAGCCCAAGAAAAAGCTTTTGAACGTGTCCGAAGTCTCGAAGAAGATTTAGCCAAGGCTAGGTATGTTTTATCGTCCTCTTGGCTTATATATATCACTCACTTTCTGGACAAGTTATTATTTTTTGTGCAAGAAAGTTTGTATAGTCAACGGTACGGCTGAATATGTAACATATTTTCTGGGTGTATTGTCAAGTTAAGAACTTCTTCCACCCAGACTATTCTAGCCAAGGAAAAAAAGTGTGGAAAGTGTAGTTCTCAGAAATTTAGTATATAATTACATGAAGTGTAATATTATATTTTAATACAACTACGTGAAAGAAGTCTGGATGGTATGCACATATATAGCATATATAAGCATGTAACTCAAAGTGTAGCCTGATATTTTCTGTCATTTTTATTCTCTTTTGGCTTGTTTTAATTGTTAGCTGAAAAACAGACTTTTAACAACGGGGTTGTTTGAATTATAGGAGTGAGATAATTGCGATAAGGTCTGAACGGGATAAGTTGGCCATGGAGGCAAATTTTGCGAGGGAAAAACTTGAGGGCATAATGAAAGAATCTGAACGCAAGGTGATCTTTGTGAAAAGTTCATATCATCAGTTACTTGTGTGGATTTAGACAAAGTTTTCACCTTCACTGTCTTTATATCAGAGAGAAGAAATGAACAGTGTCTTGGCAAGAAACATAGAGTTCTCGCACCTGATCATCGACCACCAACGGAAGTTACGTGAGAGTTCCGAGTCTTTGCACGCAGCCGAAGAGATTTCTAGAAAATTATCGATGGAGGTAATTATGAAATCACGCTCATTAATTTAACGATTTATGTGCTTTCATACTAAAAGTCAACTGTGCTATATAGGTCTCGGTTCTAAAACAAGAAAAAGAGGTGTTATCAAATGCTGAAAAAAGAGCTTCTGATGAAGTTTCTGCCCTATCTCAGAGAGTTTATCGACTTCAGGTTGAAAACATGAGAATTGTGCTAATTCTAATTAAAGTTGTGCATACTCTATTTCTTTTCGCTAACCAAATGTTCTGCAGGCTACCTTGGATACTATACAGAGTACAGAGGAGGTTCGCGAGGTAACAAAACCACCGTTGTTCCTTAGTTCACTTAATCTATACTGGAAGGTAATACTGATTAAAAATTTATATATTTACTAAAAAAACTTAGGAAGCAAGAGCTACCGAGAGAAGGAAACAAGAGGAGCATATCAAGAAACTTGAGGTCTATAGCATATTTTGTAATTCTTATCATCAATTTTCTTCATGATGTAAAAGCCTGAAAATTAACTGATTTTTTTGGATGGGGTTTTCTCAGAAAGAATGGGCTGAAGCTAAAACAGAATTGCAAGAAGAAAGGAATAATGCACGGCATAGCACTTCCGACCATAATCAAACCTTGAACAATGCTGTAATGCAGGTAGAAGAAATGGGTAAAGAATTGGCTAATGCCATGAAGGCTGTCTCGGCAGCAGAGTCCAGGGCTTCTGTGGCTGAGGTACTGTTTCAAGTCTATACCTTTCTTAATAACTTAGACTCATGAACACATTGACCGATCCCATACTGCATCGAGGTGCTGTACAGCACCAGCACCAACAGCGTTGAATATGGGGAGCTCTGGATCGCATACTCTAGCTTTCACAAGTCTATTTTTCTTAGTAACTGCTTTTGTGAAGTGAGCCTTTGCATGTTGTTTGGTTTGTGCAAGTTGATTTTACTACTTCTGAATAGTCGTAAACCAAATTCAAGAAGATTTAGTACATTAGCAATCCTCTAGATTTTTCAGCTTTCAGCCGTCCGTACTTTTACTGGCATGATCATTTTCGGCTGATTATTATAATTGATTTTTTTTTTTGAATGTGTAATATCAGGCTAGACTTTCTGATTTGGAGAAGAAGATAAGATCTTCAGATCCCAAGGTAAATGTTTTGATTTTTCTAATCATTTGAATTGTGAGGTTTAAATCAGGACTCTGATGATTACTAATTTTTTCTTGTATTGATTTTTTTCTTCGTTTTCACACTTTTAGGCTCTTGATACGGACAGTGGTGGAGTTGTCTCTCTTTCGGATAATGAGGTCAGTGAAGTCCTTCAGCATTATTTGTTTGTTTGGTAAAATAAGTTCTGATATGGTCTTAGAATTTAAATTCTGTAATTACGATATTGTTCGGATTTCATGGTTGCAGTCTTTTTGTATAGACGGTATTGTTATTATTCTAAACGATGTTGATTTTTCTTCGATAATGGAAAACATTTCTTGAAGATGTAAATGTGTCTCACGCAGGACTTAGGATATGCAGTATGCATTACCAAGCTAGTTGAATTATGTGATGTAGATTTGAGACTTTCGCTTAAGCAATTGTTTTAGTTTATCTTTTACTTGCTGCTAGCTTGCTATACAGCAATACAATATTTGGTGGTTGTAAGGTTGTATGTTAATTTTTTGCTGTTGTTTTTATGTACTCTAGATGTCCGTAGAACTACGTACTGCAAAGGAAGAAATTGAAAAATTAAGGGGAGAAGTAGAATCTAGCAAGAACCACATGCTTCAGGTACTTCTTGAATTTGCCTAGTTAGTTTTGATTTCACCACCACTAGGAACTGACCTCGTGGACCATCTTGCAGTACAAGAGTATAGCTCAGGTGAATGAAACTGCGTTAACGCAGATGGAATCTGCCCATGAGAACTTCAGACTTGAGGTACTGGTGAAACAATCATCTCATCTGGCTATGCAGCTATGTCCATTGGGATACAACTTGATCTGTTGTAGATTTTTATTTAAAACCTGATGGCTGTTTATAGGCTGAAAAGAGACAAAGATCGTTGGACGCAGAGCTTGTTTCTCTTAGGGAGAGGGTGACAGAACTTGAAAACGACTGTATACAGAAATCTGAGCAAATAGCCACTGCTGCTGCAGGAAAAGCTGAGGCTCTTGTATCAGCATCAGATGAAATTGCAAGTCTGAGAGAAGAAAGCTTGGTTAAAAGGTAAATGATCTATTATGTGGGAAATGTATTTTTTTACTCGTGGAAATCACACACATGTTCACCCTTGAATTGATATCATGTAATTGATTGCAGTTCTCAAATCGAAGCAATGAATATCCAAATGTCCGCTTTGAAGAATGACCTGGAGACGGAACATGAGAAATGGCGTGTTGCTCAGAGAAATTATGAAAGACAGGTTTGTTAAGGCTCTCTATTTTAAAAAGCACTGACCATCACGCATATTCACGTTGTTGAGTTTAACGTTTATTCTGTTCTCCTTTGCACCACAGACATTTCAACGACCTTTTTTTGGTTTTTTACTTTCTGGAATGCAGGTTATATTGCAGTCTGAAACTATTCAAGAACTGACGAAAACATCACAAGCTTTGGCAACCCTTCAAGATGAGGCATCTGAACTACGTAGATTAGCTGATGCAAGGGGAATGGAAAATGTAACTTCTACTCATACAAAACTTCACCATATATTTCAATACTTCCCGCAATTATTGCTGTTCACGTTGTCTATATTAAAAAGTGCTGATTCTTGACATTTTTCAATTTCGCCATGTTTTTTCAGTCCGAGATTAAATCCAAGTGGAGTGAAGAGAAACTTCAGCTAGAGCAGCTAAAGAATCTAGCGGAGAAGAAGTATCATGAACTCAATGAACAGGTGCTCTTTTGCAATCATTTTGTTTCCCATGCATAGGACATAAGCAATGCAATTTGGCACCTCTCGTCGTCAATATAGCAATCGGATCTTTACGTTGATGTTATTTAATAGTTCTTTCCTTATCATATTTGATGAGGATAATCTTTTCCAGTTCTTTTTGTGTTAACGTAGTTTTATCCAAACATGTGACATTATGTAGAGTTTTAATTCATGAGATGTTATTCACTGATCTTAATTGCTCTGTGCATCAGAACAAAGTACTTCATAGCCGACTTGAGGCTATGCATCTTCACTCGGCCGAGAAAGATAGCCGTTCTGGAATAGTATCATCTGGAAGCACCGACTCGGATCAACTTGGAGATTCTGGTTTGCAAAGTGTAGTAAATTACTTACGCAGAACAAAGGAAATAGTAAGAGAAGTTCCTTTTTGGGATTGCTTTCTCTTTCTTTCTGCCCGGTCTACATACTGTGTGGTTATTTAAATTGTGGGTATCTTTTTCGACAGGCTGAAACAGAGATATCACTGATGAGACAAGAGAAATTACGGTTGCAATCGCAAGTGAGTTGAAAAGAGAAAATTCCTCTGTTCTTTTCAGAGTTTTCGCTGCGTTATGAATTTTCTAATAACATTAATTGTTTAGCTTGAGACTGCCGTGAAGATGGCAGAATCTGCCCGGGGATCACTTAATGCTGAGCGGGCCAGTACAAGGGCCTCATTATTGACTGAGGATGAAATCAAATCTCTTCAGCATCAGGTAAAGTTGAATGATTTAATATCTGATAACATATGAACTAATGATTCTGCTTCTTCAGTTCATCTTGACTGAGAGTTCTCCTGTATTGCCAAATTCAATTTTCTGCTTGGAGTCTCTAACTAAGGCTGGATGAAGCTATTTTAATTATCTGACTTCAAAGTTTACCTTGCAGGTTAGTGAGATGAACTTGCTCCGTGAAAGCAACATGCAACTCAGGGAGGAAAACAAACACAATTTTGAGGAGTGCCAGGTTCGTAGTGGAATTTTCATGGAGATTTCTTCCGAGTGACTGAACTCCTTTGCACTACCTGATTCTGTTAAGTGTCTTAGAGAAAGCTGATAAAACTTGTTTAAACTTCAGAGATTGCGTGAGGTAGCTCAAAAGGCTAAGACGGAATCTGAAAACTCGGAAAATCTAATGAAGCAAAAGCAAACCGAGTTAGACTTGTGTATGAAAGAGATGGAAAAGCTAAGGATGGAGACAGATCTTCAAAAAAAGAGGGTTGATGAGGCAAGCCATTTCAAACTTCTTGGCCATATATATATATATATATATATATATATTTGCTCATACTCACAGTTAACTTTTCGTTTTGTGAAGTTGCGGGAGACGTATAGAAACATTGATGTTGCTGACTACAATCGCCTCAAAGATGAAGTGCGGCAACTAGAGGTAATGTGACATTGCTGAAATTTCTGTATTAGTCATGTTCTTCCATGGGTGTGGACGGATTCTGATGTAGTGTAGGATTATTGTCTTTTTCACTGATGAGAATTTCTGATGAATTATTTATTGTTAGTGTTCGAGTGACGCCGATGCTATCAAATGTGTAGAATTTGAATCGCCATACTATTTTAAGCTCTGCTTTTCGTATTATTTCTCATGACGCCATGATATGACTCTTTAGGAGAAACTGAAAGCGAAGGACGCTCATGTTGAAGATTTCAAGAAGGTTCTTTTAGAAAAGCAGAATAAGATATCACAACTAGAGAAGGAGCTAACAAACTGCAAAAAAGAACTGAGTGAGAGGGAGAAGAAGTTTGACGTTGCTCAGCAAGAACAGGTAGAATGAGAATTTCTCTCTCTCTCTCTTGACGAAAATTTATCTGTTTAATGTAGAAGGAGAACTTATTCCCATGTAGATCTATTTTTACCCTATCTGTGTGCTTTTTGTCAGGCTACTATGAAGTCAGATATTGAGAAGCTGAATGCAGAGATCCATAAGCATAAATCAGATTCTGATAAGTTCAGGAAATTATTTGCTAACATGAAGAAAAAGTACGAGGAAGCCAAAGAGGGTAAGTATTATTTTTGAATTCTAAATCCCGTTGCATAAGTTTCTGTTGGTATTTGCTTATGTTTCCTATTGATGCCAAAAGCTGGAAAGAAAACAACAACTGATGCTATGGTGGAGCAAGCCGTTAAGGAGAAAGATGAAAAAGAACAAAAAATTCAGGTATTACATAAATTGTATTTTTTGTTTATGGCTCCCTTATTACCGCTACATGTGTTTCTGTTATTCTTAGACACATCAAATTTTGCTGCAGATTTTGGATAAGTATGTTCATACTCTGAAAGACGAGATGAGGAGGAAAGACGAAGAAATTAAGAAAAGGGATGAGGAATTAACCAAAGAGAAAACAGAACGCAAGTCTGCTGAGAAGGTAGTTGGAGACACCTTGACCACAGTTAAAAAGGTTCGCTTCTCTTCAGCCTCACTTGTGTGCTCTTGTCAGTCACCGTCTTGTAGGCAAATTTAGTAACTTAGTTCCTCTTGATTCTCTACTTTGAAAACTTTCACCCAATACCTTGTAGCTCATATGTTCACTGTCTGTTTCTCAGGAGAAAACAAAAGTGGAAGAAGAGCTTGTTAAGCTCGAGAGGTATCAGACAGCCTTGGCTCATCTCTCTGAAGAACTGGACAAATTGAAGCAAGCGGATAACAATCTTCCTGAGGTAACAAGCTCTATGTAATTTGGATTAATTTTATGGTTTTAAACAAGGTTAAGTGTATGATTAATTCACCAGTATATGCTCTAAACTCTTCTTTCTCTCTTTCTCAACAGGGTACTTCAGCTGTCCAGGCTCTCTCTGGAAGCATATTGAATGACCAAGCAGCCGCCTACGTATCAGCTGTAGACTACTTCGAACGCATGGCTCGTACTATTGTCCTCAATTCTCAAGGCAGCTCGAAATCTACCGATATGGTGACTGAACCTTCCTCTGGTACAGCTGAGCCTTCAACCATTACGAGAGCCTCTCCTTCTGTGCCTTCAAAAGCCCCAGTGGCAACTACCCAGCAGCCACCCAAGGCATCATCTGAGGTTAACAAAGAGAAGAGATTGAGTTTACAGAAACCAAGCGTTGAGCAGATCCGCAGACCGAGCAGAAGGATTATTCGTCCCCAATTTGTCAAACCAGAACCTCCCCAAAGTGATGTTGAGATGCCAGAGGCTGAGGGAGCTGGTGATGAAGGGAAACAACCTTCCTCCCATGTAGCAGAGAGCAAAGCAACCACGATTGTACCACCTGCTCAAACACATGTCCGTAAACGCCAGGCTGATTTGTTGGCCTCTGAGCCACAGCAAGCGACTGAAGCGGGAACCAGTTCTGAGACTGCACCACCGGCGTCGAAGAAGTTGAAAGGATCCGAGTCACAACCTGATTCTGCCGAAGGTGAAAACCTCTCTAAAGAGCCAGCCGTTGATGAAGCCATGGATGCTACGACTGCTGCTGATGGTGACAATGAAGAAATCGAAGCCGAGACTGTGGAGGAGGAAGCTGATGAATCAGTTGAAGCACAACAAGAGAACGAAGCTGAAGTACAGGACAAAGCTGATGAGCCAGTGGAAGAAAACCCCACTGAGACAGAAACCATCCCTACTGAAGAAGAGGATCAGACCGAGCAAGAGAATCAAGATCTTCTGACAGACGTGGAGTTCGATAAAGAAGAAGGAGAGCTCGACCTCGATACATTGGAAGATCTCGACGAGGCTACAGATGGAGCTACCACGATAAGGAGTCCAGAGATGGGAGAAATGCAGCCTGAGACGGTCGCTACACCCACGCAGTCACCTAGTAGGATGGAGGCAACAATGGAGGAAGCTGAAACAACCATTGAACCACCACTAGAAGATGTAAAGAACGATGAAGGAGGCGATGTAGCTGCTGAAGAAGCCGCTGATAAACCCAACAATGGTAACGAACAACAACAACAAGCAGCAGAAACCGAAATCAAGCCAGAGACAACAGTAGCTGCTTCTTCCTCTACTACTCCAGCTTCTGCTGCTTCCCCAAGCGAAACTCCAGAAACCGAAGAAACAAAAAGAGCAGCGTCGCCAAGTGGAACTGTTGTGGTACTCGCAGATAAAGCAAAAGAGAATTCAGCCAAGAGACTAAGAGGAGCCTCTCTAGCAGCCGCTCGAGCTCCTTTGCAACCTACCCGAGGTCGCGGCCGAGTTGTAAACATTCGAGGCGGTGGCAGACTGGTGCCTCGTGGTGGTCGAGCCCCTCGTGGTGGACGTGGAAATTCCCCGAGCCAGCCTTGATTTGTTTCATCATTTTTCCTTCCTACGAGACTTAGTCAGGCAAAGGCTCCTTGAAGAGAGAATTTATAAACGTAGAGAACTCTAATGTCTATTTAAACCTCTTTTTTTTGTGTTCCTCGATTTTCAGATTTCACTATAAAATCAAACCCCTATCATTGCCAATGATTACAAATTGCGAAACATACAATAAAACACAAACACACAACCAAAGTGAAAGAAGAACCCAACATTACACCATACAACAAGAAGCCACCCACTCGTTATAAAAAAAAGCAATCCGAAACAATCGGATGGTTTATATTTGATCCTTAAAAAAAACAAAACCAAAAACACCAGAGCTTCTTCTACTTAGTTCACAGTCCCGGTTAACTCTGTTTCTCCCTCTTTGACTTTATCAGATATCTCCATTGTTTGGAAATCAGCAGCCAAGTCTTCTTCTTTCTTCTGTAATCAAAGAGTTAATAATCGTTAAGAGTACAATACAAGGAAGAAAAAGAATTTGATTGCAAGATCTTAAGAGGAGGAAACTCAGGACCTTTAATGCAGGAGGGAACCTCAGCTTCTTCTGTACCATAACCTTCTCTCTGTTTTCATAAAAATCGAAATCATCTAATATTGATGTCTTTGCTGCATAGTTCTTGAAGATGTTCAACACTTCATTCCCTTGTGGCAACCTCACCTATATATATGAAAGACAATGTTTTAAACATTATGTCATGATTTGACTTTATTTCTTGAGCCACTAAAAAAAACGAAACTTTTGGTTACCTCTTGTGTGTCTCTGCTATTAGTAACAGGCTTGTTCTCATTGTTCTCAAGAATTATATGTCGTAGTTGAGGATTTGGAACATCTTTGATGATATGCCACTTAACCGGGAAATAGCCGGTCCACTTATCTTGCTGCCAAAACTCCATGCTTTTCTCATAATCCACTCGTCCAACCATCTCAGCTACACCACAGAATTGGCCACTTGCATTCACCTGAATCCGATACAACCGATTAGAGAGAGAGAGAGCAATAAGGTGTCACAAGAAATGAATAGCCAAAGTCATATTTGCATACCGAGAAGAAAAGGAAAACAGGGCACTTCCCACTTTTCTCTGAAATCTTCTTTTGAGATAATTGAAATGCACTGTCTAACTTCTTGTTCCCATTGAGAGTACTTGACCAGACATTGTACTTGATGCTCTTGTGAATGTCGTCTTCGCTATAAGATTTTATCACAAAGAACATTGCTTCCTCGTGCTTTGTCTGAAAGCTAGACAGGTTATATTGATCCCTTCTGCTCACAGACTTGCTTATTTCTTTCCCTTCAACATCCACCGAACATGACTCACATTCTCCATTGACAACATGTTCTTGGCCATTCTCTTTGTTCCTCGCTTTCGCCTTCTCTGTCTCATCACGATTTAAAGCTCCAGACTTTTTCTTTACCGGCTCTGCAATTCCACCTCTCTCTTGATTATGCACTGAGACTGGAGCATAGCTGTTCTGTAATGAAGAAAGAAAAAGATCAGTCAAATCATCTACTCAGAAAATGTGAAAGAGAGAAGATTACAAGGGAAGAAAACACGTTACTTTTCGGGGTGTTTTAGGACGATCGAAGGAAGTCTTGCTCTTTGAGTAATAATTGCTATGGTTATGGTTATTGTTATGACTTGAAGAAGATATGTTCTGTTTCAAAGGTTGAGTATTTGAAGCAACACCATACACATACTTGTCTCCGATAGGATCCCATAGATAGGTCGGCGATGAAACATCTCCATAACCATATTGGTTCTGATAATATCCCTGAGCAGTTGCATAAATCGGCGAATGAAGCGCCTGGCTTGATACACCAACAGGGCTTATAGGCATATAAGTGGGGCTAACATGATCATAAGATTGATACCCTGGCATCATGTAGATCAAAGATCCATTTTCCCCTTGCATAACCTTTAAAAAATCAAGATCAAGAAAATGGTTTAAGTCAAAGCTTTGATTCATGGAGTAAATAAAAATTTCTTGACAAGGAAGTTATTATTACCGGGTACTGGACTTCTGTTCCATAACCATAGTATCCATTATCTTTTGCTTCTCCAACTGTACCATCAAGACCTGTAAACACACACACACAAAGTAATTCAGAATTATGAACATAAAGAATAAATATTTGATTGTTTTGTATTAACAGTTTTTTAAAGGAAGCAAAACCTGGATAGTAGAATCCATAGTAGCCACCATAAGGACAAGGCAAGCCTTGATATGTCTCAAGAGTTCCATAATATTGCTCTGACTGGCTCTTCTAAAACCCAGAGATCAAAACAACAAGAACACAAGAAATATAATGTTAAAAAACATCAACAAAACAAATATATCGTTCTCAAGAGATTATGCAGATTAAAGAAAATGAAATTTTACCATGGAAGTGGTGGAGGCAGTGACCTTAGCATGAGGATCGACTTTAAGGTTCTTCACCATATCTTCAATGGCTGAAACATATAAAGAAACGTTACCTTAAGAGATCAGATTCAGAAATCCACCAAGAAACCAAATCAATATATGTGAGAAGACAGGTTTGAAACGTGAACTGATGTCTGAATATTTAGTCGTACCGATAAAAACTAACAACTAAGCGTGAGCTAAATATATATTTATAAATTATAATTACTTTTGAAGATAAGACTGTTGAGTCTAATCACAAGAAACAGAGCACTATACATACGTAGGTATATATATATATACACACACACACAGAATTCAGGTAAAGGTCAAGCGCAAAAGTTAAAGACTCTTAAGAACAACATAGACTATACACGTGTGTGTGTATGTGTGTGTGTGTATGTGCGTGGGTAAGAGAGTACATTTACGAGGATGTTTTGGAACATGAGAAGTCATCGACGAAGTAAAAGAAGAAATTAAAGGATTAAGTATACATGTGTATGATTAAAGAAAAAAAGGTAAACTAAAAACTTTTCAAACAAAGAGAAAATTCAAAACACAGATGAAGAAGAAAACAAAATCGAATTATCCGTTTTACAGAGGTTTATATCTCTAGAACCTTAACTCAAAGAAAAAGAAGAAGAAAAAAATAGATATTCAACACGAAGACATCAGCAAAAGATATCATTTTTACCTGAAAACAAAGTACAGATGTGGAACAGAGAAGAAAGAAGAAAAAAAACAGAGAGATGAGAGAGAGAAAAATGGTAATGGCTAATGAAGAAGAAGAACAGAGAGGTTTTTTTCCCTTTTTCTCAATATTTTTGTTTCCCTTCTTATTTATTTAGTTGCAAAATATAGAAATGGAGAAACTAAAAAAGAGGCTGAGAAGAGGTACAAATGGAGGGTAGAGAATAGACCACGTCATGGAATCGTGAAGTGAGTGACTGCTAACCGTTGGATTTGATTACAAGGCGAGATTATGACATCTTTTCTTGCCAACTTTTCCATCTGGAATCTATTCTTACACAACTCTCTTCAAAGTGCTTCTTCAAAAGGTAATAAAAAGGGCAAAGAAGAATCTTAAATTGGCATTAGCTAACACAATTAAATTACTATTTTTTCATAGAATATATTAATATATAAAAAGATGGAAATTAGGACCAGTTCTCATGGTCGAGCAAACAATAAAAAGCATAGAATATAATATAGATAGTTGAAAACCATGGAGTTGACTCTCTCTCCATGTATCCTTCAAGCCGAGCAATACCACAAATGAAAGAAAAAAAAACAGAAAAATGATATATTAATCTATGAGTTTTGCACTTTTTAGTATTTTCTAAACCATATATACTTATTCTTCATTGTTCTTATGTTTAATCATTCTTTGATGAAAAAAAAGATGAACAATTCCTATACGCTACAGTAGTTGTTTGGATTTTTCTTTTTTATTTATTTTAATGTTATTTAAGATTATAGATTGAGATCTCTTGCTAATGCTACTGATATGCTTCCATTATTGCAATCTGAGTTTTCTTTTAAAAATTTGTTTCATTAGGTGTCAAGTGGCCCATTCATGCATATAATAAACAGACAATTGTATACTGTACATGTATATTTCTATGCTTCCCACCAAAAATCCAGATCCCATTCATAGTTATCATTTAAAACTGTTCCATAAAATTTGTGGATATCACAAGTCTATATAAGCTTAACTATCCTAGAAAATGAACTCTAATGAGATTAACTTCTCTCTTTGTGAGACTGCGACTAACAAATATTGCATCACCTTGCATAAAAGGGGTTTTCTCCATTTAGTATTATATCCAAAGTAGATATTGCTTCGGGATCAAGTATAATTCGTCAACATCGCATAAGAAGCCAAACAAACCAAAAAATTCATATGATCCCACTATTTAATACAATAATCCAAATTTATGGAGCGTAAGAGAATTACAAGGTGCCACGTTTTGTGTTTGCCGTGGCCTAAACGTGTCTACTTCACATCTATATGATTTCTTTTCGTCTTTCATTTTTATTTTTGCTAATAAAATTTGCTGTCATGTTTTTTCTGGAATTGTGATTACGTATGTTTCATTTAAGTTTATAATATTGCATAGAAGAAATAGCCCTTTTTACAGGCTACAAGTAATTACACAAGGAAATATAGCCGTTTTTACAAGTTGCAAGGATCGAATCTTGTAATTTTGAAACGAAGTGTAAGCAAACAATTAAGAAGACAAACTTATGAATACTGAAGCTATGGGAGTTGAAAGATTCCGATTTCCGCCTTATAGGACGAGCTTCTAATGGGCTTTCGCCGTTTTCTATAAAGCCCATTTAACTCTCACTAATTATTGTGGTTACAACTTGCAACTTCTTCTTGACTACACGAAATCTTACAAAGAGATATCAAATATTCATCAACAGAGCGATTCTACATAATAAGCATTCATCGTTCGTGAGGATTGCAGGTTTCAGAGCTTGTCGAGAATGGCTTTGAGATGTGGTTGAAGATGGTTTGTGGTTGTACTCATATGAACCACGTATGACAGTTTTCCATTAACCAATTCAAATCCTCTGCTAATCTCCTTCACCTGTATTGGAGAAGACAATATCAACAATCCCAATTACTTGAATTGGTAAATTATAAAACTTCTCTCAAAAGTCCAAACCTTGGATGCGTTTCCCACAAGCTCACTTTTGAGTGTGATTGATTGCTCTTCTACATTGTAAGTCCCTTTCTGAGATCATTTGAATCAGAATCATAAACTTGACTTGTGATTTTTGTTTTGCAGAGTTCGTTAAGAGGAAATGAGAGCTTTTACCTGGACTTCGACGAGACCTGTGCTCTGAGCTATGACGACTTCAATTGAACCGTCGGGCTTTGGACGGAAGTAACCGCTCTCGGCGTGCATCGGCTCTCCTGATTCCAACCTCCATGTCTTCTGCGTATACGCTATCACCGGCTAGTAGACAACAGTAGGAAGAAGATAGTAACTCTCAGTCTCAGCTCAATCAGTTTTCGAATTCGGGATTGGAGAAGATCGAATCGAGGAAACGATGAAGAGAGATTCCGATCGTTACCTTGCCGGAATGTGAGAAACGGAGCTCTTCGCCGTAGCGGAAAGAAGGTATGGTTGGGTAAACACCATCACCTTGCCCTCTCCACGTCCCTAACAGATACGACAACGGAGCAACGAAAGGGTGCACCGGCGGCGGCGGCGCCGTTGGCCGTTGATTTTCGTGGTCCTGCATCTGATTCATTCACCACTTTTCACTCGTGTCGAGATCTGTGATTTTTGAAATTTTTGGAAAAATAAAAAGCATTTTTTCTCTGGCCTCGGGACGACAATAGTCAACGGAAAAGTGGAGCGTGGATTTTAGGCGCGTGAGGTTAAACAAGGTAAATCTGCTAAAGCAGGCCCAACAAAAGTAGGCTTTAGTTGGGCCTAAACTAACTTTCCCTCGCTTTTTCACTTTATAAATTCAGTTTATTCTGTTATTCTGTCTATGAATAAAAAGGATTAATATACACTAAGGTGATGAAGTTTCGAAAAATTCGATTACATTTATCGAATTGTCTATATGGAAAGAAGAGAGATAATTAAGGGGACAACACAATTTCCTTCGTCTTCAAATTTGTCAAAGGAACTTTTCCTCCCTCCACTTCTCCACTATCTTTGGAACACATAAATTACTTTTTCTCCATCCATTTCTTTTTCCTCTCTTTTTCCCTAATTTCCACCTTATTTCTTCATTTCAAGACAATTCTTTATGTTCACCAAAAGAAATATTGGATAAACAAAAACACATAATCTTAATATCTTGATACTACTAAATCATTAAGAAATAGAAGACTTTTTTTTGTTTCCCTGTTGCTCAAAATCCTTCATGGTTTCCCCAAACAACTTCATACATGAACGGTAAATTGTTGCAATCTTATGCCCCATTTCTTTGATTTGTTTAAACAATAACTTATTTATTTACGTACCTAACTCGACGTGCAGAGCAATCCTTTTGCTTGATTCTATTCAAAAGACATGAGTCCTGAACATTCGTGACACCGAGTAATGTCCAAATATGGATGATAAAGGAACTCCCTCAAATTGACCTCTTCTCACGAAAAAAAAAAGCTTTAATCTTTCTACATTGAAACAGGTTTCTCTGATCACAAGGACTCGCCGTGGTTTCTCGCTGCTAATGTTAACAAAGCCTGGAAAGAAGCTTGACTCCTCCGAGGTAGGTACCGGCGAGGCTGTCCTAAGTATAATGATCGGAAAATTTGCATATTTATTCAGTTGAGTTTTTTTTTTTCATGTGCAGTCAAGTCATCATGTCTCGTCTTCCTTGGGAGCAAAGGAATCAGCTAATCATACAACGAATTCAAATTATCCACCGTTAGATATCGTTCATCAATCTTCACAGCCACGCAAAGAGATGCAGAGGCCAATGTTTGATCCCAAGAAGATGGACAATCTTATAAAACCAGAGCCATCTGGCTTCAGCAGCAACCACCACCGTCCAATCCCAAGCCCGAAAATCCCATCCTCACCTAGTTCCGAGCCACAACAACAGGTCAACACATCAAACTCATACACCAAACCAAACAACATCCCAAGCCCTAAAATCCCATCCTCACCTGGGTCCGAGTCACAACAACAATTCAACACATCAAACTCAAACACCAAACCAAACAGTAACAGTAACAGCAACATGAGCTCGAGAAGCAACAGCATTGAGAGCACTTCCTCTAATCCCTCTAAGCCACACACAGGTGGTGACATTAGGTGGGACGCTGTGAATACGCTAACCTCCAGAGGAGTCCAGCTCGGGATCAGCGACTTCCGGCTTTTGAAACGGCTAGGTTATGGAGACATTGGTAGCGTTTATCTAGTCGAGCTCAGAGGATCCAACACCTATTTCGCCATGAAAGTTATGGACAGAGCTTCCTTGGCTAGCAGGAACAAGCTCTTGCGAGCTCAAACGGAGAGAGAGATCTTGTCTCTGCTTGATCACCCTTTCTTGCCCACTTTATACTCTCACTTCGAGACCGAGAAGTTCTATTGTTTGGTCATGGAGTTTTGCGGCGGCGGCAATCTTTATTCCTTGCGACAGAAGCAACCCAACAAATGTTTCACCGAAGAAGCATCCAGGTTAGTATTATAAAAACAGAACATTTTTATTTGAATATATATGAAAGTAAAAAAAAAAAACATTTTTGTTTCATTTCTTTACAGATTCTTTGCTTCTGAAGTGTTATTGGCATTGGAGTACTTGCACATGCTCGGAATTGTGTACCGTGATTTGAAGCCGGAGAATGTTCTGGTCAGAGACGATGGACACATAATGCTCTCCGATTTCGATTTATCCCTCCGTTGCTCCGTTAGTCCAACACTCGTCAAGTCCTCCTCCGTCCATGGCGGCGGTGGAGGCGGAAGCAGTCGGCCTGTCGGGCTCATCGACGAAGAATCGGCGGTTCAAGGTTGCACCCAGCCGTCCGCCTTCTTCCCGCGGATCCTCCAGTCCGCGAAGAAGAATCGAAAGGCCAAATCGGATTTCGGGCTCTTCGTCAACGGATCCATGCCGGAGCTCATGGCGGAGCCAACAAACGTTAAGTCAATGTCGTTCGTCGGTACACACGAGTATTTAGCACCGGAGATCATCCGCGGAGAAGGACACGGAAGCGCCGTAGATTGGTGGACGTTCGGGATCTTCATCTACGAGCTTCTCTACGGATCGACGCCGTTTAAAGGACAAGGAAACCGCGCGACGCTCCACAACGTGATCGGGCAAGCGCTGAGGTTCCCGGAGCTCCCTCACGTGAGCTCTGCGGCGAGGGATCTCATCAAGGGACTGTTGGTTAAGGAGCCGCAAAAACGGATCGCTTACAAACGAGGCGCGACGGAGATCAAGCAGCATCCGTTCTTCGAAGGTGTGAATTGGGCGCTGATACGGAGCGCAACGCCGCCGCACGTACCGGAGCCGGTGGATTTCTCGTGTTTCGCGAGTAAGGATAAAGAGACTTTGGCGGCTGTTGACGGCGGGAAGAAGAGCAACAACGGTGCCGGAGGATGTGGCAGTACCGGCGGTGGAGATGGCAAAAATAACGGCAGTAGTAATGCTGGTTGCCATGATCCTGATTACATTGATTTTGAATACTTTTAGCAACTGATAATGAGTTAATTAATGACTATACTTGTTCAGACAATTTATGATTTTGCTGTCTTTACATTTATAGAGATGTTCTGTAATGATAATTGTCTTATTTTACTCAACCCTTTTATTAGAGTGTTTTATTTTTTTCGATTCGAAGTGTATAATTTGATGGTCCTTTTATCAACCATGATTTTGATTCTGATGTCTGTAAATTTGTAAATATATAAAATTTAAAGGGAAATCATTTTGATTTTGAGTAGTAGACCAATTCAAGTAACTCATCTTATCCAGCTTTAGTCACGTTTTTTTTTTTTTTTTTTGTTAAAGGGTTTTCATTAAAATAAACGGAGTTCGTACAAGCGAGGAACTAGATAGAGAACAGAAACAGAAGAGAAGAAGAAAGAAGGGTGTGGAAAAGGACTAACGGCTTCCCCGAGATGGGTTGCCCGAGGTCCAAAGACGCAGCAGCGATTGACCCCTGCCAGAACCCGTATTCCGCAAAGCTATTGCCTTGTTTATAAGTAAGCAAAGAATCTTGTGGAAGACCTTGTGTGATGGAATCGTCGTTCCGTCATGGAAACGCCTGTTTCTCTCTCTCCAAAGCTCATATATGCAGGCCTGCCAACCTTGCACAATAGCGAGTGAGACAATGGCTGAGGATGAGGCTGAATGTAACCAGAGAACTATGTCCTCCCATTTCGATGGAACCGCTGAAAGTCTCAGCCTATGCATCAACTGGAGCCAAATCTGATTTGTGAACGAGCACTCGAAAAATAAATGATCTCTAGTCTCATGCTCGATACCACAAAGCAGACAAGTTGACTCAACTTCAAGACCCCAAGCACTAAGCCGATTTAGCGTTGGGTTTCTGTCCAGCATGAATACCAGGTTATTGTAGAGTGCTTTGGGATAGCAACTTTATTCCACACCAACCGATGCCACTGCACCTCCGACTTTACTGGCCTTATCTCTTCCCAGATTTCTTTTGAGACAAACGAAGTTTTAACTTGCTTGTCCACTGTCCAGACCGGAACGTCATTAGCTTGAGATGGGGTGATTGAGGAGATGAAGGAAAAAACCTCTAGTTGCAAATCTGAGCGTGCCGGAGGAAGAATCCAAGCATCTCCTGAGATGTAGTCCGAGATCAGAGCATGAATAGGAATCCCTAGGGATGTGGTGCCCTGAGTTCCCAGATAATTGATGAGGGGACCAAAAGGTGTCCAAGGATCCCACCAAAAAAAAGAGTCTTCACCATTTCCAATTTGAATCGATAAGAATCTAAGAGCTTTTTGGCGAAGCTTTAGGATTTTTCGAAACATCCAAGAGTAAGTGGGATTTTCGTCATTTAAGGACCAGAAACTGTGCCGTGAGAGATACCGGTTACGGATCCAAGCCACCCAGATAGATCCTGACCTGAAGAAAATCATCCACAAAAGTTTTAACCCACAAGTTTCATTCCAGGAGGATACAAGTTTGATTCCCAAACCACCTTCTGACTTTGGGAAGCTCAAAGCCTCCCACGATACACGAGCTCCGATTGGTATATCCAATTTACCGTGCCAAAGAAAAGAGCTGCAAAGCGAGTTTATTTTCCTGATGACTGATTTAGGCAGGAAGAAAGCTTGTGTCCAAAACCCAATTAGACCTGTAATTACAGAACTTATGAGCCTCAAACGCCCAGCTAGACTTAGATGTCTATGCGTCCATCCATTCATCTTTGTTCTGATCTTAGAGATTAGTGGATCACAATCCGAGACAGAAAGTTTCCTTGAATAGAGCGGGAGACCCAAGTAGCGAATAGGTAAGGAGGTAGGATCCAAAGTGAACCGGTTTTTTATCTCCAAAAGGGTCGTTTCTGGTACTCCTGCGCAAAACATCGAGGTTTTGGAGATATTGACAGCCAAGCCATAAAGTTTTTCAAACTGTGAAAGGACTATAAAAGTTTTAGTCACGTTATTAGTGCAAATTTTTGATTTTGTCTGTATTACTCTAGTGTTTTTATCTTATTACAATCAATAATATTATAATTTATGCTTAGTTTTTTCATTTAACCAGTTTAAGATAAATATGAAGAAAAAATTAGGAATAATCAACTTTTGAGAGTCCAATATTCGACGTTAAGGCCAAACAATTTTGATATATTATCTCTTTGAGAAAACGAGTAACTAAAAAAGGAAAATATCTAGATGAATCGAACGGCTCAAATCAACCAAATAAAGTCAGCGAACGACAGCTGGACCAGCGTTAAAAGTTGTTTGACTACACCGACTTTGAAACATTAATCCTGACCGCTGAAATAAAGTTTACCATATCTCGACCGTCAATTGCTTTCCCACCTCATCTATAAATACTGCTTCCCTCGTTATCAAATTCTTATCTCTCACCACATCTTCCTTTTTATTTTCTTAGGCGATCTGGCTGGTGATCTTCTTAAGAACGCATCTCTTAGGCAATATCGCAGGGATTCTCGAAGCGATTATCGAATCATTTCTCCTTCTTACACCTTCACAGATTGTTTATTTGTCTAGATTTGGTTTCTAAATTGCGTCGGTGGCGTTTCTCTTCATTCAATTTCGCTTGTCGTTTTGGTATTTTAGATTGCGGAGGGTGCTTTGATTGATCGGAGAAGGATTTGATTGATATTTGTCACGCGTTTTCTCTACGTTACGCTTTCAGGCGGGTATCGTAGGTGTTCTTCCTCTGGACGTAGCTCTCTTGTTATATTTTTCCTTATGAAGCGAATTTGGATCCGATCATCGTTGCCCGGCTTGCGCCGCTTCTGATTTTTGATTTTCAGGGATTGTTAGGTTTCTAGATTGCATCGGTGGCTTTGTTCGGTGGTAGCTTTGGTAGCATCGTTCGTTGTCACGCGTTTTCTCGTTTGGTGGCTTATTAGAGTTTCTGTTTTCCTAATTCCTAATTTTTAATTCCCGTGAGCTGATTTTCCTTTTCGTCTATCTTAAGCGAATCGTGTTTCTCGTTTTGATATAGAAGATCGAGGCTCCAAGAGAGAAAAGCATCGGGATGGCTCTAATCGATCTTATTCTCCCCGTTTTTAGGTTCCTCTGATTTCTCGTGCTATATTCGTTTGAATTACTCTCTCCTTTCGTTACAGATTCGTCGAGAATGCTAACCGGGAAAATTATTTTTTGGTTATCGAGTTTCTTATTACACCTACGGCTTATTTTTGTTGAATTTTGGCTATTGTGTGGAGGTATGATGTGTCTTCTGTTGCCTTATGGTGTTTTTCAGATCTCTTTCATTAGCCACTTCAATGTGTAAACACATTCAGATGGATCATAAAATCGTTTGACATTGGTTTGCTCCTTTTTTTTAATCCCTCAACATGTGTATTTAAGTATATGGAAACGGTTTGTCTTGGTACTCTTCTATTGTATAGTTTTGGTGATTAGTTGGCCGGGTTGGTTGAAGCTCCGTTACTCTATTCTGGAGGTTTACTTCTCTAAAGGTCGTTACTGTTCTTGTTCTTGTAATTTTGGAGTATTGTGCTTTTATACCTTTGACGATGATTCGGGAATTATTGCTTTGATCTGTCGTCATCCCCTGTTACTTCTTTAGGGTCCCTGTATCACTTGATGTTAGTCTTATCTATTAGGAGGAGGAAAGGCACAAGGTTACTACTTGGCCGCTTTCTTAGTGGTCTCTTTTGGTACAAGTCTCATGCTACATCTATTGCTGGTCTACATATGTTTGTTAGGGCGGCTGCTTTTTATGTGCTTTACCTTCCTTGGTTATAGGTGTGTTCAGGATTCCAAGGAGGCAAGTTCCATTTTGATTTATTTGCCTCGAAGGATGGCTTTTGATCTTCAGTCTTCTCTTGTTTAACTCTTTGACGGTTTCATCTATTCCCCGTTTTTGTTCTTTTCTGGTTTTTATCAACTGCACCTTCTTGTGTACGCATTATATTATTGTCCTCTTCTCTGCGTCTTGTTGTGTTGTCCAGATCTGTTTCACCAATCATTTCACTCTGTTCCTCAACGGTGTACACTTCCTTGATGAAAGATGGTTTAGACACTTTGTTCAATACATGTGGTTATTCAGGTTTTCGTTTCTTTCCTTGTGGCATCTGTCGCAGTCTGTTGGTTTTCACATGCTGCAATATGATTTTGATTTACTATTGTTTTTTTTCACGTTAACCGGTGTTGCTGGTCTTCGAAGGGATTCTGGTATTTTTTGGTATTTTTTGCTATAGATCGATGAGATTTTGAAGGAGAAAAGCATCAGGCTTCTACATGGTCTCTTTATGGTTTATCTGTTACCTCTTTGGTGGTTTCTTCTTTTCCCTGCTTTGTTTACTATATTAGTGGAGATATGATCAAGCTTCCTTCCTTTTTTTATTTGGCTTTTCTGAATTTTATAGTATACATATTTTCTATGGTTTAAATGCTTGAGATGGTACCATTTGTATAGGGAATGTGATGATGCAAAGTGGAAATTCTGTTTCGACCTGTTTGTCCAGAGTTTCTGAGAGATATATCATTGGAGGTTCTTCTGAGTTTTGCTCTTCCTTTTTATGTGAACATTTATCTATCCCTCTTCGGTTCTTTCGTCCGTGTTGTGTTTCTCAGATTTTCTTTGTCAATCACTTTACCCCTCTTCGGTGTACATCCACTCAGATGAAAGATGATCATCAGTAAATGGGTTTGCAGAAATTCTGTCCTTTTTTTCTCGAATTGTGTAACTGAAAAGAGTTTGCAGATGTGTTGTTATGTTCTGTGCCAGGAAAACATTCATGACTTTTTTTTAGTGGACTGTGAAGTCTGGCTTGTCTGTTGCAGAAGACTAAACATCTGGTTATTCCGTTTTTCGTTCTTCTTTTATTCTGCAGTGGAAGTTCCATTTCGACATGTTTTTGGAGCTCGTCTTTGGATGATTCAGGTGTCGTGTGCCTACATTATTTCCTGTGATTTTATCCTCAGGTTGATGTGGCTTGCTGATTGTTTTCTCAGTTGATTTGTGCATTACTTCTGATTGTTTTTGTTTACTGGGGCCTTCAACGAGAGTCAGTTAGCTTCGGGTTCTTCACTGGTTGCCTCAAGGGATGGTCTTAGTTGACGGTTTTTCCAGCCTTTCCTTGTTTCTTATTTTACAAGGCTATTTCTTTCTCTGGGTTTATTTGTTGATTTTGGTAGCGCGTCTGTTGTTGCTCACTGAAGGTGAAATGTGTTTGCTATAGATTTCGAGGATCAATATGTGGATTTTTGGGTTCGTGTACTTCTCCAGACAAGGTGACTCTGAATTTCTTCTGATTTTACTCTTCCTTTTCGATATGTAAAATCCTCAACTGTATAGTCAGGTGATTTGATGGCCACCCGAGGGAACAAAGCTCTGGTTTAATCACTGATTTGTTGTCTTTAAGGGAAGTAAGCCATGTGTTCTCACTGTCCCCATCCTCTCTTTCCTTCTTCCTGATTTTACGATCTCTCGAGGATCCTTCTGTCTGCAGAGATGTGTTTTCTTTGTAACATGCTACATCTATTAGGGTGGCTGCTCTTTATGTGCTTTACCTTCCTTGGTTATATAGGTGTGTTCAGGATTCCAAGGAGGCAAGTTCCATTTTGATTTATTTGCCTCGAGGGATGGCTTTTGATCTTCAGTCTTCTCTTGTTTAACTCTTTGACGGTTTCTTCTATTCCCTGTTTTGGTTCCTTTCTGGTTTTTTTATCAGCTGCATCTCTTTTTTCGTACACTGCATGTATGTTTTGGTTGTTGGTGGTTGTAGGGCATCCGATTTCTTGCCATTGTCTAGGTGTTGGTGGTGTTTAAATCTTGTGATTTTGGGGCACGTATGGTGTACTAGTACTTGTGGTCCAGATCATCTTGTGTTGTGGATTGGTGTTTCTCATATTCCATTGACTGAAGGGAGTTTGTTATTTTATATTATCGTCAGTTTATATGATTATATATATATTGATGGCTGCCTGGCTACACCTTTTGGTGTACGCATTCTATGATTGTCCTCTACTCTACGTCTTGTTGTGTTTTCCAGATCTGTTTCACCAATCATTTCACTCTGTTTCTCTACGGTGTACACTTCCTGATGAAAGATGGATCAGAAATTTTGTTCAATACATGTGGTTAGTCAGGTTTTCGTTTCTGTCCTTGTGGCATCTGTCGCAGTCTGTTGGTTTTCACGTAGTCCAGTATGATTTTGACTTATTATTGGATATCTCACGTTAACCGGTGTTGCTGATCTTCCTATGGATTCTGGTATTTCTGTTTGGTTTGTTTTTGCTATAGATCGTTGAGATTCTAAGGTGGTCTATTCTCCAGTGACGTAATGTATCATCAGAGGTTCTTCTGACTTTTGATCATCCTTTTTATATGGCAACATCTCTTTACCCCTATTCGGTTCTTTTGTCCTTATTGTGTTTCTCAGATTTTCTTCATCAGTTTTACTTTACCCCTCTTCGCTGTACATCCACTCAGATGAAAGATGATCATCAATAAATGGGTTTGCAGAATTTTTGACCTTTTTCTCGATTTGTGTAACTGAGAAGATTTTGCAGATGGAGTGTTGTTATGATCTGTCACACGAAAACTCTCAAGACTGCCATAGAGATAACATCAAACTTTTGAAGGATCTTGACTTTTTTTGTTTAAGTGGACCGTAAGTCTGAGCTTGTCTGATGCAGAAGTCTAAAGATCTGGTTATTCCGTTTTCGTTCTTTTCTTCTACAGTGGAAGCTCCGTTTCGACATGTTTTTGGTGCAACTCAATAGGGATGAATTTGGAGCTTCGTCTTTGGAGGATTCAGGTTTTGTGCGCCTACATTTTTTCCTGTGATTTCATCTCAGGTTGACGTGGCTTGCTGCTGGTGTTTGCTTCTCTGTTGATTTTTGCGTTACTTCTGATTTTTTTTGTTTGCTGGGCTTCAAGGGGAGTCAGTTAGCTTCGGGCTCCTCACTGGTTGCCTCAAGGAATGGTCTTAGTTGACGGTTTTTCCAGATTCTTTCCTTGTTTCTTATTTTACAAGGCTACTTCTTTCTCTGGTTTATTTTTTGATTTTGGTAGCACGTCTGTTGTTGCTCACTGAAGGGGAAATGTGTTTGCTATGGATTTCGAGGATCCAATATGTAGATTTTTGGGTTTGTGTACTTCTCCTGACAAGGTGACGCCGAATTTCTTCTGATTTTGCTCTTCCTTTTCGCTATGTAAAATCGTCAACTGTATAGTCAGGTGATTTGTTGGCCACCCGAGGGAACAAAGCTCTGGTTTTATCACTGATTTGTTGACTTTAAGGGAAGTAAGCCATGTGTTCTCACTGTCCCCATCCTCTCTTTCCTTCTTCCTGATTTTACGATCTCTCGAGGATCCTTCTGTCTTCAGAGATGTGTTTTCTTTGTTGCTTACAGAATGTACATTTCGAGGACTTCAACATGTAGATTTTTGGGTAGGTCTATTTCTCAAGCTAGACGAGGTAACATGGAATGTTCTTCTGAGCTTTGCTCTTTCCTTGTGTTAAGAAAACGTTTCGTTTTGGACACTCTTCGATTGTAAAGTCTCTGGTGATTTGATGTTCCGGATGGTTTAAGCTCAGATACGTTAGCTTTTTAGTCTGTCTGTTTTCTTCTCTGAAGGGGGTTACCAAGAAGGGGGCGTCCTTTTTCCCCAACTGATGCTCTTTTGCTGGACGCTGCATGATTTCAAGGTTTCATCATCTGCCTCGACTTCTTTAACTCTTAAAACGGCCACACTACAGTTATTTTGTAGGTTCTGGCACACTGGTTCATGGAAGCGGGACATCCTTTTTCAGACCATTATCAGAATTTTGTAGGAATCTGGGGTCATGAATGGTATGCTTCTATTATTGTGCCAGATTTCAGGCATCCTGTGTTCTGGTTTAGGTGTTCCTCACATTCCACTTAATGAAGGGGAGTTTGTCATTTGGTCCAGATGTCGTATACACCATATTTGTCATCTGGTCGTGTGGCCTCTTGGGGACTTACGGAAGTTGGAATGGGACTTGATTTTGGTGATAATGCTCCCTCTGCTTGTGGATTCTTCTTGCGAAGTGTTGTCAGGTTAGTGGGCGAAGAATGAGAAGATGCCTCATTGCAATATGTTGCTTGATTATAACCTCCCAGTGCTAGTTTCTCTGTTCCTTGGAATGTGATACAGATGTTTACCTCATTTGGGTGTTCTTGTCACTTCTTCAAAGGCACACCAACGTTGGAGTTGCACTATTGGACGCATTGCGTGTCATGTACACAGGCGGCAGAAGCATGTCCTCTTGTTGGTCATTGATCATGTACACAAGAAAAAGAAAGTGCGTCCACCATAATCGGATCTGCAGCTCGAAACTCATGGAGTGATATTTTGAAGATGATGAGTAAAGAAGACCCCTGGGTTCTTGTTTCTCAGGTGATAACAGAACGTTATTGTTAGTTTAGTGGAACGCTTGATCTTGTGACATCAAATATCTTCCCACTGTAATTAATTGTTGTAGAAATGATACAGAATAATAAGATGGCTTTAATTTCAGATCTTAACACGAGTTTCACTTGGATCAGTCTGCATTTAAAAGAAGCATCCATACAAAGCTTATGTGTAAGAATTTAAGCTAAATCAGTTTTAATCAAACATCTTTACTTTTATCGATCCAATAATTAACCGCGTCGGCTAAACTTCAATGACCAGGTCAACCCGCGGGAACAAAAAGACACCGCGTGGACCCCACACTGTGAACCGTGTAAATTATCATTTCCTACTTAATAAATTATGAGTATCTGACGAGCGACTAAATTTATCTTATCTTCTTCTTCGTATGAATGGCTTTGGTGGTATTCTTCTTGGCCGTTTTCTCCTTCATTGTCATCTACTTGAGACTACGACGTCTCCTTCACTTTCACAAGAGAAAAGAAGCGACGCAGCTTCTGCATCATGCAACGTCCACAGATGCTTCTCCGGCGGCGGTGGAAGCACCTCCACCGTCGCTCATCTCCTCGTCTCCGCCACTGTGGAAATACGATGTGTTCCTCAGTTTCAGGGGAACAGATGTACGCAAAGGATTCCTCAGCCATCTCTACAAATCTCTCACCGACAAAGGGATCCACACTTTCCGTGACGATACAGAGCTCCAGCGAGGGAATTTCATCAGCTCCGCGCTCTTGGAAGCCATCGAACAGTCCAGATTCGCCGTCGTCGTGCTCTCCGAGAACTACGCTACTTCCCGCTGGTGTTTACAAGAGCTTGTGCACATCACTAAGAACAAACACATCGAATTGATCCCCGTCTTCTACGGCGTCGATCCTTCACACGTCAAGAAACAATCCGGAAACTTCGCCAAGGCCTTCGCTGAACACGACAAGAGACCTGACACCGATACGGTCAAAACATGGAGAGAAGCTATGGCCAAAGTTGGATTGATCTCCGGCTGGGATTCCAGAAACTGGTGAGAGCAAATCCTCTTCTCCACTCCCTTCTTTTTGAGACGCAATGTCATTTGCTTATAATTTGTAGATGCAGGAACGAGGAGTCGAAGCTTATTGAGGATCTTGTTCAAGATCTTTCAGAGAGAATATTCTCACCGGCGTCTTCGAGTGATACCGGTGAATTGATCGGAATGAGTACACACCTGAGAAGTATATATCCTCTGATGAGAAGAGACCCTCATGATTCCCTAATGGTTGGAATTTGGGGAATGGGAGGTATTGGCAAAACCACCATCGCAAAACATGTCTACAAAGTCTTCTCCAGAGAGTTCGATGGTGGTGCTTGCTTGCTAGGGAATGTGAAGAGAGAGTTTAGACGGTACGGTCCATCGCATTTACGTGAGAAGATCTTGTCAGAAATCTTTCGCAAGAAAGATATGAACACATGGAATAAAGATTCCGATGTGATGAAGCAGCGATTACGCGGCAAAAAGGTTCTTCTCGTCCTCGATGATGTTGATGACGTACAACAGCTAGAAGAATTGGCTGGAAGCACTCAGTGGTTCGGACCAGGAAGCAGAATTGTTGTAACCACTCGAGACAGGCGTGTTCTTGACCAGCATGACGTGGAACGCGTCTACGAAGTCAAGCCGCTGCGGACTACCCAAGCACTTCAGCTTTTTAGTAAGCACGCCTTCAAGAAGCCTCGTCCTTGTGAAGAGTACAGAGAGATTTCGATCGACGTTGTGGAGCAGCTCGGTGGTCTTCCATTAGCTCTTCAAGTTGTTGGAGGGTCTCTGTACCGCCGGGAGCTGGAGTTCTGGGAAGACAAACTTGATTTGTTGAGAAATAACAGCGACGATGCTTTGTTGAAGGCGTTAAGAGTAAGTTATGAGGCACTGGATGAGCTAGAGAAGAAGATCTTTCTTTACATTGCGCTTTGTTTCAACGGTGTATACATGGACAGAGTTAAAAAAGTACTAGACCTGTTTTTCGTGTCTTCCAGGCGCAGAACATTGCCGACCAGACCGAGCATTGTGTCTCTGATGGAGAAGTGTATGATTAGCCTTTCAAACACAAAACGGCTATGGGTTCATGACTTGCTCCAGGACATGGCCGAGGACATTGTATGCGAAGGAAATGATGAGAAGCCATGGAAACGTTTGATGCTGTGGGATTATGAGGATATCAATCATGTTTTCTCCACCAATGAGGTAAGTTTAAAGCTAACTCTTATGTCTCATTCTTGCATTTCAGACATTTGAATGGAAATTTTGTTTATGCTTAGGGAGACGAAGCAATTGAGGTGGAAAGCATATTTGTGGACATGTCTAATGGGAATGAGCTTAACATAACTCCTGGAATCTTTGAGAAGATGCCAAATCTCAAGCTGCTTAAGTTTCATACTAATTCCAGCGTTGGAGAAAGCAGGACAAGGATGTCAAATGGTCTTGACTACCTCCCGAAGCTGCGATATCTTCGCTGGGATGCTTGCAATCTGAGATCGTTACCGTCTCGGTTTTGCACTAGCTTTCTAGTTGAACTCAACCTCTCTCACAGCTCAATAGAAACAGTTTGGAATGGAACTCAGGTACCACTTCGATGCAATATCATCTCATGTTTCTCCTCTTTAATGAAGAGTCTTATTAATAGCTATCTTCTTTGTTACGTGTGCAGCAAGATCTTGCAAACTTACGGAACCTAAACCTCACAAGCTGCAAACACCTTACTAAGTTTCCAGACCTTTCCAAGGCGACTAATCTTGAGACACTGAAGCTTTCCAATTGTGATAATTTGGTGGAGATCCCTGACTCTTCTCTTAGACACCTCAACAAACTCGTCCATCTAAAACTGAGCAACTGCAAGAAACTAAGGAGCCTCCCAAACAACATCAACTTAAAATCCCTCAAGTGTCTCCATCTGGACGGATGCTCTAGCGTAGAAGAGTTTCCATTAATCTCAGAGACAGTAGAGAAGTTGCTACTGAACGAGACAAGTATCCAGCAAGTACCACAATCAATCGAACGCCTCTCTCGTCTCAAAGAGCTACGTCTCTCTGGCTGCAAGAAGCTAATGAATCTCCCAGACTGCATCAAGAACTTGAAGTCTCTGACCGATCTCGGCCTCGCAAAGTGTCCCAACGTTACATCATTCCCAGAAGTCGGGACAAAGATAAGATGGTTGAATCTGAACGGTACATCCATAGAAGCAGTGCCTTCAAATGTAGGGGAGAAAACAGAGCTTCTTTACCTCAATATGTCTGGCTGTGACAAGCTCGTGAACCTTCCTGGGACGATGAGGAAACTTGAACAGCTTAAGTATCTGTATCTTCGTGGTTGCACTAATGTCACAGAGTCTCCTGAGCTCGCTGCTGGGAGCAGCACAATGAAAGCTTTGGATTTACATGGAACATCAATAACAACATATCATTTAGTTGACTCCAAGAGCGAAGAGCCTCCTCAGTGTGAAGTACCCGTTATTAGACGCTTCTTTATGAAGAAGGTTCGAGAACACATCAAGAAACGTAAATCCAACAGATGATGATGATGATGATAAGGATTTAAACCGAGTTCTCTTTCAGGACACGTGATCAACAAGATAAGTCTAAACTTCTGAAGAACCGCCACGTGCAGCTTCTTCTTGGCCAGGTGGCAGGTTTCAGAGGGTATATAAAACATGGTGGGGACAAAAGAGCAAGGTGTTAGTGCAAGAGAAACTGGTAACGATGTCGGGAGCACAAGGAGCAGAGCCGATGGGGTCAAAGACGGCGACGACGTACGAGTCAGTGGAGGGAGGACAGAACAAGACGAAGCTTGATATAAGGTCAAAGGAAGACGAAGGTGGGATTCAGGTTGATAAGCTTCAAGACAAGGTCACTGATGCTGCTGGTTTAGGCGGACCTGTGTTCGGTGCTGGTAAAGACGATAAGAAGCAGGATCTTGGTGTTACCGGCACCGGCTAGATCTCTCTGTTCTATCAGTACTGTAAAATATAAAAGTACGGTCCTTTGAAGTCGTGTAATGTTAGGCTAAGAATCTAAATTAATCAATAAAGTATCCTACTTTTGGTTTCAAAGATAACAACGTCATTAGATTTAACTTCCACACAAATCTAATCTGTTACCGGACATGATAGTTAATGTGCCCACGTATAATAACAACAAACCTTTTATGACAAGTTTATAATAGGATAAGACATTGATGTCAGTGTGTCGATATTGAAAGCTATCTACCTATATTTACGTATAAGTATTTTTGATGAGAAGACATGAACAAGATGACCGCGTGGCCTAATGGATAAGGCGCTCGCCTCCGGAGCGGGAGATTGTGGGTTCGAGTCCCACCGTGGTCGTAAATAATTTTTGGGGTAAAAAGGTCTTTTTTTTTGCGCCCTCTTTAATTTTCTGAAATTATCCACTATCATGTCCGTTTTTGAACCTGTCTTTTCCAATCATACATAACTTAGCTCTTAATTGTTTGAAGATCTGTGTTAAGGAAACCATGAACAATTATCTGTTTGTTGATTTTATTCGAAAGAAAACACAAAATAACCCTTTGTCATCTGATGAAGATGAATTAAAAAAAAAAAAAAAAATCCAAGTTCTATAGATACAATCCTCTTTTACTTGAGGCAAACTCTGAGCAAGCAACTGGATTTTGATTACTTGAAGCCAATACCAAAAGTTAAACATGATGGCTTTGTAATCTTTGTTGCTTGCCTTTCCCGTGGACATTTCTCATAAAGAAGAATCATCACCCTCCATGGGCAAATCTGGTTGCGTTGCCCATTCAGTCCACGACCCATCATAAACCGGCACATCGGTTTTCCCCAGCCGGTGAAGCCCCTAGCAGAGCAAATGACATCCCATTCAGTCTCCTCTACACGTTTATTATGCAAATCTCAAATAAAACTGGTGAATGAAGAAGTTAGTTAGTTACCATTGCCAGGAGACAAGCTGTTACGCCAGTGCCACACGAGGCCATGATAGGCTTGTCTAGTGAGATGTCTGCACCAAAAAATAAGAAGAGATCTCAAGACTGCTTCGGAATAAATAAGACTCGATCAATTCTTCCAAGTGGAGATGAAATAGTTTACCTTCTTGTTCAAACCGTTTCTTCAGCTCTTCTGCTGGTAACAGTGTTTGAGAAGAATCAAACATCTGCAGAAAGAATCATATCAACTTCTGGGGACAAGAAGCAGAGCAAGTGAAGGAAGGAAACAAACTTACCTGAGGAAAAGGGATGCATTTGCTTCCCGGTATATGACCACTCCTTATTCCCTTACGTGGTTCTGGAGCAGTACCATCAAACCTGTGAGCAAACGCTACAATGAGTATCGATTTGTTATGAAGGAAGCCTAGCGAAAGATGTGATCACTTTGCAAAATCATAGTACCTGGCTTTAGAACGAGCATCTATGTGTTGATAAGTCTGATCTTCCATATTGTTCTTCACCTGTGAATTGACCAAGAAAACCATAAATTTATGTCTACAGGATAAGTTGGGTCCAATTTTAGGATTTTCTTAAGAATATTTGAAATTTGTGATTCAACAGACAGAATGATAGTAGTAGTAATCCAATTATATAACATCAATAAGAAGACAAAAAAACCATTCAGCCAATGCCAACCTGATCAAGTGTCCACACTAGATGTGGCTGGAACTTCGTCTTGAATGTTATTGGACTGACCTGTACAACCAAGTCAGACAAAATCGAAATGGTGAGAACAAAAAAAAACACATCTTCAATCTCACCATGAATATACAGTAAGAGGAAATAGAAAACGAAGAGACTTACGGTTTGTCCTTGATAGATTTTCTCTATAGCTTCACTAGCGGCACTGGCTTTCAAAATAGCATCACCTGAGGCACTGGATTCAACATCATAACCTGAAGCACGCCATCTCGGTAGACCTCCATCGAGTACCCACACTTTGTTATGTCCAAAAACTCTGAACATCCTATTCACAGGGGAAAATAAAGATGGACACATCAGCTTCAACAGTACTTGAAAACAAGAAAGGATTTAGAAACAAACGAGAGCCATAACTCACCACCACACACGAGCTGCACTAAAGATACCCTTTGCATCATAAACAACCACTCCATCTTTGTTATCGATTCCAAGAGCAGAACAACCAGCAGCGAAAGCTTCCTCTGATGGCAACATATGTGGCAACTGTTACAAGTAATTCCATCAAATATCTTACATGGTTATCTTCACACCACACAAAGAATTACATGAACTAACAGCAAAGGAAACATCTGTATATATACATCTTGAAAATGGCGGGAAAAGAAGATACTAGATATCGATAATAAGTGAAAGCAATGTGAGCTCGAGAACTTCGATACAAACCACAAGTTTACATCTTTCCCAAATGAAAAAAAGATATTGATGCTTACACTTGTTGTTCGATCTGATATTCCATCCAAATCAAAGAAGAGAGCACCAGGAATATGAGCAACCTGTAGGAGAGGACAAAGTATTTAGTCCATCAGAAGTAGTGTACTAACTCTAAAACAAGTTTTTGTTTCAGTACTAAAGTGTGTTTGCGTTCATCAGTATACAAGCCAAACAAGAGCTTATCATTAATCTATTTGCTCATACTCTCACCTGATATTCTTGGATCGGATTCCTCTGCTCTTCTGGCATGTACCATGAAGCATCCAAAACCTGATAAGATTAGATACAGGGAAGTTTAAGTATGTCAGACAAAGTCTTTTAAGAAAATCAACTGGCAGAAAATGGATAGTCACCTTCAAATCAGGCTCTTTAAGGTTAGCGTGGAGCCAATCAACGGAAACAACAGGTTCGTTGGTTGATGCAGATGATGTCGAGTAGCTAGCTTTTTGCCCAATTCCAGTAGAAGCCATGGCTCGACGAGCCCATGAAGTTGAGCTATAGGCTGTAGAACCAGAGCCTAACTGAGACTGGAATGCTCTCTTCTGCAATCATCACAACACACAAGACCACCAAAAATGTCAACTTTTATAAACAGAGAACGAAACTGAGCAAATTTACACAGAAAATTTCATTCCCTAATTTCCGTTTATAGACCTCTAACAACAATTCAAATCCCTAATTCCCAATCTAACACCTTTTTCAGAAGCTCGAAATCCCACTAGAACTATCAAATTATACAAACCAATCGCAAAACCGATGAACGACCAGAACCCGGTAGCTCGAAGCAGTGATTACTACGAATACCCAGTTGAGGATAGATCGAGAATCAAAATTCGATTACGACTTACACTCAGAAAAGCGGCGAGATTTAGAGTCTTTTGAGGAAGAGAGAGAGAAGGAGTAATCACGCGATGACTCGCGGCCAAGAAACTTCTGGTGAAAAGGGTCGAGGCCATTTCACCTCAATCCTCGATAAAACGCCACTGACAAAGATGGTTTGATTTCTTAATTTTGTTCCTGACAGATTGATTCTCTATGTCAGTAGAAGCCAAAAAAAAAAGTCTGCAACTTTGCAAAGCGTTTTATTAAATAGTAATACGGATGATTTTTGTCACTGCCGCCACGAAACTGGTCAGGTAGAGAGACACGACTAGGGCGTCTTTGTCCGTTTCATTAAACGGCGTTTTAACATAACGTGATTTCAGTTTACAAAGTAATCCGGTTTAACTAATCTGAACAGAACCAACACTGTTCTGAAATAACCGATTCAAAAACCAAACCAGTAAAGAAAATAAAACGTTTATTTTATGAAAACATTTCGGTTTAGGGTTTCCAATTTGGGGTGACATTGCAATTTGTTTTCCTTATTATGTATACTGTTTTAACAGAGCGTGATTACAAACTAATCCGGTTTAAACCATTCTGATTTTGATGGGATCCTTTCCAATGAGGATTTCCAAAGAACTAAAGATTAAGAGTCTTGTTCTGTTGATCCTGTATGAAACTCTTAGGTGAAATTACTGTTAGGAAAGCATGAAAATGAATTATTTATTCCCTGATCACATGAAAAGAAGAAAACTCATTCAAACACATCAAAACAGAAACGGCACTTCTATGAAACTTAGTGTGTAAAACTTACGAAGCTAAAAGAGTTACATTACCTCACTAGTGGCATCGTACTCATGATAAAAGAGGGCCAGTGTTGCCCTTAGTGGTTAAAAGTAAAGCCGCTTCAATGCTTTCTCCAAGTCATTGCCAAGGAAAAGAGAATCTTTGATCTTGATCATGCCATGACTTGCTCTTTTAGAAGGATCTGATACGCAGTTGATTATCTCTCTGCCAGAATGAGTTGCAACGCCATGATCTTTGATGTATTTAAGTCCAGCTGCGATATTGTGTGCATGGCATTTGCGGTCTCATGTCTGCTTTTTGAGCATAGTCTCGGAGAAGCAAAATAGCAAAGCTCTCTAACGTTAAGATTGTCCAACTTTTCGAGGACTCTTACCGTGTTCACAAGATCAGCGAAAATTAACAAAATTGCAAATTTCTGGAGATATCCAACTTAAAAGAAATTTGTCATCCTCCTTATTGCATGGCTGTGCTTATATTGATAGAGTTATGCACAAAATATACACACGGATTCTCCAATTGCATATGCATTGCATATGGAGTACGTGAGAAAGACTAATAACATATTATTCCAATTTTTTTTCAAAATTTGCAAAAAATTGTAGATGTTAGCCCACAAAAATTGGCAAAATTGATAAATTTGTAGTTTTTCTAAATTAATGATTGGAATGTGTCTAAAGTGAAACCAAATTAATCCAACCATTTTTCATAGTGATAGAGTATGGGAGAAAGACTAATAACATTTTATTCCAAATTTTTCAAAATTTGCAAAAAAATTGTAGGTGTTACAAATATTGGCAAAATTGATAATTTTTTTGGTTTTTCTAAATTAATGATTGGAAGGTGTCTAAAGTGAAACCAAATTAATCCAACCATTTTTCATAGTGAAAGAGTATGTGAGAAAGACTAATAACATATTATTCTAATTTTTTCAAAATTTGCAAAAAATCGTAGGTGTCTAAAGTGAAACCAAATTGATCCAACCATTTTTCATAGTGATATAGTATGTAAGAAAGATTAATAACATATTATTCCAATTATTTCAAAATTTGCAAAAAAATTGTAGATGTTAGCCTACAAATATTGGCAAAATTGACAAATTTTGAGGTTTTTCTAAATTAGTGATTGGAAGGTTTCTAAAGTGAAACCAAACTGATCCAACCATTTTTCATAGTGAAATAGTATGTGAGAAAGACTAATAACATATTATTCTAATTTTTTCAAAATTTGCAAAAATTTGTATGTGTTAGCCCACAAATATTGGCAAAATTGATAAATTTTGAAGTTTTTCTAAATTAATGATTGGAAGGTGTTTAAAGTGAAACCAAATTGATCCAACCATTTTTCATAGTGAAAGAGTATGTTAGAAAGACTAATAACATATTAATTTTATTTTATCAAAATTTGCAAAAATTTGTAGGTGTTAATAAGCCCACAAAAATTGGCAAAATTGATAAATTTTGAGGTTTTTCTAAATAATGATTGGAATGTGTCTAAAGTGAAACCAAATTAATCCAACCATTTTTCATAGTGATATAGTATGTGAGAAAGACTAATAATATATTATTCCAACTTTTTTCAAAATTTGCAAAAATTTAGGTGTTAGCCCACAAATATTGGCAAAATTGATAATTTTGAAGTGTTTCTAAATTAATGATCGGAATGTGTCTCAAGTGAAACCAAATTGATCCAACCATTTTTCATAGTGAAAGCGTATGTGAGAAAGACTAATAACATATTATTCTAATTTTTTCAAAATTTGCAAAAATTTGTAGGTGTTAGCCCACAAATATTTACAAAATTGATAAATTTTGAGGTTTTTCTATATTAATGATTGAAAAGTGTCTAAAGTGAAACCAAATTGATCCAACCATTTTTCATAGTGATATAGAATGTAAGAAATATTAATAACATATTATTCCAATTATTTCAAAATTTGCAAAAAAATTGTAGGTGTTAGCCTACAAATATTGGCAAAATTGACAAATTTTGAGGTTTTTCTAAATTAATGATTGAAAGATTTCTAAAGTGAAACCAAATTGATCCAACCATTTTTCATAGTGAAATAGTATATGAGAAAGACTAATAACATATTATTCCAATTTTTTCAAAATTTGCAAAAACTTGTGGGTGTTAGCCCACAAATATTGGCAAAATTGATAAATTTTGAGGTTTTTCTAAATTAATGATTGGAAGGTGTCTAAAGTGAAACCAAATTGATCCAACCATTTTCATAGTGAAAGAGTATGTGAGAAAGACTAATAACATATTATTTCAAATTTTTCAAAATTTGCAAAATTTGTAGGTGTTAGTCCACAAATATTGGCAAAATTAATAAATTTTGAGGGTTTTCTAAATTAATTATGGGAATATGTCTAAAGTGAAACCAAGTGGATCCAACCATTTTTCATAGTGATATAGTATGTGAAAGACTAATAACATATTATTCCAATTTTTTTCAAAATTTGCAAAAAAATTGTAGATGTTAACCCACAAATATTGGTAAAATTGATAATTTTAAAATGTTTCTAAATTAATGATTGGAATGTGTCTCAAGGGAAACCAAATTGATCCGACCATTTTTCAAGAAGCCTTGTTTCTTTTGTCAAGAAGCCTACGGCAGTTGTTAAGAAGGTTTCATTTTGATGAAGATAGTGAGGCAAAGCCTTATATACACATACACTAGGGCTGGGCACGGGACAAGTATTTGGTGTTTCTGTCATATTTGTGATCTGCCTTGCCCTGTTTGTTTTTTTCGAAAACCGACTTGTACCTGCCTTATGAAATACAAGTATCCATTTTTACAAGTACTTGCTCAAAATTTGAAGACTTGCAAGTAACCTGCCTTGACTTGTGACCCGCAAATACTCTAAAAAAACTTGTCTCGCACAAAAAAAAACTTGCCCCGCACAACGGTATCGGTGTGTGAGACGACAAGTGTGTGATATCAAATTGTATTGGGCTTTGGGCTTACAAATTTAGCAAGGTCTTGATTCATTTTTTTGTATTTGAGTCCACACACTAAGGCCAAGATCGTTGATACTTCAAATGAATACTAAGCATGAGCTTATAAATTTTTACTAAAGACTTAATGAATTTAATTTATGCAAGGAAGGGCGTAACAAAGCAAGTATCGAAAATAATATTGATATTTGTAACCTGTCTTGTACTTGCAAGTAATACAAAAATCTGCCTTGTAACCTACCTTGTTATGAATAAGTGACAAGACAATTACGGAGCAAGAAGCAAGTATCTTGCGGATACCAAATACCTGTGCCCAGGCCTAACATACACAATCCGTTTCTCATATAATCTAATTACATTACGATATAAGATTATCTGCTATGGGCCAACATGGCCTAGGTCCTACATATGAAAGCATGAGCTCAAATAGGTTTCAAATTCGGTGATAAGAGCAATTGTACTTCCAGTAATTAACCACACTTTGCATCTATAGTTTGTCTAAGAGTCACACCCATGACCATAACTGTTGTCTGTTGCATATACACTTAGATATCATTTGTTGTGTTTGGTTATGTCTTCACTGCATTTACAGTCCATAATGAGCCCTCTATTGATAATGCGTGCTGCAACAACCATGACAACATGTAAAGTCTAAAAAAACAGAGCCATTACTAGTAGGTCCCTGTATGTTCCCTAATAACATAAAGAAACATACATTAAAAAAAACACAAAGAAATGTCTTCCTGATGTTGAAAAAAAAAAAAGCGTCTTCCCTGGTGTTGACCAAACATCATCAAGACTTTCTAGATACAAAGAAGCGTTTAACAATTGGTAGTCATTTAAATAGTGAATTGAAGATTTTCATAAATGTGCAAAAAATATACACACAACTTTCCGCATTACATATGAGGTTACTCGAGCCAACTCTATATATGACATTGTCGATATTGTTTCTCTAGCCCACATTCTAAAATCTTGTAGATGAATGGTTAAATCATAGAGATTTTAAGCTTTGATTTTTAACCACACTACTTTACAAGATTCTATAGTGTGAATTGGAGAAACAATATCCGCGGTATGATGAACGTTTTGTGAATGCTTTGTTTATATGCTAACTATGATCATTTGAGACTCGCTCGCATGTTCGTACAAAGTAAAAATCTTTGTAAAATTTGAAATAAATTACTTATTCTTTTGAATTTAGCTTCTTGCGTTGTGGAGTTAATTTGTGTTTAGGATGTATTCCACTTTTCAGTTGACGCGTATTGTTGACTAAGGAGTGCAAGGAATCGAATCTATAGAGAGAAAGACTTGGTCCCATTGGCTTGTGATACAAGTAATTAACACAAGAACTGGAACCTAAGTAAGAGGTAAAATGCTCTCTTCTGCAATCATTACAAACACAAGTAAACGGAAGACCACCCAAATTTGTTACAGAAATTAAGAAATGACTAACTTAAATTGTGTGTCTTCTGTTATGGAGACAAAATTATGCAGAGTTTGTGTGGGTTTACAACTTTAATGAACAAATTAGGAGAATAGAAAATGTTTCATATTCTTTCATAGATCAAAAACAGAATCAAAAGGGAAATCCTTTAAAAACGTACTTCTTGGATTCCTCAGCCAAACGTTTCATACTTTTCGCTTTCTCGTAGACTTGCATCAACTCAGCAGCAACATCTTGCGGATGACACATTACATAAACACTCAAGAACCGTTTCTCGCTCATCCTCAGCGCTGTGGCAATGTTCACTTCTTCAACAAGCGGCTTTAGACCCATCTCGGAGACTCTCTTCACGAGATCCACCCGTGGCCTTAGATGAGTCTCGAGGTTGACGAGAAGCAAGAACGGGTGCTTAAGCACGGAATGAGCTGGAAACTTCATCGAGGCCATGACGTAAGTCATGTTTCTCTGAACCTTCTCAACCGATAAAGTGAGAATGATCGGACATCTTCCACACAGATTCCAAATCTCTTCTTGTGATAACCCAAACTTCTCCAAGTTTGCAACTTTCTCCTCAATCGTCTCCATCCTTGAAACCCCAATCGTTGCTGCAACGTATTTGAACATCTTGGAGTCTCTACTGACTCCAGTTCTCTGAATGTATTCAAACTTCTCGTTACTAAAGTTTGTTCTTGGAATCAACGTGGGTCTCGCTACAAACATCGCCACGAGATCTTCCTGGCTAATCCCCAACTCTCTGTAGAACGCAACCGCGGGCTTGATCTTCTCCTCGAGGTCGTAAAACATGAGCGACGGGTTCCGGATTATGACTTTGCGCAACACCTCTTTCGACCCCAGAAGCTCAATGAAGTAGTTGATTCTCTCGTCAAGAACAAGGTGGATATGGCGGCTAAAGAACCTCGGACGGCAATCAACGATCTTCACAAGGTCCGATGATGTGATCCCCAGTGGAGTAAGGAGGTTTAGCTTATACTCCAGCTGAGCAACGTTGGCTCTCCGCAGAGACGGCCTGGAAATAAAAAGCTTTGATATTTCATCGTCGTTACAACCCCATTTTCGTAGAACTTCCAACGGACTAAGAATCTGTTCTTCAGCTTCGTTGAGGCATAAAGTCGAACACTTGGCGGTGATGGAAGCAGATAAGGAGTTTCTGAAATCTGCTTTTGTAATCAAGCTCGAGCTAGCAAACAGTGATCTGATAACAGCTAATACGTTTCTCTTCACCGTCGAATTCATTTCAGTGACGCAATCGAGAGACTAACAGTAACAGCACTAGATTGAATCAATTGAAGATGATAAAGGAGCAAACTTTTACCAATGATCAAGTCTCAATAAAACGAGCAGAGACATTTACAGGCGTATTCAGATGCTTCTCCCATTCAATTTCCGAAGAGAAGATATAGCTGGAGGAATTGGGATGGTTACATTACCGCCATGGATTTTTCAGGCAATTCAAGCACTCCTCCTCACACGAAGCTTGTGAACGACAGCGAAGAAAAAAGATCTCATCAATGGAGGGGAGCTAGAGAGAGATGGAGGAAGCAGCTTTGGAGAGAGAGACGGCGACTTCAAGACCAGGTCCGCGACGACTGTGCGTATCAGAGAGCCTGAGTCTGAGACGAGTGTAGAAGAGAGAGTCAATTAATAGTATTGTGGTCGGAAATCAAAATAGATATAAATATTGGATCATTGTGTAATTAACTCGAAATATCCGTAAAACGCCGTCGTTTTAGTTATTTTTCTCCTTTTCCTCACTTTCTTCTCTCATCTTTTCCCTCAGTAAAACAAATCGCGAAGATTCTCACTGCAACCCTCTCTGCAAGAAACCTAAAGCTTATTTCTTCGTCACTTCGTTCATCGCTCTCCTTAGTCCATTTCGTTGCTCGATCCGTAAATCAAAGGTATTACTCTTTTTCTGGAAAGTTGTTCTCTTAATTGAAAGTGAAATTTATAGTTTTTAGTGTTGATTTGGGAATTTGCGTTGCGTCTCCGTCTCTGATCCTCGAGTTTGATTTGATTCCCTTTCGATTCTAAGTTCGGATTTGTTATTCTGTGAGATTTAATTAGTCCAGTGTACGTGCGCAGACGTAATTTCTTCCGATTTAAGCTGTTCTACTAGTTAGGGTTTATGCTGATGAAAATCAGCTTGTGGATCGTATAGGATGTTCTGTGGTTTTAAGTTAAGCAGATTCGTCACTTCCTTTGTTCCAATTTCCAGAAATTTCGCTAGAAGATAATGCGATTTCACTTTTTTTTTCACAGATCTCTCAGCTTGCTTAAGGTACAATGGGGGATAGTCAATACTCGTTTTCTCTCACCACGTTCAGGTATGAACAACTTGGTTATCCTCTATATGCGAGCAATTGGATCTGTTTCCTCGGGGTTTAATTTGTGATGTGGTTATGTAAACAGTCCATCAGGGAAGCTGGTTCAGATTGAACATGCCCTAACAGCTGTTGGTTCAGGCCAAACGTCATTGGGAATCAAAGGTTTGTTACTGACCTGACCTCTGGTTAGATTGTGAAAGAGATTTTTTAGGATCATTTTGATAATCATGACCTGTGTGTTCCCTCTGCAGCCTCAAACGGAGTTGTCATTGCAACAGAGAAGAAACTTCCCTCTATATTGGTTGATGAAGCGTCTGTAAGTTTTGATACTCTCTCCCTGTGATCAACCTTTTTGTAAAAGTTTATAGCATATAGTTCGTTTTTTCTTCTAATACTGTTTTTGGTACTTCCCTAGGTTGCATAGTTTCAGTAAAGATGATCTTATTTTCTATTTCAGGTTCAGAAGATTCAACATTTGACTCCCAACATTGGAGTTGTATACAGGTTCTTCTCCTCCGCTATCTTGTAGCTCTTGTTTAACAAAAACGGTTTTCTTAGCTTGATTATTGGATTTGGGTACTTAGTATCTCTCATAAGCTGCTTGTGCCATGAATGAAAAGCAACCTTTTTCTTAGTTCTCGGATTCTCATCATTATAGTGCTAACTTTGGTGTCTCCTTCTATGAAGTGGTATGGGTCCTGATTTCCGAGTGCTTGTGCGAAAGAGTAGGAAGCAAGCTGAGCAATATAACCGATTGTACAAGGTAATCTTAAATATCTTCTATTTTCATCTACTTATGTTGGACCTTTTAGTAATGCATGTATGATAAAACTTCAATCCTTGCTGCCTGGTTTGTAGAAACTTTGGCTTAGAACCTGATTACCTTAATTGATTCAACTTCTAAATGAGTTTAATTGTTGCAGGAACCCATCCCTGTCACACAACTTGTAAGGGAAACTGCTACAGTGATGCAAGAGTTCACTCAATCGGGGTAAGTACTATATCAACTTCTAGTGTATTTTTAAAAGTCTCTTATGCCATGGATTGCCAACTTTAGAACGTCTCTCTGCACTTTTAACCTTAGTTTAGGATTGATTTGGTGTGCGATAGTGTTGTTAAAGCAGATCTGAATTCCTAAACTAGACTACTAATTATGGTTTGCTTCTCCTGTTAATAGTGGTGTTAGGCCGTTTGGAGTTTCTCTACTAGTGGCTGGGTATGATGACAAGGGTCCTCAATTGTATCAGGTATGTAGATCACTAAAGAAATGTAACCATCAATTAGTACCTATGAATTGAAAACATCTTATTTCATCAAACTTCCTTTCTTTTTGTTTATTAGGTGGATCCGTCTGGCTCTTATTTCTCATGGAAAGCTTCGGCAATGGGAAAGAATGTTTCGAACGCAAAGACATTTCTTGAGAAGAGGTGATAAGATTTTTACCGTTTGTGGTGCGAGTTTGAGATCTTGGAAGCATGTCATTTCATCTTTGTTTTTGACCAGGTACACGGAAGACATGGAACTTGACGATGCCATTCACACGGCAATATTGACATTGAAGGAAGGGTCAGGCTTTTTACCAAACTCTGTTTTACTTCATTTCAATATTTTCTACAACAAAAATCTAAAAGCCTTGTTCGTTTTTCTTTCTTGTTTGTTTCACAGTTTCGAGGGCGAAATCTCAAGCAAAAACATCGAGATTGGCAAAATCGGTGCTGACAAAGTGTTTAGGTAAGTATATTACATAAAACATTCACGACTGCAAAACTAATAAAATCAGCAATCTTAATCATTGCCATCAATGTCTGATAAGAGAATGTTTATATGCCAGGGTACTAACACCAGCAGAAATCGACGATTACTTGGCTGAAGTCGAGTAAACTTTCACTTAACCGTGCAACGAACCGGGATTTGAGTCTCAAAACTATCTCTTGTTTTCTCGATGGTTGCAGAGAATTTATGGTTTCTTGATTCTGTACAACTTTTGGACTGTGTTAAGCCTGGACTTTTGGACATTGTTCTTTTTTGTTTTTCGTAGAAATCGTGAAGCATTATGGTCTTTATATGGTCATATAAGACATAAACCTACCTTAATTTACATATCTCGGCCGTTAAATAAGCCCACCTTTGAATGCATACGGGCCTCTCTTCAATACCGCTTACAAGAGTTAGGCCTTAAATTGGTCTTCAATACGTAGTTGGGCTACAAATTAGACCAGGATGGAATATCCGTGGGCCTCTATTGGGCTATAAAGAATTAAGTATGGGCTTCATATGGGCCTAGGAAGAAATATCCGTGGGCCTCTAAGGATCTTAATACGGGCCTTAGAAAGATGGGCCTTTAAGAAGTACTTGGGTCTGCAAAAGCCCGCTAACGAATTAATGTGGGCCTCTATTGGGCTTTGAAGAACTAAGTATGGGCTTTGTATGGCCTTATAATGTCCGTATTTCGATATTTACACATTGTCCTCATATCTTTCGGTATTTACCGTATTTCCCCCAGATATGGGGCAACTATATTATTAGCAAAAGATATGGGCCAATAATAAAATTAGACCATTACCTTTTCATTAGCTTAATAAGGACGTTGTATGTATGAAAAACGTCCGTTGACATTGCATGTTTAGAAATCCAGAGAAAGACATGATGATGTTAATAAAAATTAGACTGCTCTCTATCTATTTCTAATTATCAAACCCCCTAATTAACAGGTGTAGTGTAGACCTCGGATATGTTAAGTTTCCCCTTCCTCTGAAAACTGACTACAAACAACGTCTCTAAGCAACACAATCTATCTAACAACTTCTGAAACAAGAGATTCAAAGTAAAACAAACTTCTATTGTATCATCAACCTGCAAATGTACAAGAAGCAAGAAGACAGAAAACTCGTAAAACCACACAGTATAGGAAAGGTTTTTGCATTTTCACCTCTGCTTGATCTTCCAATTGTGAGCTGTTCGTGGGGCAGTGGAGATCCCTTCGTAGTATCGGGACTCGAGTCTCCCTCTGTTCCATGCCTTGACAAAACGGGAAAACAACTCCCGCGCAGATTCGGTAGTGAGATCATTGAAGTAAGTGCGCTTTTCTTCTTTCAGCCACGTCGCAAACTCGTTGTTCTTGGAGAAGTAGTCCTCACTTGATAGCTCTGGGATCCCCTCTTTCTGTAAGAAGAAGAAAACACATTATCTCAGAAGCTCGAGACATTACTATAGGGCAACAAAACTTAGTGATTAAACCATGACTAAGACCATCATAAAGAATCTCCAAAGCAATAAAGGGTAAGAGAGAGAGCTCACCAGCTTGTGGTCGCCTTCTGCGTGTTTCTTTTTCGGCTTATCATCCTTCGACCTCTTTGCTGACCAGATAAAAGAAAATTGTCAACCGCAAGGAAAACTGAAAAAGCAAAGGCACAGTGCTTAAAACCATCAACTAAGCGCAAACGTGAGGAAAAATATATGCAGCCGTTTTAGCAGTAACCAAAACAAGACACTCTCTTGCTGCCTAAAATCCCCCTATGCAACAGGTTTCGACTACAACTTCTTCTCTCTCTATGAGAAAACAGTTAATGGTGGTATACAAGAGAAGGAAAACTTCAGCTCACATGGATACAACTATGAACACACCAGTAGATATCAGCAGCAACAACAAAGTAATAAACAGCTCAAACCAACAAGATGAAGAATCAAAGACCTCATACGAAATGGATGGACATATATTGAATAAAATCAAAACATGAGAAAAGCAAATGTCATACATGAACTCGATCGATGAGACTTCTTCTCCTTCTTCTTTTCGCTTCTCCTACTTCTCTTTTCATCATCTTTCTCTGTTCCTCGATGCCTCTTGACTTTCCCTTCGTCTGTTCATCCACAAATCACAATTTCAACATACAGTCTCAACAATTCAAACGAGTTACAGTTTCAAGCATCGATTCGAATCGAAGTAACGAACTACAAATTCAAAATCGGGAACACGAATAGTCCAAAATCCCAAAACAACAAAGTGATTGCAGATAAACAAATTGAAATTCACCGCTGCCCTAAATTTTCTCGGGAAACAGAAGATAAAGTATAATTATAGAGAAGACGAACATACTTTCGGAAGACGATGGATCTTCGCTCCGTGCTCTGCTTCTCTTCTTCTCCTTCGGGCTCCGTTCGCTTCCCATGATTCGCCGACTTAATTTGAAGAACGGAGAAGACGCGATACTCTCTGAGTCTCTCTGTATTGTATATTCAACTTTTATTTGGTCCAGATCAGGATTTAGGATTACCGGGTCGGGTCTCCGAAGCCAAATTTCATCTAAAGCCCCCGTACTACTTTATATTTTCCATATAGCCCCAATGTTTTTCCCAATACAATTTAACCCCCTTTCAACTACAGAACTGACTAATTTTTCTTCTCTAAATTTTGAAATTAGTTTCATATGTTTTCGAGTATTTACAAGCAAATTATCAACAATACATTTGGTCTACAAAGACAAGAGACTGCATTTTCTTGAAGATGGTCTCAACGGAGCTAAACTCCACCTCAAAACCATAGCTCCGACCACCGTATTCGACGTAGAGAAACCTCGCTGGAGAAACTTCCGGCAGTGGTGAAGGCAAAACCATAGAGATTTCAGGAAATTCCGGAGACGGTGGAAGAGGCAGCAAATCTTTCTTCTTTTTGAGAGAATAATACACATCGGCTAAGAGAATCCATATGAGATCAGGATCGATGCACGCTAAACCTCTCAATGCATTCAAAGCCGCTTCTCTTAACCCAGTTACGCCGCTGCAAGCGATCCCAACCACCAATCCCGCAACTTTCTTCAAGACTGCATCTAACGCTGAAAAGCTGCGTTTGTCTCTGGAAAGCTCTGCGATCATATCGAGAAGTGCAGCCTGCACTTTCAAGCTAGAAACCTCAGAAGAAGATGACTCGGGAGATTCAGATACGGTTCTGTAAGGAAGCCGAAGAACCGATTTATTGTCTTCCCGGAGGTTTTTAGCCGTCATAATGTGGAAGGGAGATGTGGTTAAAAGCTTCCAGAAGTCTGGGCCATCATTGCGGAAACGACGGGTGAAGAAATCCCCTCCAGATGTTTGAATGACTCGAGGAATCACGGTTAAGCACCTCCGCACAGCCTGTGGAAAAGGCAGCAGATTTTAAAAATCCGTCAAGTCTAGAGATAAATCGGAAGTGAGAGAGAGAGAGAGAGAGAGGGAGATTGTACCACAGGATTTCTATTTCGTATGCAAGAAACAAAGAACGGCCAGATTTTGTTAATAGCGGGTAAAAGCCGGTTCTCGTCTGCTCCATCGTCAGTAACATTCATGAAGTCTTTAAGCTGATAGAACGAAGCAAATTCAATGACTTCCTCCATTGTTTCTTTGGTTTCTGTCTCAGCTCGATAAGCTTCCTCAACTTTAGCCAGCGCCAATACACCGTCCTGTATAATTTGGAAAGTTAGTTCAATTGGAAATATATAGAAGAGGGCTCAAGAAAACTAATCCAAATGGAATATTGTACCTCGATTATGTTGAGGGAAACTAAGCATGAGGCTTGGTTTGATGATGCAAGGAGAGGCATGGCTGCAATTAAACATGAAGAGGCGATCGATCCAACTGTGCGTCTGTATCGTTTGGAACGATTCAGTTCAAGCAGTATCTTTTCCCATTCTTCCTCGTCGTTAAGTTTATTGTAAGAATCTGAGCCTTTCTCTTGCCACGATGTTATCGCATCAGTTGCTTTGGTCTTCACATGGTCACGATATGACTTGGCTCGGTCTGGTAATAGACAAGCCTCGTTCTTTGACGCTTTTACAATCTCGGCAACAGCCTGCGAGACGCACCAACAAAGGTTACAATGTATTTTTAAACAAGAAAAGTAATGATTTTAAAAAGACTGCAGAAAAAGAATGAAAGATTGAATCCACCTTCAAGAAGGGTAAAGTTAGATTTGGATGCTCTTGTCTACCAACAATTTCTAGTTCTTGGGAAACCAATCGCATCTGCAGATCCCCCGAGACGAACAAAAAAAGAGAACTTGTTAACGCACTGATTTTGGATCGGATAGAGATTGAGGATTTGGGACAAACAAAAAATGCTCTTACCGGTTCCTCCAACAATGGCAAAATCTCATGAGCAACTCCGATATAAGAAAGCATAGCAGCGAGTACATTTGGGACATGAGGATTGAGATCCAGGTGGCGCAGCTGACGACAAATAGAGTCAATAACGTAATCCGCATTTGCTACAACCAGATGCCCTACCTGCAAACAAACAATCAAAAAGGGAAAGATTTTAATCAGAATAAAAGGTTTTGTGATGTGCTTGAATCCAGTTACATTATCATATTAAATTCTCACTGTGGGATGGCCTGAGGTGGTAGCAAGAAGACGTAGGACAGCGTCTGAAGCGTTTCTAACTTGGAAGCTCGAGCAAGTAAGACTCTCAAGCAGAAGGTAAAGCGAAGAGTGAAGAAATCCACTTGACGTAAAATCTTTCCCAAGGCACAAGGAAAACACACCAACTCCTTCTATTATTACTTGGTGTAGCATTGCAGTATCCCTCAAGAAATGCAGACTAATATGTGGAACATCGGTATCGGTTTGCCCAGGAGCTGTCTTTTGGTCCACGGGGAGATCCCACACTTCAGAGGATTGGTATTCGTGCAAGATTTTGCCAACACAATCAATCAGATGAGTTTTTGCACGTTTGTTCCATGAGATTTCCCAAGATAGTTTGTCTCTTCCTTTTCTCGACTTCTGAAGCAGTCTTGAGAGAGCATTCGTTGCTTGATCCGATAGACCGAAAATCATCTCATTCAAGATACAAGCAGCAGTTGCTGCCTGGCGAACTAACTGTCCTGAACCAGTTCGATTACACCAAGTTTGCCAGGCTTCTCCATTATACTCTTTTACACGAACATCAGAAACCAATTTACGAAAGAGCCCCAGAGGAACATCCAGGATGACTGCTAAACGCCCTTCGTTTTCAAGTCCTAGCAAACACAGCGAGATCATTTACTATCAGTAACTAGCTCATCTATAAGGCGGAACAATTTCAGAAAAGAGTTTCAAAGGAATTTGAAATGACCTGCCATTAAGGATAAACCTACAAGTCTAAGGATTCCAGCAAGCATTTCGTAGAGCTTCTGACTACCAACATGAGAGAACCAAGGAGGCATGCAAGGTAACATATAGCTAGTGGGGGAAGATGTCTCCAATTTTCCTTGATCTGATTCAGTGATTTTTGGAACGGTGCGATTGTAACTGGTCTTCCGAAATCCCACATTCAGTTCTGTGATGGAGTGGAGGTAACCTGTCGATGATGAAGGCCTTTCTGCGATGAGTTTCTGAAGAGAGCCAGTGAATGCTGAGTTGTGGCTCAGACACAAGGAAAATATATCCAGGAATCTGCTAGCTGTTATCTACATACAAGAATCCAAAGAAGCACCAATCATATAGCCATTATTACATCGTGTTTGGTTTCTGGAACTGGATTCTCGCTGATAGAAGAAAGAAGTAACCAAACCTATGAGCGTGTCAAGAAAGAATACATACGGGAGACTGAAGATGATCTGCCAAAAATCGAGGGCCAGAATAATAAGTGACGACAAGTAACTGCTTCACCACCGAAAGTGCAGGCAATTCCTCATTCCCCAAAACCACTTTTGGAAGCCTCTCAAGTAGTCTGTTGCCATTAACACACCACAGAAGAAAAATAAAGCATTAGCATCATGTTAAGAGACCAGAATACTGAACTTGATAGGAAAGAAACAACACCTGCTAAAGATCTTGGTTATATCACTCTCTACGTGATATTTTGCACGTTCAGAGAATAGATGATCGAGAAATTCCTGGGCTGCTACAGATATTTCATCGGAATCGTCAACAACCAGAGTACATACACATTCCTGCATTATAATAAGAAAAGAAAAAATATCATCCAGCTGAAATTCCTTGGAATGGAAATATCTAAGACCATGTGTTGTTGTTGATTATGAACCTACCAACATCACTAATCTAGCACCCTTCAAGGAACGAGAGCTCTTAGATAGCAATCCACGTATTGCAGCTAGAAATCCCCATCTAACTTTTCCGGCTGGGTGAATAAGAATCTGAAACCAATTAAGATTCACCACTCAGAAAGAGAAAAGCTCCAACAGGGTTTGGGACAAAAGTAAAGTGATGAACGGAGCACAAAATAAATAAATAAAGAAAAACATACATGAGGAAATGTCTCACACAACAGCTTATTCACGTGAGATGTAGTGCTCTCTAACCACTCCTTTGTACGTTCAACATGAAAGGAGTCCCGACTCGGATTCAGATTGGACTTTTCATGTACGTAGATGGTTTTAACAATTTCTTGGCTTGTACTTTCTGCCATCTCATCACCCTGCCCTTGAGATTTTGTAGTCAAAGAACGAAGTTCATCCAAAATCGAGTGTGCAGATTCATGCTTCTGAGACTTAGAATCATAATCAGAAACGTCGAGGGCCGATGAATTAGCCTCATCCTCTAGGACTATCATAAGAAACTCGGCCAAACCTCTAACTGCTTGGTCTAATGCGTCAACACTTCCTGCAGCTCCACTTATCATTGCTCTCGAAACATGCAACACTTTGGCAATTTGGCTAACAACACCAGGTAGAAAAAACGCCAACACATCAGCAGTACCAATCTACAATATGTATCAGAAATGGTCCATCAGATAGCTTTTAGCAAACGGATTCCATCAATACAATGCATCAAAACATGTAACCATAACTTTCTAGTTACCTTAGCCACAAGTACGCGAAAGGCCAGAAAGGCTTCAACACGAAGGTTCGCACTTCCTCGTTGTCCTCGAGAAGCCTCAGCATCAGCCACCTACGTGCAGTGATCAAAATTGATTCACTTTAGAATTTACGCAACTACATAACTCCATATGAAAGAAAAAAGGTAAGCATAGCGAGGAAGATGTCTTTACTTTGAGAAGAATGGAAAGCCAATGACCCACAGCAGCCAAAGCAGTCTGAGACTGAAGAAACGCAACCAAGCATTCTCGCGTTTCTAAAGACTCTGAAACTTGAGTTTGAAAATCTCTTCGATCTGACAGCTGAGGCCATCCAAAAGTGCGTTTACATGAGCAAGAAACATTAGAGCATGGATGCAGACCAGAGATCATTGCTCGAAAACATTTGACGATCCCTTCGCGAAACTCTTCAGCAGCCTCAGATGGCGTTAAAACAGCAGCACTAGTTAACTTCTTCATAATCACAACCATCTGTAGGAGAACATTTTCAACATACAATTTCCATAACTAAGCTGAGAATAAGTGAGAATTCCAAATCAACTCACCTGATCGACGGATCCGATGTGGCATTTCTTTAGAAGTTCTTCAAGGCAATTGATTACACCTTCTGCTACTTTATCACTCACTCTATGAGGCGTTTTCGGAAATTCCGCCGGCTGATTGTTCCCCTGACTTCTGCAAGCTACTGCAGCGTCTAGATGAAGAAGCAACGGGAACAAAGTGTAGCTGAAACGTACATTAAACCAAAACATTTCTCACATTCGCCACAGTCAACAATACACCACAAGACTAAATAATGCCTAACTTGGTTATATGAATGTCGAAATCAAAAGCGGAGGTGAGGAAATATTTACTGGAAGAAGGACTGGAGAGAGGACGGAGGAGAACGGCGGAGGAGGTGGAGCAACGCAGGGACCGTGGATGGATCCTTTTGAGGGTTTTGCGATAGGCTGAGAAGCTCCAGGGAAAAAACTTTGAGTTGTGCGAAGACGGCTTCTCGTTCGGCTTCTCCATCAACGTCGTCTCCATTGGTTTCACGGCGGACTACGACGGAGTTTTCCATTTCAATCCGAATTTCCGATCAATGGTTAGAGCGGAGACTAGCTCTGAATTTAATTGACCCGACCCGATGGTATTTGACCCGACCGGTCAAACTGTATCAAGTCGATAGGTTTCTCGGTCACACCACCGTCTCCTTGCGACTAAAAATGACCGGGAATTTTGCTAATTATAGGGTTTTAGGAAATAGTGCAAAATAAACTTGGTATTTATACATAATTGCAAAATATACCTATTTTTGTACAGAATTGCGAAATAAGCTGATATTTATACAGAACTGCGAAACAAACCTATACTTGTACAAAATTGGAAAAGAAACCCATCGAAATATACACAATTGCAAAACAAACCTGACATTTATACAGAGCTGTTAAACAAACCTATACATGTACAGAATTGCAAAAAAAACAATCGACTAATGCAAAACTCCAACATAATTAGCCTGATATTTATACAATAATTACAAACATTTTTAAAGATTAGCTTCTTATTCAGCATGTGGAAAAGGACGTTTGCTTGCTGAATTCATTGATAAGTCCATACTTCTTTACTTCTAAACCAGCAAAGCTAGTTGGTGAATCTATTTTGAGACAAACCATAGCAACTAGTCTTTTCTTTTCTCTGTCGTTTCCAGTTTTTGGTTGGTTGTTAGATAATATGATGGTGATTATCAAACTAACAATCCCTACCCAATATTCTACAAATAAATGACTTGAAATATCAAAATTTCAATAAGAAGCCATAGATCATTATACTTCAAGATTCTGTAGAATAATGAAAGAAATCTTTCAGATGGTTAGTCTCAATCTTTAGTGAAATATGTTTTGACTAGCTAACTTTCTTCCCCTCTATACACTGAAAATGCCAAGAAATTAACATTTTCTCTATTACCTACCTTTTCCATTAAATCATGTAAATATCCAAAATAAATATCTTTTCTTGTCATCCATGAAAAGAAAAAACCCGTAATTAAAGTAAATAAGCTTTTTACGTTTATCTTAATGTATCATGAGCTCGTAGGTCTTCAGTAGAGATGATTCTTCTTCTTCATTTTGTATCCCCTGTTTATGCTGTTGATTGTCATCATCATCTTCTTCTAACCCGAGTTCGCTTTCAAGGTGCTTGAACCATTTCTTTACTTCATCCTCATCAGACTCTTCTTCAGCTCTTGAAGCTGAGCTGTTCTCATTCGCAAACGAGCTTGAACCATCAAAGAAACTCCAAATGTCTGGATCTGAACCAAATGGGATCTCCAGGAGATCCGGTTTGTCTACCTCTTGAATAATGTCGTTAAATTCGCTATACTCAAACATGAGACCTATATTTAGATCATCATCATCTTGGTTTGAGTTGTTGGAACCACCAGAAGACACTGAAGTAGTAGAGTTCTGAGAGGTCTTTTCCTCTGCTTGAGACATGGCCTCCTCTTTCCCACGAGAAACAGAATCACTCGAACAAGATGAAGCTGGACCATCTGCACTAAGATCAGTTCCTGAGCTCTGAGCCAGTCTTTTCTTAAGATGTGTATGCCACACATTCTTGATCTCGTTGTCTGTTCTTCCTGGGAGTTGAGATGCGATTTTAGACCACCTGATCACAAAAAAGTTAGTGTCAGTGTTAAATCACTTTTGTGATCCACCAAGAAGCTGGAGATTTACTTGTTCCCATAGTTCTGGTGAAGCTTGATGATCGCTTCTTCTTCCTCTGGAGTGAAGTTGCCACGTTTCACATCTGGCCTGAGGTAGTTAATCCACCTTAGACGACAACTCTTCCCACACCTCAATAGACCTTCATTTTTCATACAATTCAGAATCATAGAGGAAAGTTATTAAAGAGGCTCTGCTTTGATCATGATAAGCAACTAACATACCAGATTGTCTGGGGAGAGATCTCCAGTTCTCATGACCAAATTGTTGAATGAAAGAAATGAGTTTTAAGTCTTCTTCTGGGCTCCATGGACCTCTCTTCACTTTGGACTTGTCACAACAAGGTGCTCTTCCCTTCCCCATTCTCTCTCCCTCTCTCTATCTCTCTCTCTCTCTCTCTCTCTCTCTCTCTCTCTCTCTGTCTATCTTTTTATATGTAATATATATACACTCAGTTTTGAGATTCACTTTAATCAAATAGAATAAGTTCTGTTGTTTATATATATATATATGAGAGGTGAGAGTGTGATCTTGACATGAGAAAGATGAATGTAAAAACAAAGGGATTTGATAAATGTCAAATCAGATTTGTTGAGTGGGAAAAGGTTGCCCTGTGGTAAGGTTGATTATTTGGTATGATTCCATTTTCTCATTTTTTTGCTTGATTTGGCATCCACATGATGCATGCAACTTATCTTTTCTTTTAACAGCGATGCATGACATTTTCACATTTGTTTTACAATTTCAAGAAAATACACATATAGTATTTTATTTTTGTGAATTACTAAAACTAGTGTCCGAGTAAAAATTATCAGATATGACTTTTGTTTTTCCCAATCTGTCTTCTGTAATTTTGCTAACGTGGAACTACATGTCGACAAGTGTTCATTTTGATATCTTTTAAAATTTTAAAGCTGCAACGTTACTTTTTATTAAAAACAAAAAAGAGCAAGTTATTTTAAATTAAAATAATCGAACACACCTAGGTGGACTGGACTAGTTGAGTAGTAATGGTTATAAAGTGGCAAGAGAGAAAATAAATTTCATATATCGATTTGTTTCTTATTATTAGGTAGTGTTTTTGACTTATTAGAAATTCTGTAGCTACAACTTGTTGATTGAAACATAGCCTAAGGTATCAGGTATGCAATGAGACTTGATAATATTGATTATTTTTGTCCGCGAGTCTTCTCCAAGTCACACATAAGCAATGTAGCTCCATGCATAATTACCAACTTTTGAATATAGATATCCCGTAATCATGTAGTTCCAACACAAGGATTAAGAAATTGAACTCTCATGGACAATGCCGTTTATTTTCATTCATTAATAATGCGGTCACTCACGCGAAGTCATGCCATTGGATGTATTTGTCAGGATTTTCGAATTAATTAATCGAAACTGGATTTTCTTCTACCAAAATAAGTAAACAAATACGTCGCCTAAAAAGTAGAAAATGTACGTTTTATAACATTAAAAAAAAAAAAGAGAGCTAGATCAAGTAGAGAATATAAATGTTATATAGATATAAAATTATAAAGTAATTTCTCTAGCTAGTCACATCCGAAAATACCAAAAGCGAAGGAATGTGTATGAGCATAGTGCACGAACTCACCAAACAAAAGACTAAAGAGAGTGGAAAAGGTCAGAGACTTACGTCTTTTTTGACTTTTTAATGTTTGGTGGGTTTGGTGTTGTTGTTGGCACTTGGCTACGTTAATAACTTATTATATCACCAAACCTTCATTACTTAATTAATTTATCTGCTACCATACACAAATTAATTTAAACCATCGCAATATAATGATCAATACTTTATACCTCAGACGTCTTTGGAGCATTAGCAATTTAGTATCAGCAATACTTAAAGTTCAGTTGAAGTAATAAACCATATAATTTGGTTATACGCTAATAAACTTATACCCAATATCATATTAAAAAGGGAAAATATCCTACGAAAAACCTAAAACACACAAGTCCAAAAATCGATCAACACTACGGTTTATATATATAAGGTGACGATACTAAGATCTCACGTTATATATTATGAATGGTGGAAATTAAAATATAAAAAACATGAGAAGCATGGGCCAAGCTACCCACTACTAGTTAATATGATATTACATAATGGTATTGGTCTAGATAGAGTTTATTCTGTTTGATAAGAAAAAACTCTTGAACTAAAAATAAAAGAAAAATTGTTTCAACTAGTGTAAGTTTTGAATAGTCAATAAAATGTAATTGCATTGAGGTTATAACCATTAAATTCATAAAAAGTATCAACAAAAGTATAGGTACGCGTACGACATAGAAAAAATGACGTGGTTGGGTTTTGCTTTTTCATACGACTCTTGGTAATGGAAGGTTGGTGAACAAACTAGGTATGTGGGAAAAACTTTATCGAGAAACACACACAAAAAAACTATTGAGTGCGTAAAACATTTTCAACGTACCTATGGATTATGGACCTTACCGAAAGTTGGAACGATGGAAACTGGCATAAAAATATTTCTCAAAAGTAAAATGAGAAAATATGTGAAAAGTACGAAGCACGTGTGTTGCTATTAGTAATACATACGTCAAGATCAGTTTTGAGTATCACTGACTTTAAAGTTCATGTTTTAGCTAATGGAATAGAGCGTTGTGTCTGCGTTGTGTGTGTTCATAATAGGGATATATTTACTTACACAGACTTGTATGGTTCGTATATTTTGACACGTCAATTTCTATCTTCTTCTTTTTTTCCATTTCCCAAATTCAACCTTATGACTAGAATACACCGTACTATTTTCTGGATGTTTTACTGAAATTTTTTCATATGTTTGAATATTCGGTTTGGAATTTGCTAGTTATACTATTTTGGCGTTTGTTCAATGTATATGAGATGAAAACGATGACGCCTTTTAAATTATACGATCGGTAAAGTAACTCATGTTTCGAAAGGGATCAACTCAAGGAACTTAGAATGAAAATTATCTAATCGTCAGTTCGTCACCTAAACAAGCGTTTTCCGAAGTAGAACTAACGTTGGACTAAAGATTTTGGGGACTAAACAAGACACCTAATCTTGGAAAAAATGAGATCTCGAGCAATAAATAATATTATCCATCCTTGGGTTGGTAGGACATATTTGCATATACTAGTGATGGGTTCTTTTTTCCTGATCACCTAACTAATCACTCATTAGGTCCAAGCAAAAAGCTAATAATTCCAAATTAAATTAAATAACGCCATAAAATCACGCATAGAGGTTAGCAGATAAAACAAACGATTACGCATGCATGACGCTCATGGATGTAATGGGAATAAACATATGTCACGTAAATGTGTTGTTTAATAACTAGTACTATAGTATATATCATCTACCATAATTTGTGATTATTTAGTTCATAACTATTACAGCTTATATCATCACTAAGACATCAACGTGTTGTTTCATACATACGTCGTACTTCGACATAATAAAGGGTCATCGTTTCTTCATATCAGTTTATTTTCAAAACTGAGTAACGGAGAATGCGAGTTTACTTCAAAATTTGCAGAAGACAAGTAAAAGGGAATGATTTTATAGTTGGGCCAATGATGGGCTAAATACTCTCTAACCAGGCCTGTCTACTTGAAACAGCAAGCTACAAATTGATGGCGATGAATATAAGAACAATTAATGACCAATGTCAGTCAGCGAACGAAGTCCTAGTATGGCGATCATTTGTAAACTACATGAACTATGATCGCGTATATTCAACAGTCGAGTTATATACGACACTGTGGCTTAATATTGTATCGGATCAATGTTTTATGGACATCCAAACTTGGAGTTCTTGATCAAAATTCGGATATCCACTAGACCAAAAATTAATACATAGAGGATCTTTTTTTGTTAAAAAATACATAGAGGATCATACCTTGTTATTAGAATTTTAAGAAAACCAACATAAATGCATTATAACTTTTCCATTCCAAACTTCAAAGAAAAACGGAGAATTTAATATCGTAATAGTTGTGATAGTCTGCAGAATGAGTAAATGGTGCCCAGGAATTTAAGGTTTTCCTATGCTTTTAAACAAAATTTAATTTCCAATTTAATAACCCTACCAATCTCCCATTTAAATGCATTGAAATCGCAAGACCGGTCTCACTGCCATAAAAATAAATTTCCCAATTTAATTTACACTGCATTTTTTATATCGGGACGGTTACACATTTAGGGCCAGCCGTCTTATTAGCTAGGAGTAAGCATATATACAAACATGAATGCACCCCAAATAACGTATGTATTCCTGTAAGTTTTAATTTGTACAAAATTAATACTCCACTATAGTCTATAGTTTACTTTTCTACGCCAATTGGTCAATCCCGATAAAGTATTGTCATTTCTTTTCACACGTACGTTGTGTATATATATAAGTTAATAAAAGCTATTAAATGTTAGGTGTTAAGAATATCATCCGTGAGCATCATCACTTCGTCACCCTAGGAGCCTAAATAGAAAAAGGAAAAAAAAATTATAACTCCCACTTTATTATTCAAAGCTATTTGGGTCTGTTCTTAAATGCTTACACCTTCCTATTTCCTAAAATGCCAATTCAATAACATCTCACCATATTATATTTTGTGCTATCTACATAAAAAAATTGAAATGTTGACAGCAAAAATATGATAATAACAATAATGTCGGTATAGTTTTTCTCGTGATTGTAAATAAACAATTTAGGAAGTGATGCTAAGATGTTTTGAAAGTCAACAACGAGGATAGAAAGTCTAAATCAGCAATTGAATAAGAATTTTAATTTCCGTAATGAATTGCATAATTACTCCATTAATTCATTAATCACGGTTGGCAGAAAAAGAATTGAGTCATTAACCACTAACTGAAGCAGTAAAGGGAGGTTTGAAAAGTAATTATGGAGAGACGTTTGCATTTAATGCGTCTCTCTCTCTATATCGCATTTATCATACTTTGGCTCTTTCTCCTATAATTCCTCTCGTCCATTCGACGATTCCTCTTGTAACAATTCCTACAAGAAATAAAATATTAGTCCATTTCCGGAAATGCATACTTCGAGACTGATTTGAACAGTGTTTCAATAAACCAAACTAATTTTTTTTAAAATAATTTTGTTTGTAAATGGATTTCTGTTGAAGTAAAATTATAATGCATATATATATAGTACTCGAACAACCTATGAATATTTATGCATAATACAGATGGATATTCAGAGTGGGTTGAAGTTTTTTTTTTTTTTTTTTTTAAGTGGACGTTAAATTCAATGTAATAAATATATACATACAAAATTAAATAGAAATGTAAATGTGAGAAAAATATGGTAAGGGTCTAATAAGAAATCGAATAGTGAGAAAACGTGTAGAGCGTGAAGTAGGGAAAGAAAAAAAAAGGTTAGAGATCAACACACATTAAATTCATTAAAATGCTAGTCAATAATGGTACAACGATAAATGTAACCCCTCATTAATATATTAGCTTGTACACAAGAGAAAGTAAACTAAAACCAATTTCGAAAAAATGAAAAAAATGGAGCAAAACATTAATCGCAATAATAAATCAGCATTTAATTGAATTTTCAATTATATATAACGTCCCACATTTAATTTCTCCAACACACTATTTCTACATTTCGGCTCTTTATATTGGCTCCCTCTATATAACTCTCTCTCCCTCTAAACTCTCCCCATTAGCCTCTCTCTCTCTCTCTCTCTCTCTCTCTCTCTCACACATTTCTGGTATGGCTGCTGACGTCAGCTCTCTGGTACGGTTACTAAGCGTTTACAATGATGATCGAGCGGTGGTGAAAGAGTCCGCCGGAGCAAAATCAACGGCGGCGCTGATGACTCGCGATCTCCTTGGAAGCGGCAGAGGAGGAGGAGGCGATCGGTCACTGGAGCTTGACCTTGACCTTCAAGTTCCCACCGGATGGGAAAAACGCCTCGATTTGAAGGTTCGTGTTCATTTCATTTCTCTCCGATTTCTTCTCCGATTGAAAATAGAACAAACAGAGAGATCAATTTTTGTAGACATATGAGTATGATCATGGAATTGATTTTGTTTATGGCGTGATTTTGAAAAACAGTCAGGGAAGGTGTATTTGCAACGATGCAATTCCACGAGCTCGTCATCGATAACCACGACGGAGCAATCGAATCAAACAGTACCGACGTTTCAGGATTTGAATTTTCCTCCGATTCCGAGCAATTCACAGGCGGCGAAGCCTCTGCTGAACCTATTCGACGACACGACGCCGGAACTGAAACTCCTCCCGCCGTCTCGTTCGCGTCCTCTCTCCTTGTCATCATCGTCGAGCTCTAATTTCCAAAGCGTATGCACACTCGACAAGGTGAAATCAGCTCTGGAGAGAGCGGAGAGAGATCCCGCCATGTTCAAAAAACGCCAATCGCCGGACGGTACTGCTTCCGATCATTATCGTACGACGGAGGTTGCGTCGCCGGTGGCGGCTGGATGTCCCGGATGTTTATCGTACGTGCTGGTGATGAAGAACAACCCGAAATGTCCGAGATGCGATACCATTGTTCCTCTGCCTACGAACTCCGTGAAGAAGCCTAAGATTGATCTCAACATGTCAATCTGAAACTTCTGGGGTTTAATTGAACATTTTCATTTTTTGAGGTCTTAATTTTGTAAATGATAGATAAAATCAGGGGGCTTTATTTATTCTGTAAACCGAAAAGAAGAAAGAAAAAAATTAATGGGGAAGACCGGAAAGATTTAAGGGTATAAGTAAAAAAAAATTACTCGGTTTAAAAAAAAAAAGTCAATTATAGTTCGTCTTACTCTTATTTTTGAATATCCCAAAAGTCCATGGTTAGTTGGAAGGAAGTTTACATTCATCGTATATGTTCAACTAAATTCATTTTGTCTTCTGTTAAAAAGAAAAAGAAATACTTATTTTTGATAATTAAAGTATACACTTCTTAAGTTGGATCGAAATACCTCTCTTATCCGAGTGCTTATGGTTTTCTTGAGAAAGTAATACTATATAAGAAAGAAGATTTATAAAACTGATGACTACTAAATGAAATAAGGAAGTGGTATGCATGCACGATGCCTTCAACAAACCCAAAAACAGTAAGATTTTTTTCAAACTGTATTTTGACACAAAAAATGAGTATAAAAAGGCGAACTAAATGGGACAAGTGTTACTTATAATTTTATGTGGTTTAAGTATGGCATATACTACAAATTATGTTGATCACAAGGTCATGTTGACCTAACTTTAACTGCTTATGAATAAACTGAAGGTAACGTAATAAATCGCAGATAATGTGTGAACATTTTTTTAGGGTTTTGTGCAAAACAACCCTCAAACTAAATTCATTTTGCAAATCAAACCCTCAATTTAAAGTTGTGCAAATCAAACCTCTGAAGTCAAAATAACCCCGCAATATAAGACATCTCTATATTTGTGACAAAATTTAAAATGATTTTATGCAAAACAACTCGCGAACTATTTTTTGTGTGCAAATCTAACCTTCAACTTAAAAAATATGCAAGTCAAACCTGCAAAGTCGAAAGTCACTGCTAAAATGAACTTATATGTATTTGTCCATAACTACAAACGTTGACTCAAAACGTCATGACATTTATAATATTTTAACAATTTTTATTAAAAATACTTAAAACAATAATTCAATATTTCTTCTCTTTTTCTCCATCAATAAGGAGAGGGTTAGGATTTTTAACCAAATCCAAAAAAACTAAACCGTAGCCAATCCAGAAAATCAAAACCGAACCAACTTACTCACAATATAGTTACTTGGAAGATCTGAAGTCCTATGTCTTTATGAGCCTCTCTCGAATAATTCTATTGCAAGTAAATTAGTTCTTATCTTTGTCTCTTCGTCGTCATTAGTTAATGAGATCATGAAGAAAAGAATCAACTTATTCGCGATAAGATTACTCGAGATAAATTTATTAATAAGAGGAGAAAGAGAAAGGAAATTAAAGATTAAAGTTTTTTGTTTTTGTTTTTTTTTTAATTTACTTTTAATAAAAATGGTTAAAATATTATTAATGTCATGACGTTTTGAGTCAACGTTTGTAGTTAAGGACAAATACATATAAGTCCATTTTAGCAGTGACTTTCGATTTTGCAGGTTTGACTTGCATATTTTTAAGTTGAGGGTTAGATTTGCACATAAAAAATAGTTTGCGGGTTGTTTTGCATAAAATCATTTTAAATTTGTCACAAATATAGAGATGTCTTATATTGCGGGGTTATTTTGACTTCAGAGGTTTGATTTGCACAACTTTAAATTGAGGGTTTGATTTGCAAAATGAATTTAGTTTGAGGGTTGTTTTGCACAAAACCCTTTATTTTAATATATAAAAAGTGTCAACGACGTAAGGAAAGGTAGAAATGCAATAATAACTAAAGTTCAACATAAAATTAAAACAAAAAAAAGAAGAGCTAAAGTTCAACATATATATGCATGGACGAAAACTTTTCCGGTACGGTCGACGAGTAGATGAGTTTGATAATATAATTGATATAAACCAGGGTGGGACCAAGAATAATAATATTTCGTAGGTAGCAAGGTTTTGGCATTTAACACTAGGACATTTTTGTGTGTGTGGCATTTAAACACACTCCGGATACGTATAATATATGGTTTGATATTCGTCTTTATCCAAAATAAAAATCTTGGGTATGTTTTTATTCGTACGTTTGCAGTTACGAAATTAGGTTTACGTCTATCATTATATGACAACACTATTTTAAATTTATAGGTTCCTGAGTTCCTCTTCACTGGAAATCGGAAAATAGTCCTAATTCCATGTAAGTAGTACTAATAGTTTGAAGTTCATTGTCGTGGATTTCAGATATTAGCGATGGACAGAAAAATCAAAAACGAGAGAGAAAATAGAAGAGAAACTGATAAAGGGGATGATTGGTAGGGGCTGTGGTTGCTCTGTACAGCCCTAAATCTCTCTACAGTAATACCAAATTACCAATCAAGCTCTCATTTTATCTCTTTCCATTTTTGAAACACAGAGCAATTTTATTTATTTATGGAAGTTCCGTGGCTTTGGAAAGCAATTTTTCTAGAGCACCAAATTAAGTGCTCTTAGAATTTTCTCTCTTCTCTTTCCTTATTAATCTTTCAACATTTATTTTTTAATCTATTATTTCTATATCTTAACTTTTTTGTTTTAATATTATATTTAATGACACAATCTATAATAAAAAATCTTACAGCACTAAAATCTAGAATCACAGCCAAAATTTCTACATCATTAATTCTACAGCAAAAAAATTAAAGCTACAGCCACAACCAATCAGGCCCAAAGTCTTCGTCATCCTAATGGAAACGAATTCAATTAATTAGATCGTGACATCTATTAAATTGTAATCAATGCTCCTGCTTACATTTATGAATTTTGGTTCTTCCTCTAGGAAAACATTTAAAGTCCACGTGTCAACTTATTGTTTCCTTCATTAATTGAGTTTGGCTTATTATTATCTCATCTTTGCTTTTCAGACAAAACCCCAAAAGACTTTAAAATGAAAAAAACCATATCGAGTATAGTTAGAAACTGAAATTTTCATATTTTCAGAAAAGGTTCGTAGTAAAAGTAACTTCTTCGGTCAGATTGAAACGAATAATCTACAGAGACCCCTTTGCCCTTTGGGTCAAATCATAAATGGGCCAAGCCCATACTGAGGACGGTGTCTAAAAACATTTGATTTTAGGTCCATACGAGGATGAAATATTGGGGACTAAAACCCTAAACCCTAATTGAGATCCTCTTTGATTCTGTGCAGACAGTTTTTCATTTTCAATCCAATTACTTCCTCTTCTCTTCGCTGCTCCTGAATCAGGAATAATGGGGAAAAGCAAGCGTAAAGAGCGTAAAGAGAAGGTAATTCTTCCACCGGAGCTTCCACCGGATGTCCCCGAAGAGGATGTCGTATATTCCGACGAGGATGAGAAGTTCGTCAAAGAGAACGCTGCTGCATTGGCCAAATTTGCCTCTCGAATCGACACCGACGCTATTGACAAGTGCGTCTACCTCTCTTGAGACCTTCGTTTTCTGGTCGAATCGTTTTTTTTTTGTTTGCTCTGTTGATATTGTCTGTGTTTTGGAATGTTTTGGTGATTTTGAGTATTAGGGTTGATTTTGTTTGTATCAGCGTGCAATATTTACCAGAATCAATAATTGCTATATCCGAATTGAGTTTGAAGCTTCTCGTATCAAATTTTCTCATCTCAATCTCTGTTTTGTTCAACTATTGCCAGGCAATGTGGTGGTAGAGTGAAGAAAGCGGAGGAAAAGACAGTGGAGGATAAGTATGAAGAAGTGCGATCAAAGAAGAAGACGCATCAGGAAGAGAAAGGGAATAGCAACGAGATTCTTGTGGATCCTGCTGATGTGCTTCCTATCAAGAGTTTAGATGGAAAACTCCACTATCGAACAGGTAACAAAAAATAAAACTTTCTTTCGATAATTGTTTAAATGGCACGGTTTTAGGATTCGTATTGATATGTATTGTATCTGCTCTCCTTGTGTTTTGATATGTTTCAGTAACAAAGAAATCAAAGCTAGCTGAAGTGGACACAGATGAAGCGGATATGGACATTCCTGAGGATGAACATATATTGAACAAATCTCAAAGGAGAGAAAAAGCTAAAAAGAGTAAAAGGGATGCAAAGAAACATGACAAAGAATTGCCTAAAGAGATTGTTCAAGAGGAGGAAACACCCCAAGCAGCAGTTCTGGTAATGCATGTTCTGAGTTTCTCTGTTGATTTTTTTTTTTCATTTTGTATCTTTTGTCATTTTTGTTAACATGTGAATGGTGCTCTTCTTTTAACAGGCAGAAGTGAAAGCAGAACTATCTGCTGAAGAGACGTTTGAGAATAAGAAGAACAAACTTGCGGAGTTGGGAATGCTATTGCTTTCTGGTCCAGAGGCAAACATAAAATCCTTAAAGGAAATGTTAGATATCTCCAAAGATGAGAATCCGAAGATGGTGAAACTTGGCTGGTTATCTCTGTTGGCCGTATTTAAAGATATTATTCCTGGGTAATTTATTCAATCTTCTGTCCTCCATTCTTACCTCATCAGCTAATCAGTCTCTTAACTCTCCCCAATATTTGCCTTTTGTTTTGTTTGTGTCGCCAGCTACCGGATTCGACTTCCTACAGAAAAGGAGCTCGAGATGAAGATCTCAAAGGAAGTAAAGAAAACTCGGTTCTACGAGTCCACTTTATTAAGAGCCTACAAGGTATGCATCTCATCTCAATCGTTTTTGATTCTCGATTCCTCCGAGTATGATTATAATACATTTTCTCTTTGCTGCTTATCTTCTTGACAGGCATTTCTGCAGAGGTTGGTTGCATTTGAAAAGCAGCCAGAATACAACCAAGTTGTCACTCGGTGCATGTGTACATTGCTGGAAGCAGTTCCTCACTTCAACTACCGTGAAAATCTGTTAGCTTTTGTTGTCAGAAATATTAGCTCCCCAGATGAAGTCGCGAGGTCCGTAATTGTTTTAAGTTTTAACCCTTTCAACTTATATATCATGGAATCTAACTCATTGTAGAAGTATTAATATCCCTTTTGTTATAGTCATGTCATTTTACTGCAATCTCATCTATTTCGTTCTTATCTAACTCACTTGTTTCGTCTTTGTGTGTTTGCAGGAGACTCTGTTGCTCTACTATTAGGTCTCTTTTCACCAATGAAGCGAAACATGGTGGTGAGCTAACAATGCAAGCTGTACGCTTGATTGCTGATCTTGTCAAATCTCAGAATTGCCAACTTCATCCTAATTCTATAGAGGTACCGTTTGGTCTTATTTCACCATTCTAACAACTACATGTTTATGTGGCGCAAGAACTGTTCTTGATGGAAAATTTAGATCGCGTTGTTGACATTTTCATTTGAAAACATAGTGCAAGACAATAATACTAACTATTTGAAAGTATACTCAGAAGAACAATGTCGTTATATAGATATGTTTCAATCTCTTTGGCTCTGTTGTCATTTTCTCTTGGTTCTGTTTTTATATGTGTACTTAGGTGTTCATGTCCATACGCTTCGATGAGGATATTGGGAAGCGTGACAGGGAGGTTGATAACAAGAAGAAATCTAAGAAAAACAATAAAAGAAGTAACCAGGAGGAGCAAAATCAAGTGCAGGAAAATGAGAGGAAGAAATCCAAGCGAGAACTGACGTCTAAGATCAGAGACGAGGTTATTTACTTTCTTTTCATGCAATAGATAACATCTAAAATGGGTCCTTGTTCTTGCTGTTGATCTAAAATGATATCTCTTGATGCCATTTTTCAGGTTCATGCTGATTACAAGACCTATGTACCGGATGCTACGGAGCGGAGAAAGATGCAGACAGTGACTCTTTCTGCTGTTTTTGAGACCTATTTCCGTGTCCTGAAAAATACAATGTATTCAGTTTCGCTCCATAGCGAAAGGTATTTTCATATATTGTTAAAACCATAACTAAACTATTTAGTTGGTCATATAGTTGTGTAAATTGGTATTTTTTTTCTAAAAACGTCACTTTGATGACTAATTGCAGCACAGAAGAAAACACAATTTCGTCTCCGGGTGCATTTGGACCACACCCTTTGCTTGCAGCATGTTTGGATGGGTTGGCTAAATTCACCCAACAACTGGACTTGGACTACATCGGAGATCTCATGAACTATCTAAAGAAGCTTGCCTCTAGCAGCAGCGTCTCCAACAACACAAAGAAGAAACACTCGAGACAGTTAACAGTCTCTGAACGCCTGAGGTGTTGCCTTGTCGCCTTCAAAGTCATGAGGAGCAACTTAAATGCCTTGAACGTTGACTTGCAAGACTTCTTTGTCCAGCTTTACAACCTCCTCCTCGAGTACCGTCCTGGAAGGTTTGTTATAGCTAATTCAACCACGGCATAGAGCTGAATCTAGTTGACTCTTATTAACACACTTTTTTTTATGGTTCTGAAACAGAGATTCAGGTGAAGTGTTGGCTGAGTCTCTGAAGATAATGCTGTGCGATGACAGACATCAAGACATGCAGAAAACTGCCGCTTTTGTAAAACGTTTAGCCACATTCGCGCTATGCTCTGGATGTGCCGAGTCTATGTCTGGTAACGATCGTAACTCATCACTCACTAACTCTTTCGATCACACATTCACATATAACTTATCTCGTTCTCTGCAATTTGTTGCCAGCGCTTGTCACCTTGAAAATTCTCCTCCAAAGGAACGTCAAATGCAGAAACCTTCTAGAGAACGATGCTGGAGGCGGCTCTGTTTCCGGCTCAATCGCAGTAAGTCACAGATTCTTGCTCTCATGCATACAAATTTTAATTTCGGAATGTATATAACCGTTGGCGTAATCTCTCGATTTGCAGAAATATCAGCCATATGCGACGGATCCTAACTTAAGCGGGGCATTAGCAACAGTGCTCTGGGAACTCAATCTCTTGACAAAACATTATCATCCGGCGATCTCAACGATGGCTACAACGATCTCCAACATGAACACTTCTCAAAGCCAAACGTTTCTCTCTGCAGTGACTCCACAACAGGCGTTTGCAGATTTCTCTCTTGAGAAAGAATCGTTTGACTCTAAGAACGAGTCACGGAAATTCAACAACAAACGGAAACGAGATGGTGGTGAAGAAGAAGCCAAGGATGTTTCCGAAATCGACATGGAAATGGTCAGCAAGAAATTGAAAGAGAATTTTACGATTATTCGAGGTATAAAAGAGGACGAGAGATTGTATTTGCTCGAAGAAAAAGAAAAAGAAAAAGAGGACAAGAGAAAGATGATGGAGTTGCAGTCAGTGAACGAAAAACCAGTCAAGAAACTGAGTAACGTGGTGAAGAAGAAACTTAAGAGCCCTAAATCCAAGAAAGTTTGAAACGCACTTTTTTCCGTTTAACGTTATACATTGCTTAAATTATAAATGCATCATTTTTTGTTCCAGTCTAATTTTGAGTATACTTTTGTTAAAGTGGACTATGAATCTTTTTATTTCAACTTTAAGTAAACACGTCGTAGTAAATCATGTTCCGCTTGCATCATTTAAATTCCTATAATCAAAACCACCAAAAATCCTATAGAATAAAGAAAAAATGCAGACTAAGAAACTTGTAATAAAATGAAATATTGTAGGTGTTGGCTTCATGAAATTACAAGGAATTGCATTTTGGTAAAATAAATATGCATTTTGTGACTTAAATTTGCACTTTCTCATTATTTAATTGAAATAAAATAACAATTTCTCCGATCAGTCATAAAAAAAAGGAGAAGGATCGAAGAACAATTGCTTTCTCTATCCACGAAATTCGAATACAAAAAAATCAAACGAACAACGAGGATGAGAAAACACAAACAGAATCATCTCTACTCTGTAGTTCCAGGCAACCAAAGAGACAAATCGTCGCCGGATAAAGATGCGACGAGCTCCGGTAAGTCACGAGACTCGGCGTCACCAGATCGGAGAATCTCGACCACTTTCTCGAACACGAAGACGTTACAGGGGATGTGAAGGACTCCTTTCTGAGCGTAACCGTATTCCTGAGCAGATCGATTGAGCAATCCAACGAAAACCGGGTGGTTTAGCAGCTCCGCACTCACCACGAACCGCTCCATCTCTTCTCCGACGTTGACGGGGACGTGACCGGAAGGGACGGTCGATGCGTCGGTTGCTCGCTTCACCACGAAAACTGACGACGACGTCGGTTGATGAACATCGCGGCAGCGGATTTGGTTGCAGCTGTAAGATTCGGAGGACGAGTCGGCGATTTGTGAGAGGCGGCGAATCAGAGGCTTCATGTTTGATTTCATGTAGAGAAATTTTTGGAAAATACTAGAGAGAGAGAGAGAATTAAGTATTCGATATTGGTGTATATATAAATGGGAGAGTAGTGTAAGTGTGTAACACACAAAGAGACGGTACCTGATTGGTGGACATTACACGTATGAAATCAATTAATACCTTTTGTATCATATATTTAATCAAAACTGTGTATAGTAGACTATTAATTTACCAAGTATTCTTTGATTTGATATATGATAGAAAAGGGTATTAGTTGATTTGTTAACAAAATGAGTCATGGTCAGATAAACAATAGAGGAACTACCTAATATTGGATAAACCAAATGAGAAATTCTCTAAATTTGGTTGAATTTCCTACACAAAGCAATTTTTTTTTTTATAAAGTTTCAGGCGTTTCCTCATTTACATTGGTCAAATCACTGATGGTAATACTCTGGCTAAATACATTGATAAAAAACGGTAATATATTTATCAATTCGTTATCTATTATAAACACACTTTTGTCTTTGACCAAAAGAAAATAAACCACACTTATGTCAACTTAATATATACAAATTTTTTAACCTTTTTGGTCTATTTGATTTGTTTTTATCCCAATTCATAACTTCCTTTGCAATCCTGTTTCTACTTTGTTCTTGGTCATCCTACAAGTGGCAATTACTAAAATGAGGTTATTGATTCAATGCAAATTGACGACCCAACTTTTCAAGTTATTTTCACCCAATTCTCTAAATTTTTGTTTATTTTTAGGGAATTCTGACTCGGATTTGACTAGATTAATTAATTTACATAAAAGATAATATTCTTTGACTCTTTTTTGGAGGGAAGAAAGAGTATTCAAAAGTCGAAGCGATTCACGTTATCGAAGCGACGAGATAGGAGATATGTCGAGGATTGCCGGTGGAGATAGAGGAGGGCGATCGGATTTGGAGCTTCCTGATGAGATTCTATCGGTAATTCCGACGGATCCTTTAGAGCAGCTGGATCTAGCGAAGAAGATCACGTCCATGGCAATAGCTTCTAGTGTGTCTAATTTAGAGGCCGATGTGGTCGAACTGAGACAGAAGCTCCACGAGAGAGAGATCGGTGTGCACGAGCTTGAGAAGAAGGCTTCTCGTTTTGAGAGAGATTTCCGAGAAGCAGATTCAAGGTTGAAGATCGTCCTCCATGATAACGTGAGAAGTTGCTTTGATCTCTCTTTCCTCACGTATCACATATTTTTCTTTTTCTTTGATTTCTGAAATACTTTTCTTTTTGTTTTGCTGCCAAAGATGAATCTGAGAGAGGAACGTGATTCATTGGCAACGACTGTAACGAATCTGAGACGTGATGTGGCTAAGGTGAAGAAGCTCTCTTCTTTTGTTTTGTTGGTTTTGCAATTTTTTTTATTGCTTGCGAGTAAAGTTTTATAATTTTATTGTCAGTTGGAGACATTCAAGAGGCAATTGATTCAGTCATTGAGTAATGAGAATGCTCTGGTAAGATATATATTTAGTTTGAGCAGCTTTATGTCATTATTACACATTATTATTTTTCTCTAATTGCATCTTCTCCATGCAGCAAAGAGAAGTTGTTGAAGATATTAAGACATGCGACAAGTCGGTTCATTGGTCTTATCCGGACAAAGGTAATGTCTCTTTTCAAACAACATGAAGGAGTTGCCTTGTTTATCACTTAATGTCTCACTCTCTACTTTCTCTTTTTCTTAAAGCAGAAGAAACGACCAATCTGCATTCTTACAATAAATCCCGAGACATGACTCGTCCAGTTGACGATGGTAACATTAGATTATTATTACAGTCCAATTAAGCATATATACATACTTTGAGTTTAGTGAAGTTTGATTTACTTGGCAGATTCAAATTACACAGGACCTAGATTTTCCGTGACTCCATACATTTCTCCCTGGATGACACCGAAGATTATCTCTCCTCGGAGTAATTCTTCTCCCAAGAGAACTTCCGGTGCAATGTCACCCACTGATACACATTTTGAAAGCCAAAAAGCAACTCTCTCGTACCCATCAAGCCAGCAATCATCAGCTGCAAACTCTCCTCCTCGTAGCCTCCCTCGTACACCTCGAGTTGATGGCAAATGGTTTTTCCGTCAAGCCAGGTTAATTAATAAGCAACTCTTTATTTTCCTTTCTTTAGCCTTAACATATGAAGCTCATGACATTTCATTCTCTTATCATCGTCATCCAGGAGCCGGTTATCTTATGAACAATTCAAAGCTTTCTTGGCTAACGTCAAGGAACTGAATGCTCAGAAGCAAACCCGAGAGGTACGCAAAAGGAAGAATAAGCGGTTTTTACTCTGTTTTTGCAAAGTGTATTAATACGTAACAACATAATGTGTTGTGCATTTGGCTAGGAAACTTTGAGGAAAGCGAATGAGATATTCGGAACAGAGAACAAAGATCTCTACCTGTCTTTCCAAGGACTTGTCTCCAAGAACAAGACCTAAAACGACCAAATGTCTATTTTAAATTAGTTAAAACGAACACATGATTTACTATCAATTTGTTTGAATCTTGCAAAGAAGAAAATTACACTCGGATCGTCTTCGTCCACCACAAGTAACAGAAAATTATGTCTTCATTTGGTTTTCTGCTATGTGTTTTACTTTCTTTGAAAAAGTTTGTTACGTGACAGCATCCCCCAAAAAACTGCAATTTGGATTGCATGGAAGATATATAGCTATATATTATCCAGATGATGTTCCGTTCTGTCCAATTTTAGATTTTAAAGCTGTTTATTTTGCCTTGACTTATTTTTCTTACCATATGTTTAGATACTCAAAGTATTATTAGTATAGTTTATAATGGTATTTACTTAGATAATGGTATTTTCTGTCTTTGTAGAATGAAGATCTAAAAGAAACACTAGGGGTGTTCAATCTAGAAAAACCTAACATGCATATGTTCAAAGGTAATAGTGGAAAGGTGGTCCAAATGATGTAATTAAGGAAAACAATGTAAGTAACGAGAAAAAAAAACTTACAATTTACAAACATGCATGAATATGTCCAGACTCCAGAAATAATAGTGTGGTCCAAATGATGGCACTTGCAAACATTGCAAGCGCTACTGAAAGTGGCATATGTTCAACATTCTTCGTCTTGATTACCACAATAGATATCGGAGAAAGAAACATGATAATATTGCATATGCAACATACAATACCAATCACGAATCTACTTTTCTACATATGCTTCTCTCGGGTAATAAAGTCAGGGTCGTCGTACTAAGTATGGTCACAATTACGATCTCAGCTACCAAAGCTATGATGATTACTAATCGCTGTTTTGGTCGATCGCAAGTGAAGTATATGTCAATACAAATTGCCGTGCGAAGGTCTTTGAAATTTAGCAATGAATTAACATATACAAATTGAAGTATGCGAAGGTCTCATTGCCGTTAAACTTACTTTCGTTATTTTTCTTTCACCAAATTATTATCTTTAGAGCCCAAAAAAAAATGAATTTATAAAGCAAGGCTAATTCCTAAGTTTACGCAAATTATAAGTATTACGCAAAAGAAGAGAGTTGTCAAAAATATTTACAAAAATAAGTATTACATAAGCAAATTATAAGCAAAATATATGAAAAATATAAGTAAAACATAATAAATATGACAATTTTATCATGATTTGCTAATAAATATTTTCTTTTTAAAATCATATGCTTAAGATTAAGATTCATATGATTGCATGTTTCTTTATTTGGTTTCAAATCGTGTGTTATGCATGTGTTTTACTCTCTTTGGTTTTTTTTTTTTTTGTTACGGACATCATTCCCAAAAGAAACTGCAGTTTGGATTGTGTGGAAGAGTATAGTACTGTATATTAACCAGATGATGTCATGATGATATAAAGCTTTTTATATAGCCGTGAATTATTTTCTTACCATATGCTTTAGATACTTAACAACAAAAGAAACAGAGATATTTCTCAGAAAACTAATAAAGACAGAAACAGAGATAGGCGATTGAGCAATCAACTTTACCTTTACAGAGGAATTGAGTGTGTGATAGAAGGAATCGAGTATGTGATCGAACAACAAGTCATTCGGATACACCAACAGGTCTTATAGTGCTTACCCTAGTTTTCCTCTTGTAATCTCCTATACAAGCTATCACTGAATATCTCTCAATCTGTAATTTCTCTTTTCTTCTTCGTCAAGGCAGAAGAAAGCACAAATCCGCGTTCTTACAGTAAATCCAAGACATGACTCGTCCAGTTGACGATGGTACATAACATTATATTATTTTCAAAGTCCAATTAAGAATACATACATAAATTCAGTGTAGTGAAGTTAAGCTGATGTTTTACTTGGCAGCTTCAAAGTACACAGGAACTTAATGCTCAGAAGCAAACCCGAGAGGTAGGCAAAAGAGAAGAAGAAGAAGCGGTTTTTACTCTGTTTTTGCAAAGCGTGTTATATACGTAATGACAAAATGTGTTGTGCATTTGGCTAGGAAACTCTGAGGAAAGCGAATGAGATATTCGGAACGGAGAACAAAGATATTCGGAAGAGTTGGTTTTGTCGTATCAGACATCGAAGAGGGACCTCGCTATATCTAAAGGACGCCATCATCTCCAGTACTTGATTGCATTGATGCTTCCAATTTATCCAAATCACAGAGTCAAGAGATTGAAACTGAGGCAAATGTTCAAGGTATGATATGAATCTACTAAGACATGTTCTCTGTTTGCTAAAGAGTGATTTCTCTCGCTTCGGAGGACGTTAAATCCACTTTAACAAAAACATAGTCCAAATTAGATAGAACAAGACTTAAATGATGCATTTATAATTTTGGCAATTTATAACGTTTGATTGGAAGAAAAATATGTGCCTTTCAATTTTTATTCTTGGATTTAGGATTTCTCAGTTTCTTCTCCACCACGTTATTCAGTTTCTTTTTCAGTTATAATTTTGATAAAGGTTTTTTTTTGTGATTCTCTGTTTTTTTTTCTTGTTTAATGTCTTCCAAAATTAAATTATGAAGTATTACAAATCAGGCTAAGTAACTAAAATCTGTACATGTCTTAAGAATTTGGTTATGGACAACATTCCCAAAGATCATATCGAAGTAATTTGATCTTTAAAAAATTAGGTTATGAAGTAAGAACACATATTTCTGATGGAGATCTAAAAGAAATACAATAATATGTCAAGATGCTAAAAAACCAATTTCATCATTTTGTATTCGGTTCAAGTTTTTATTTCTATAAACCAGAAATAAAGTAATACAAAAAAAGTTGGAAAACAAACAAAAAGGTATTGAGCATAATCTGGGCATGCAATCGACTATTCATAAGTGGTAGGCTTAAGATTTCTTGTACTTATCAAATTTCAATCCAAGTGTGAGTGTGTAATATGCAAACACTAACTCAAAATTTTATGTCTCTTGCGTAAAAAAGTAAGAAATAATAAATTAACCATTTTATTTTTCTAATTTTTTTCCATTTTCAATCTCGGTATGTCCGTCTCAACCGATTCTTCAGCATACTCTCAGTTTCTTTTCATTGATTTTTCTCTTAATTAATTACTTGACTATTACAATAATAAAAAAAAAAAATATATATATATATATATATATATAAGAAATTAGAAATTAGCTTTTGCTTGCGTATCAGCAAGCACGAGGCTCAAGCCCTGAGAGTAGAATTGAACGCTTTGAAGAGACAACAAGACGATTGGACTATCGCTGAGTGAATCACCTAGCCAAAGGAGCAGGCTCTCGCTTTCAGGAAGTCGAAACTCTTAAGAAGAGAGGTGATAAGCGGCCGAAATACTCCACTAGGAGGTGCCACACGGCTCACTTCCGTGTAAGAGTATGCAAAGGGAAGGAACCTAACGTCACTTACACATGTGAGGTTGACTTTTCTTGTAGCTCATTGACCATAGATATGTCGACATTTGCTCACAGAAACAATAACTCGAAAAATGAAAACACGCTTAGTACAAAAAAAGAAAGAAATAAGAAATTAGTTTTTTTTATTTTCTAGTTTCTTCTAAATGAATAAGGCAAATTTCCATTTGTAATAAGGCAAGTTTCCTTTTATCATGTTAAGCGGCCGAACGATTCCATAAACAAGATTGAGACACTTTTATTTAAATCATCCCATTCCCATCCTTTTAAACCTCTCTTCTTGACTCAGAAAGTAATTCACGATGTGGATTACATTCTACCCATCAATATATGAGATCGTGGATGATCCTTCATTGGATGCAATCATCTCTTGGAGCAAAAGCAACCACATTTTCATCGTTTGGGATCCGGAAGCGCTTCAGAGAGAGGTTCTGCCGAACTACACCATGCAATTTGGCAGAGATTACTCACGGTTTCTGAGCCAGATTAAGCATTATGGCTTTAAAAGGATTCGAGGTTCTGCGCAATGGGAATTCGGGCACAAGTATTTTGTGAGAGGTCAACCTGAGCTTTTAGACGACATGTTGATCGATGTTGAGACCGAGAGGATGGCCAAATTCAGCGCTAAACTTAGAGCAAAGGAAGCTGCAGCTAAAGCCAAAGCCGAGGCCGAGCATCGTTTGCAGCGTTTGCTTATTATTTGATTATGAATAAAGTATATATAAATAAACTCTCTCTCTCTCCCTCTCCCTCTTCCTCTTATTGTATCGCTACAAAAAAATTAGTGGTAATGGAATCTCCAAGTTCTGTTTTGTTTTGTTATGAATCTATTAGATAAACTCTCTCTCTCTCTCTCTTCCTCTTGTATCTGTACATTTTAATCGTAATGAAATCTGGAATTTTGCTTTTTGTTTTAGTTTTTATTCTTAGTGTTTGATCCGATACCAAGCGTTAACTTTTGCCTCGGTTCTTCTACACGGTCATAACTCGGTTCTTCTACACGGTCATAACAGACGATTTGAAACCAAATAAAGACACATGCAATCATATGAATCTTAATCTTAAACATATGATTTTAAAGAGAATAATTATATTAGCAAATCATAATAAATTTGTCATATTTATTATGTTTTACTTATATTTTGCATATATTTTGCTTATAATTTGCTTATGTAATTCTTATTTTTGAAAACTCTCTTTTTTATGTATAAATTAACTGTTTATTTATAAATATTATAATATATAGCAAACAAAATAAAATACAGAAAAAGTGCTCTTGATTTATTAAAAAAAACAAACATTGAAGAGTATACTTGTTATGCATTAAAAGCACAACTCAACTGGAAAGAAAACTACTCATGTACAAAAAGAAAGTGCGTAAACTTAGGAATCAATAGCCTTGCTTTAGAAATTCAATTTTTTGGGCTTTAAAGATAATAATTTGGTGAAAAAATAAAAATAGAAGGCTTAAGGTAATAATTTGTGTTATATGTGAGATAGAAGCAGACGGAAAATACCAAGGCGCCAAATAGAAGCAGAGCGAAATGAGATTTCCGATGACGGAGAGACTCATCCGAGCTTCGTAGATCCCCATGAAAGCCGGCTTCTTTATTCTCTTCTTTACTGCAAATCAACGACGATCAATTCTTCTCTTTCTGAATATATTTTTGATCACAGATTTTGGTGGAAGAGAAATCGAGTGTTAGAATCTTGACAAATTACGAGTGGAAGAGAAAGCAGAAGCAAATTACGAGTGTGTGAATCGTCGAATACACCAACAATTCTTTACTTTGACTCAACTACAAGTCAATTAAACTCAACAATTCTTTACTAACCAAACTCAATTTTTCAAAAAAAAACTTTAAACGATTGGAAGATATTTTATTGTTAGGTCCCCCAAATTAGGACAAACAACAAATGATGATCAAGAACAAGACAAGTCTCAAAGACTTAAGACACAAGTTACACAAATGTTCTAGAGTAAAGATACCTTGTTGCTAGTATTTGTAATCATCATTACTCTAGAACAGTAACCTTGTTGCTAGTATTTGTAATCATCATTACTCTAGAACAGTAACCTTGTTGCTTCTTTGTTGTATGACTAACATGTTCAAACTTCTATTGGTAATCATCATTGCTCTGTTTATTACCAAAAAAAAAGTAGAAATAAGAAATTAGCCTTTTTATTTTTCTAGCTTATTCTAAAGAATAAAGCAAGTTTCCTTTTATAATGTTAAGCCTTAGCTCTCGTCTCTCTGTATATATATGAGCGGAAAGGAGTACGATCCCATAAACAAGAGACACACTTTTATCATCCATCCTCTTAAACCTTTCTTCACGATGTGGATTACATTCTACCCTTCAATTTATGAGGTTGTGGATGATCCTTCATTGGATGCAATCATCTCTTGGAGCAAAAGCAACCGTAGTTTCATCGTTTGGGATCCGGCAGCGCTTCAGAGAGAGATTCTGCCGAATTACACCATACAGTTTGGTAGAAATTACTCACAGTTTCTGAGGGAGATTAAGTATTTTGGCTTTGAAAGGATTCGAGGTTCTGCGCAATGGGAATTCGGGCACAAGTATTTTGTGAGAGGTCAACCTGAGCTTTTGGACAACATGTTGATCGATGTTGAGACCGAGAGGATGGCCAAATTCAGCGCTAAACTTAGAGCAAAGGAAGCTGCAGCTAAAGCTAAAGCCGATGTCGAGCATCGTCTGCAACGTTTGCTTATTTAGTTATGAATATATAAAATAAAACTCTCTCTCTCTCTTCCTCTTGTATCTGTTCATTTTAATCCTAATGAAATCTTGAACTTTTGTTTTTTTGGTTTTGGACATATACTCACTTACTAAGCGTTAACTTAAAACAAAACAATCACTTAATTGCCTTTCGATTTTTCTTCTTGGAATTAGGGTTCTTAAGTATCTTCTCCGCCACGTTTAATAATTGATGGCGTAGGCTCATTGGGCCTATTTGGAAAGCCCAGAAAAGAGATCGGTTTTATACTTTTTTATAAAATAACCAGCGAAAATTACATTCAATCCTGCGAGTGAGTGAAGAAGCTTTCGAAATTTTGTCGGATTACTCCATGGAAATAGCGATGCTAATCTTTTGTTCTGTTCAATTTGTATATTGTGTTTTCGTCTAATCTTTCTCAGAGAAGTTAGAAGTAGAAGTTTTTGTGTTTCATCGTATTTGGTGAGGATTGTGCACAGAAGGTGTTTGATAGAATGTCTAAACCATTACTATTACACATAAGATGTTCGATCACTCGCACTCTGATCCAAATTCTGGAGAAGAAAATGTTTAGAGAAGTTGAAAGTTCCGTTTTTTCTCAGTTTGTTCAGGCGAGACACAAGTCGAGTGGAGGAGGATGGAGACCGAAGAAGAAAATATACCACAGAGTTCACGAGCTTGATAAAGCGATAGACTTGAAGAAGAAACCAACTCTGATCCTTCAGCTGAAATCCATTCTTCAGACGCAGAAACACGGAAGCATTCTTCTGAGGGATCTCGAGAAGCATGTTGGGTTTGTTCACAAGTGGAATCTAATGGCTGCCATTGAGAAGTACCCTTCGATTTTTCACGTTGGAGGTGGAAACAGAGAGCCTCCGTTTGTTACTCTGACTGAGAAAGCTAAAAAGATTGCAGCTTTGGAATGTGAAGCTACAGAGTCAATGGAACCGATTCTGGTTAACAATCTCAGGAAGTTGTTGATGATGTCTGTTGATTGTCGAGTGCCTTTGGAGAAAGTTGAGTTTTTTCAGTCTGCAATGGGTTTGCCTCAAGACTTTAAGAGCTCGTTGATCCCTAAGTACCCTGAGTTTTTCTCTTTGAAGGTTGTTAATGGAAAAGTTAATCTTTTGTTAGAGAATTGGGACTCTTCATTGGCAGTCACTGCGAGGGAAGAGAGGTTATCTCGTGAAGGAGTTCTTGAGAACAGGAAGAAGGTAAGGATCACAAAGGATGGAAATTTCTTGGGAAGGAACGCGTTCAAGATCTCTTTCCCTCCTGGTTTTAGACCTAACGCAAGTTATCTTGAGGAATTTGAGAAGTGGCAGAAGATGGAGTTTCCATCTCCGTACCTTAACGCGAGAAGGTTTGACGTTGCGGATCCTAAAGCTAGGAAACGAGTTGTAGCTGTGCTTCATGAGCTTCTCAGTTTGACAATGGAGAAGAGAGTGACTTGCTCTCAGCTGGAGGCATTTCACTCCGAGTCTCTGCTTCCATCAAGACTAATACTCTGCTTGATTAAGCATCAAGGGATCTTTTACATTACCAACAAAGGAGCAAGGGGTACAGTCTTTCTCAAAGAAGCTTATGATGGCTCTAGTTTGATTGAGAAGTGTCCGTTGTTATTGTTCCATGAGAGATTTGTTGCACTCTGTGGTCGGAGAGAAGCCAGTCTATGTAATGATGAAATGCAGTCTTCAAGTGTTATCTCCTAATCTTACATCAAATTAGATACGTGTACCCCAAGGCATTTGACCTATTTATGATTCTATTGTCTTGTCTTGTGAAGAAATGAAGAGTATATGTTAAGAGATTAAGTTTTGAGAGCTAACTTGAGAACAAAAGCGCCTAATAAGGTACCAAGGGGAGATGTTGACAGGGAGATTGACTATGTACTGTGAATGTGACATGAACCGTCTTCTAGTCCATGTGGAGGTTGTTGTGGACGCAGCTGGTATTATAATAAAACTTGTTTGTTTCTCAGTGTACACGACTCTCTTGATTGTTTTTCTTTGAGAAAACGATAACGGAATCTTTATTGGGTTGTTTACACACGACGGAACATTATTAATTTTGAAATGCAGGAGAAGGGGGTCCAGGACTCATGTGGCTTGTGAAAGGCATCATGGGAAAAGAGCCAAAGAGAAGGACAATTAAGTCGCACTACACAATCCCCATTTTAGACCTGAGTCGCATTCATGTTCTATAACAAATGGTCAGTGTTTTCATTATTAGATTGGCATTTTCTTTGAAACAGTTTTATGGTAAAATCCACAGTGCATTATACGAACCAAGTAATGTCTCGTTCTTTTCTGCTGGCCCTGCTTTTTTGTTTTTACATTCAAAGATTTTTCTTTTAAAATATGATAAACAACAAAACTCTCTTTTTCATGGGGTTGGCTGCTCATACATCAACTTTGCTTTGCGGATAAAGACTAATTAAAAACATTTGGTTTCTCTTGTTAAACTGTGTAGTTAGTGATGTTCCGTGTCTTGTTTAAACATGTTAAGTAGCCTATATATAGCCGAAACCTATCAATTTATAAAAACACACAAAAGAAAATCCAAAGTCAGATTCGTTTTTTTGCTCTCTTTCTTGAAACTTTAACAAGTAAATCAAGTAAATGGATTCCTGTCCTTGTCATTTTGGCATCTCATCCAAATGAAGGGTACACAATTCAATTCAAAGCATAAAGCCAAGATCTTGAGGTTGATTGAAGCATCAAGATTAATTTAACACCCATTCTTGATAAAGCCAATTCACAATCACAGACCAAACGTAAGGATCATCCACTAACATCTCGACGTATCAACCACGAATTGGAGCTGATACGCTGATGTTGCATTCTGTTACAGGAAACTAATGACAAAGACTTATAACCACACCATGATATTTGAATTTTCCTCATCTAATTACTGAAAAAATAAACACTATTTTCTATTGATTGATCTGGGAAAACTTGTCTGTACCCCAATTATATACTTTATGGATGATGATGCGTAGTAATAAACAACTTGACACATAAAAGATCAAACTTTAGGGGTATAGTTTTCAATGTATGGAGGTTCTTGATTTCATGGGGACAAAATTCCATGGTCCATTATTGTACAGTGGTCCTACAGTCCCAACCATTTTTCTGTGAATTATGTGTACTGTTTTTGGACAGAAGAACACATCATGCAATCACCCAGTATTATTTTCCTTCGTTGTTTGGTCCAATCTGAAATCTCTCTCTCTCTCTTCTCTACTTTCCTTTTTCTTTTGAAAAATCGTTTTCAGCATTTCCAAAACCACAATCTTATTCAGTGATCAATAAATAATCAAGTACATTTGAGCAGAAAGAAGTATTTGCATTCCTTTCTCTGTATAGCTATTAGATCTTACTTTAATGCATCTTCTATATTGGCTCTAATCACACCAACTAATTCCATGATTATGTTATAATTAATGTTGCTTTGTGGTCATTACTTGGTGTTTGATTAAAAGAGTAAAGATGTCATCTTCAGCCTGAAGCTCTTCCATGCATGTCTGTTTTTTTTTTTTTTTTTACTGTTAGTCTCATTGCTGTTTTCAAAAAGTAAATCATAGACATTGTACAAAACTTTTGATTTCTCCATCTTTCTTTTGTTTTCTTTTGATACCCATATCTTTTTTTTATTGTTTTCTCGATACTACCCACATCAGCATTCAGCACTTTAGTTACCTTTTCCCAACAAAAAATCTTTTTATTCCATTGACATAGTCCAATCTGATTTCCCTAATAACTATCTAAACGAAAAAAGAAGATGACTTTCATGTACACTCTAACATTTAAACTAACTTATGTCTACATATTGTACATATGCTTTATATAAACCTATTCCATCTTGGATTTGATATCTGCCCACTAACCCCAACCAAACTACATAAATGATTTGGGTAGTTGGCTTTCTTTCTCTTCTTTTAAAATTTAATTTCTTTTTTTTTTAACTTTGGGTGCCTAATATAGACAAGAAATAACTATTACAAACACTTTCCTAGACACTTTTCTCTGTTCGATAGAGATAAAGGAGTATCTATGAACAGTTAATACTTGTGGGGATATCAGAGTGAAAGCAATGATTTCGCCATATTCTATAGGTATTCAGATGGGTCTATAACCACATTACCATCTCTCTTCTTGCATCATCACAATCAAGTTCCAAGTTATGTTATGATGTATAGTAACATTATAAAATCTGACATCAGTTCTGCACATAAACCTAATTAGAGGAACATATGTGCAGGTCTATTGTGATCATAATCATGATCGTATTTGTTTTTAGAAATGAAAGAAAAATAAAGGAGAGTATAAAAAGGCAAACTCTTTGAGGTCTATATCTAATTCACATGAGCTTTGTAGTGTTGTGTTTCAGTGGGATAAGACTGATTGTTAACACTATGTATACTTTTTTTTCTTTTTATAATTCTCTTTAAATTATTCATCTTTTGAAATTGGATGGTACTAATGATGAGAAATAAACAAATGTCCTGTGGCTTTTTCTGCAGTGATTTCAGAAGACTCCACACCAAATCCACTCAAATGTAAAGAGGAAGAAAAATAAAGAGAGAAATGGCATTTTTATTTTGCATTGGTAAATAGTAGGTCGCTTATATTCCCACGTAAAAGGAAAAACAAATTGCTCTTGGTACTTTTTTTGGTATCGTTTTAAATTTATCCCTTTGTTCCAAATCCTTTATCTCTTCTTCAGATTTAGAACTTGACAAAGAATAAATCATATGTTAGATGATAATTGCATATCGTTTGTCAATGTAAACTTTTTAAAAAAGTGATGGATAATGTAGTGATCTATTTAATCGATGTCAACAACAAAATATAAAAGTCATTGGCTTAAGGGATTGGTTTGGGGGTAATCAACACTTTGAAATTTGAATTTTCTTATTCAATTGTGGGATTGTGATTCCGATTCACATTATTGACAGGATCGTTTAAGTTCAAAAGAGGTGACAAATGTTTTTGTTCCCATTTGAGCTTATTTGTTCATAGTTATGTAGTCAAATCAAATTGATGGCTTAGGGGTGAAAAATGATAAGTGGGACCTATTTTCCAACAATAAGATACAATTGCTCTAATTAAATTATTAACTTTAAATATATTTCTCTTAGGACATAGAACAAAAAAGGCAAAAGCTACCAAAATCAATAGGGTAGTGAGGTTGGACCATTTCATGAGTGCCCCCTTTCACAAGGTAATCTATAAAGTTTTGGTGTTCCCCATCATGACCCCTCTTCACATCTATATCTCTACTTTTAATTATTCCCAAAGACATTTTGATGTAATCTATAATCTTTTTTTTTAATATCATAACGTGTACATGCCACTATGTACATATATGTGGGAATAAAATCGTTTAGTTTAGTGGTTGTTGCACTTCTAAAGATGATGTTTGATTTGATCATGTATTTTGGTTATTTCACTATCTAATAGTTATATGCATTATTATACTCACATGATATTATATGGTTTCTTCGGTTTGTTCGCGTATCTTCCTTTTTTTCAACAAGGAGTTAGCTTATAAACTACCATCTGGTTTCTTTTTTTTCAACTCCGAAGCTGACCTTTCTTATATACATAATACATGCATCAAAATTAGATTGCCATTTGAGCTGAAACAGAATAAAATGATTGTTTCAACTTGTTTTTTTTTATCATTCAACCATCTATTGTTTGTAAAAATAGATGGAGAGATTGAGAGGTTAGTCGATTATAGTGAATCGAATAGTATTTTTTTATAAACAGTTTACGCAGCTCCAAAAACTAGTACTATAGTAATGGTAGCCTGAAATTTAAATATAAAATCAAAATTCTTGAAAAAGAAAGAGAGAAACCCCACCAATGCTGAAATATTGGGAAAAAAAATGGTGTAAATAAAAAATAATATCTAAAATAAGAAGTGGACAAGTTGCATGACACAAACCCTAACACCACAACATTTGCATATCCCATCACTTTACACCAAGTCTACCACTTTTGCTTCGTTTGTTTCGCTTATATACAAATAATAAAAATTAAAAAATAAAGCATAACCGTAGGGAAATGGTCCTTAGATTCTTCAAAAGTTTCCAAATAATAAATTATTTTAAACAAACATCAATCGGTCAAGTGTCACTCTTATTTTTTTGGTTTTCTGTAGATTTGTTTTTGCTTGATTTGTTGCTTAGTGTGTACGTGACGTTTGGTTCCTTCCCTTCACATACATACTCTTATCTCCATTTTCAAAATTACAATTTAAAAGAAAAAAAACTCTTTAGAAGTTGGACAAAGTTAGGAGATTATTACACCAACTTTGCCATAACATGTCACTTGGTTAGTAGGAATTCGTTTGGGGGAAGTTGCGACTGTGTGCTTTCATGTTCGACTCTCTACAGCTGGACCGGCATGGTTTATGTCTTATCGAAAAATTGTTATGGACCAACAAACATTATGGAGCCAGAGCTCCAAATAATCAAAACTCTACCCCAAAAACATTTCAAGTTAACATAAATAACTAAAATATGTCATATACCTTTGATAAATGGATTATATTATAGTATTTCACATTGAACACCTCGCATATTTGGACCTCGATAATCTACTAGATTTCTATTCCTAAGCATGCATCAAATACAAGATCACATGTTAGTGTATATGTAAACATTACAATATCGATAGTGCAGGAATTTAACCAAACTTAATTAGTTAAAGATTTTATCTACTTTCGGCATTAGTTCTGTCTAACATAATGTGTTCTTTTTAATATGATACTATAACTGACTGATTAAATTAAGCAGATAAATATTGAACGTTTCAAAAAGTCATGATTTAGAATATCGAACCTCCATTGGTTGATCCGCCTGTGAAGGCACAAAGATGTCTACTTCTAAATCTAACAATATACAAATCAGAAATCCACTTAGAATGGTATGATTAACATAATAAACCAATATTATAGGTTTTGATTTCCTCTAGACAAAAAAGAAGATAAATTGGCTTTTGGAACTTTTTATTCGTGCGACGAGTGTATCCTCTTTAATGTTGGCATGTTCTCTTCACATCGCTTTCTCGTGTCCTCTTCCTTTTTATTTTTCTTAATATCTAAACCTTCTTTAAAATAAAAAATTGAATGGATTCATATTTGTCGACAATATTCAACAGATAAATCATGCATAAACATCTGTTAAAGTAACGTTGAAATCTTAATTATACGATTTGATTAAAAATGATTAAAGTCTTGTCTTACCACTGGAATATTGAATTATACATGCATAGAACCGGCTACTAGCTAGACTTTTTTTTTTATTGTCAACGAAACTATTACAAAACTTAATTCAAACAGGCATATACTTTTATCAAAAAACAGGCATATATATGATATATTTTAAACCACAGCATTGCTTCTTTTTGTTGGAGCCTAGCATCATGTTTTGTTTATTTTGTAAATATAATTTTCTCAATATTAAATCTCGGATTCCCGTAGTTAATTTTCTCAATATTACTTTCGATAGATTAATCGAAAGAAAAACAAACAATTTGATAAAAAAAAAAAAAAAAATGGCAAAAAAATAAAAAGAGAGAGAGAAAGTGTCAGGAGGAGTACGCAGGACGAACAACAGCGACATTTGCGCGCGTCCGACGTGTCAGCTTTTTACCTCTTCCACTGTCTCTTTCCTCTTCTTCCCTATCTCACGCGCCTTTGCCGGCATTGTTGTCCACGCTCAGCAGTACTGTTCTTGGGTCCCACACCGGCACCAATTATCGTATTTTGTTACTTTATTTTTTCCTGTAGTTTTGGGATTATTGTTTTTCGAGATAATAATATTCTTGCACTACTTCTTAATCAAACAAGTGTTTACAAGAATCGATATACTAAAATAATTTGTCTGCTTCGGTATAACTTTGTTTAGATATTTTTCAGGCAAATTAAAAGATAAGTCAACAATATCTTAATATATTTTTGCAAAATTAAATTTCTTTGACTATGTATTTTCTTTTCAAAATCAAATATTAAAATCCTAAACAGGATATGTTCTAGTTTCAGAAAGAGAAATATAAGGAACAAAAAATATCAAAAATTGGATTTTTCTCTTTCTTTGTAGTGAAGGTTTCCTTTCATGATTTTGATTTCTTAGCTAAAAAAATATATATCCAGCTAATTTTCCTTACAATTTTTGAATAAAGAAAATATAAAAACCTTCCATTAACAAAAAAGAAAAGAGAGAATAGTTTCCATAAACGGGGTCAAGGTGACATGTTGACATGAACGCTAGCGTTTTTAGGAGATCTACAGATGGGACACGTGTGCACACTGGACCCACAGACTCCACACAAGCACAAGTGTCTGCACGGTAAGAGCAACACACACGATTCCTCCTCCCCACAGTTTCTGCACATCCTACCTTTCCCCGCCTTATCATGCGCCTCCGTCGCTGCTACACTGCGCCTAACCGTTTCTTCACGAGTGCTGCTCCCGCAGCAAGACTGCGCATCGTCTTCGTCGCTCCCGTTCACGTTATCCAATCCTGCGCCCTGGACGTCCTTAACCTGCGCCAGGACCTGCTCGAGGTTGGTGCGGAGGTTGTTGGCGGTTGCCTCGTTGGTCTGAGCGAGATCCCGCCAGATTTGGTTCTCGACTGCGAGTGACTTCACTCGCTCCTCGAGCGCGTGGTTGATCTTCCCGATTCTCTCTCTTTCTTCTTCTTTGACTCGAAGCCTTTTCACCAGTCCATGCTCTATCGCCTCCATTATCGTCCTCGCTTGCCTCTTCCTCTTTTCTTGTATCTCGAATTTCACTCTCTCCATCTACAAACCAAAACAGAACAATGAGTCACATTGCTTATACACTACAATACTCTGCCATTGATGCAAATTTGTGAAAAACTTACATGAAGGGAGACGAATCGGTCGATATCGTGCTGTTGCTGATTGATGTGAGAGGAGATATCGATGTCTTGGCCGAGAAACGAGAACGGAGCAGTACTAGTAACGCATGATGATCTTGGGTTCTGATGAAAAAGTTGAGGTTGATGATGATGATAGTTCGATCTGGAGTCTCTGGAGCGTTTTCTCGGGAAGAAACTATCACTGTTGACATTAGCGCCGTCGGGGTAGTATGTGAATGAATCGGCGGTGGTCGGAATAGTATCAGCGGTGGTGGCGCCGCCGTACATGTTAAGATGATGCGTATCGTCGAAAGGTGAAACGACGCCGTATCCGTATCCGGTTTGGTTGTTCGTGCAGAAACCGCCACTAGTTGGTTCCATGGTGGTGTTGTTGTTGTTGTTGTTCATCATTAACTCTCTGCAAAGAGCAAAAACAGTAGAATATAAAGAAAATCAGTTGAGAATCATCGATACACACAAAAGAAACGGAGAAAGATGAGATCGCAAAGAAAGCATTGTTGCGAACCTGTTAGAGAAGAGGAGATGGTGAGCATCAACGGCCATGGAAGGAGAGGTTTTAGAGAAAGAGAGAGAGATGGTGAAGAAGGGGATGAAGAAGATGACGAGAAGATGGAGAGGAGAGGAAGTTTAAAAGAGATAGAAAATTAGAAATGCATGCGTTTCGGTTTTTTGTTTGCTGCTTTGATGTGCGTGAAGAAGAGAGCCTTCGCTTTTTATTTATTTATTTAATTTTTCGAAAGACCAAATCGAAACGAACCTCAACCAAATGGTTGTTTCCTATTTATACACATGGACGCGACGAACGTGAAGAGAAAATAAAGGAGAGAGAGAAAAAGCCAGGTTTTAGGAAACTAAAAAAAATCAATTAATTTGTTCAAAGGTAAATCTAAATCTATTATAAACATACTGAATTTAATTAACCTACCATTTTCCTAGGGTTTGATAATATGTTGATTTGACTGTGTATATATTTTTGGTAATATTTTTCCATAAATTTAACACGTATTCTGAGATTGAATATGTATAAATTCACTTTTTTGGTATTTAGTTACCCAATGTTTCTGATTGAGTTGAATCTTGTTAACTGTTATTCTTATTCAACGCAGATTTTTATCCTTATTCAATTCAAATTTTGTGTATCGGTTATAGGGATAAATTGAAACACACATATTTTCGGTTATGGTAATTTTTAAAGTGGTGACTTGTAGCGAAATCGGTGGAAACTTATTGAGCAAATCGTTTCTTTAGAAAAGAAAAAAAAATCGTTTCTTATTTTGTTTTGGTCATAGTATTATTAGGAGTAACGCTCGGATTCGGTTTTGTTTTTTAACTTCATCACCGTACCGAATAAATAGAGTTGATTAGTTTGGACCGTGAATTTAGCGGCATTACAAGGGTATTTTAGGACATTCGCTACCCTAAAAGAAATGGGAAATATTTTTTTAGGAAATTACAAGCAATGGTTATGTGACACGTATAAAAAGGGACGAAGGTGTATGCGTATTGCCAGATAAGCATTCCAGCGTGGCGAACATTTTAACGTGGGGCCCATAATTTGTCTTTTGTACGGTCCGTTAAAAATGGGTAAAATCTTACTTTTTTCCGTTTTTGTAATATTTCTATTTCGTACGAGTTTGGCGCCATGTGATGCCACGTGGTGAAACATCCTGGCTATTTCTGTTTGACCCACTCTTTGACCTTTTCTTTTTCCTTGGCATGAAAAAAACAGAAAAATAATATGAGTTTATATCTTTAATTAATTTTCTTATTAAAATTTAATAAAAACTATTTTGTCACAATTATTATAAAAAACTATTTCATTTATTTCACTATTAAATAAATAATTTCCATTGGCAAATTATTGTATACTGTTATTTAAAAGTAAAATGTATCTATTATAAGTAAATGGTACTCCAGTAAATTACAAACAGTGAGATAACATGAAAACTAAAGCTAGTGTGTATTAATGTCTTTTTTATACATGTGCTTTTGTTTGATTTATAAAGTTTTAACAACAATAATAAACTAATCTATCCTGAATTCCTGATGTATAAAACACAGAGAACCCAAGAGGTGAAGAAAGAGAGATGGAGACATATTCTTATGAAGATGATATCAAATAGAAAGTAACGCACAAGAATTAATTCCTACTTTGTTTTATGTCTCCTCTTTTCTTCTTCTTTCTTTACATTTCTGTGTGCTTTGTTAAATTTTCTTTCCCACGCATTAAAAGTAAAAACGATATGCCTTTGTCTTTTAGAAGCTTTCAAAATTCGTCCATCTTAATTTGTTTGACAAAGGCCAATTTTCAAAAAGTAGATTTTGTAAAGTATAAGAGTGGCCATGTTGCTCACCTAAATACGTGTTGCTTCTTTCTAATATCAATATTGATCTTTATTCGAATTTGTTAAATATATTATGAGACGACCAAGCGAATAAACGAGTGTATTAGACATTGGCTAATGGGTGTCTGATTCAGTTAATCAAATGCAATATATATAAAATATGAAATATTTTTAATAACAAAAACAGCAAAACATGAAATCTTGAATTGTGGTTTCCTCTTTGATTGGAGAGCAAGTGACATTGCACCTTGACTTTGTTGTATGGTATCCTTTCTTTTCTCTTTAAACAACGTTGATTCTCACTTTTCTTTCTTTTTCATCTGCTTATTTGATTCAACTTAAAGTTGGTGCTGGTGATATTCATATGATATCAACATTTTCAAAAAATATACAAAAATCATAACCATTGTGAGAATCTTAAAGGGTGCCTTACCTAGAAACTTCATCTTTCCTTAAAGTCACCACTATAATTTAATTTGTGCTAAAGAAAGAATTCATGCTTTTGTGAACTATATATTCATATATATATTTCGGTTCATATGCATATAATTGTTCGTGTATCAAAGTTTTGATAATTGTGACTTTAATTATACTTTTGTTCCAACATCATATCACACACCTAGATCTTACAACAATTCAAAAGAAGGCTCCAATGGATGTGAGAAGCTTGTCATTAAAGACATGTGTTTCAATTAATTGTTGGGGCTTACTTGTGCATACATATCACATGTACTATGGTCCATTCACGAGAAGCTCGTGACCTAACATATTACATCATATTAATCTTTTGGATATTTCATCAAATGCACCAAGACATCTTTGGATCTACCACCTTCATCGGAAGGTAAAAGGGTGAATTGAATACCATATAGATTGGTGGATCTCACTTTCACATTTATCGGGAACAAGAATTCTGATCGAAAGTCTTCACAGAATTTTCTTGTATTCGTTAACTATCGATGAAGTCTTTCTTGACCATATTACATTCGATTTTCATTGGATAAACACATTGTACTGATGCGATAATATCTTCCTCAAAATTCCAAGAAGTACCCATTCAATTACTCATGAATTAAATAGGATACTAATTATCGGATTTTATAAGAAACATAACTACATTGGGAAGATGGATGCATCAGATGAAAAAGAGTTAGGTTTGAGAGGACCCGATTTAATTAAAGATGTGTTGGGCCATCACTCTTTCTTGCTCCTCAAAAAATACCTTACTTAGCCGTATCATCGAAACTTAACTTTCATTGTAGCTAAAAATTTCAAAGATCTTTGTGTATTTTATTAATTCTAAAAAATCGTTGCCCCATTAGGAGACAAGAGAAGAGGTTCTGCAAAAGACTTTAACTTGGTGTCATGTGTGGTTGTGCTTATGGACAGTTTGTGGTCCCTTTGTTATTTTAAATATAAAAATAAATAAATGAAAATAACAAAAGAAGGAACCAATGTGTAGATTGCATGATTCCCACTACTGCTTTCAATCTCATCTTCTGCTAAAATGCATTATATATGATCCCACCACCACTTTTAATTCATTCAGACAAAACACGTAATAAATATTAAATATTATTTTTATTGGAAATGTATATGAATACGAGGAGAGCTATTCATCGAAATGAAATTATAAATGTACTGACGACTTGTTACCATCACAGATCATGAACCACATTAACTCCAAGCAAAAAGACAAAGATGGTTGTTGTTGTCAGTCAGATCACTGATTCACTTTCACCAGATCAAGAAAATTGGTTAATAAGTTTGAATCAAATAAAGTAAAAAGAGAGAGAGATTAGACAAGAGGTTATGTGTTGTTATTAAAAAAGAAAGCTTACACAATTCCATCACTACATGAGAGCCTACTACTACTTCTTCAAAGTCCCTACCTCGACGAGACTATCAGTCTCTTTCGTACGATCTAGACGCGTAAATGAGAGAACATGATTGATACCTGCAATGTCTACTTTTATCACCCCCCAAAACTTTCTTTATGGAGATTCAAGAAATGCTACTTTTAAAGTTTTGCGATTGCGTGGTGACGGTGAGCTACTAGCCTACTACTGCTCATCCTCCTTCCTCTCAAAGGCCTACGTTTTATAGTGCATTTCAGTATTAGCGAGTGATAAAATAAAGTTGTGGTTTCTATTTAGCTAAGGATCAAGCAAACATCTCATGACAACAGTTGCATAAAGATGTCTAGTCAAAAGACAAGGCCTAACATAAAAGCATAGCAAAGGAATGGGATAAACAACTCCTATGCTTCCTAGAGGCCCATGTGTTCTCACAGTAAACTAGCTTGAACACCAAAAATAATTTTGAGAATAAAGTCTTACCTCTTAGGTAGGACTGCGGCTCTTTGATGTCATCCTAGGAGCCTGTAAGATTGCACACGTCAACACATTACTCAACAAGGCATCTTTTGTTTTGTTTAACTGAAAATGAATCTGCAACAAGCCATACCTTATGGAACTAGAGTAAGAAGATGACCTTTTACGTCTTCCAGCTTGACCTCTTCCTCTGCTTAGAAGCAAAGAGGAGATTACAGTGTGTACTATAACAGAGTGGACAAACACTACTCTGTAAGGAGCTACGATAACAGACATAGTCTACATTTCTTGGCAATTCGATACACAAAGCCATTTAGTCATATTTGGCTAACGTTTATTGAAACTGGCATGACATGCGTTTCTATCTCAGAACTAGACAAAACAGGATCTCGGACCATACTCACGAGCTACGAGTCTTATATGTACTCTAGTTAGTAGCTGTGCAACTACAACATATATCAAAGCTAACACCTACAATTTTTTTTCAGAAAGATTTAAGCATACCTGCGTGGTGATATCGACCTTGAACGAGAAGAGAATGCCTAAAAATTGGTGATCTATCGCAAGCTCCACATCTATAATGTCACCAAAGTTTCCTTCACATTAAGGAGAACAAGCCACTCGCTATGAAAATCAAAGTTAAACCACATAAAGGATGAGACTTTATCTGGTTCATTAATACAACATGTCCTAACATACGGATCATTTCATTAGAAAACATCCGTGATCAATCAAAATGCAGTGACGATCCATCCACAATTGCATATAACAAGCAAAATACTATCAAATTCACAACTGATGTTGAATTAACGACCTTCATTCACATTCCTGCTCAATGATTTAGAAAAGCTGAAGCTTTCATGGAGCCAAAAAAGCAAAATGAAGCTGATTAAGAAACCATCTTATGCAAATGCACTAAGTAGAAAAGAAACAGTCCATTTGGTGCTTTAATTCGACAAAAGTAACATCATTTCAGATGGATAAAAAGCGCTTTTGACATTTCGAGCTTTTGATTTGACCAAAAAGATAAACGTATACAATATAAATCCACTAAGCAAAAGGAGTCAAATTACCAAATTGAATCATCAATCACTTGTTAGCCGAAACAAAATGGAACCTTTTCCGATGAGAAGAAGACGACGCCGATCCTGAGCGGGTATGAGAGCGCCAAAGAGACCTCGAAGGATTCGAACCTGAGCGAGACCTGAAAATGGAGCGAGACCATGATCCCGAACCCGAAGCAGAGGATGAAGGCGGCGAGCGACGGCCACGATTTGATTATAGCGCGCAACACAGCCCTAACGGTTAACTGGATTTACACACGCACACACAAAACTCCGCACGTGCCACGTAAGAAGTAAGTGGGTAACCATAAAACTTAATATAAATTGTAAATCAACAATAAAATTTTACAATATATTTGAACATTACCAGAGTTAATTTTAAGATTTTTGATTGGATAATCTATAGTTTATTTCAATTTTTTCTCTTAACAATATAAATAATTTAGATCGAGGGAATGATTAATAATTTTTTTTTTATTTTAATTGGAAAGGCAATAATTTTGGATCAATCATAAAAAAAATTATTAGGCATCGCTATATCTTCTCATCTAGGGTTCTGGTGCTGCTTTTTCTTCTCCTCCGTATCTGTTTCGTTTCTTTGCTTCCGTCACGGAGAGCCGATATGTATTGTTTCTAACAAGGAAGCTTGTTACTCTCTGATTGGATTCGATCGTGAATCGTTATCCATTTCTAAAGCGTTTAGGGATTTCGATTTCTTAGATTTTGATATTTAGGTCGGGTATCGCTCAGGGATCGATTTTCTCAGGGGAAAAAACTTGTTTTACAATCTGATTCACCTCGGATTTTCAGTTTGAGAGGAGTTAATTAGGGTTTGTAGGCTGATTGGGCTCTTTAGTTGCTTGGGATTTGGAAACGGTAGCGATTATGGACCCCTTTGGGATGGGGACTAGTATAAATCATACTCCCGGAACCCAGGATCTCAATAAAGTTGGAGATAATCCTACAGGTTTGTGTTTTTCTCTTTCCCGATTTCGTTTTTTGTTTCTTCTCTATTGAAATTCGGTTTATTGTTCTCCAGATGTTTTTGTAACTTGAATCTGGATCTAGTTTGATTTAGTTCTTCAACTATGAATGACTAAATCAGACTTGAATTTTGCTTTAGACCTCACTCGAGAATAATTTTCCTTTATACTCGCACGAAGACGAAGAAGTTTAGGGGAGATATAGTTGCTATTTCAAGTGTGAACAATCTCCAGTGTACTTGCATCGAATTTTGTAGTTAGGGCTTGTCTAATTGAAGATTCGTTGGTGCAGGTAATTCGGTGTTTGACGCATCTCAGTATGCCTTTTTTGGGAACGATGTTGTGGAGGAGGTTGAGCTTGGTGGATTGGAAGAGGAAGATGAGATATTGTCTTTCACTGGAATTGGGGAAGACTTTTCATTTGATAAGGAAGAGGTTAGTCTCACCCTAGCATCTCCTCTTTGTATGGAACTAGATTATGGAAGAGAAGAAGCTTTTCTTTGGTTCATGTAGTAGAGTGACTTACAATTCCTCCCCAATATTTGCAGGCTGAAGTTTCTAGACCTCTGCCTGACGTTGATGATCTTGCTAGTACTTTTTCAAAGGTTAGCTAGCTTTAATACGCTTACACATTCATCTTACACTTCTGTTTTCGATTCCATTTGATTTCTCTGAATAGTAAGAGTGCTTCGAAGAAGTTTGTAACCTGAGGATTTTGTTTATATGCTGTAACAGTTGAATAGAGATCCTGATGTATATAGAAACACCGGACCAATCGCTGGTAGACGATCAAGACAGAGTGAGTTTCATATCTGAACTAATGGTGTCTCCAAACCATTGTGAAATAATACAATAACAGATTTCTTAGGCATTCACAGTGATTTGGTAGATCACGTAGTTTCTGTAAAACACTATATTCATAGCTTTGCTTAGTTATATACATGTACTGGATTTTGGTGATTACAGTTATCGTATATCAAACCTGTGTCTTTCTCTTATTTTTACTTTGAACTTAATGATTTTGAGTGAGCCGTTTTATTAATTCCATTCTCCTTATTAATATGTGAGAACGGACTGTCCTTCTAGTTTCTACAATGTAAATGCATTTCATGGCTCTCCATCTATCTTAAGCTCAAGGTTTTAGTCTGTGGTTTAACAGTTCTCAATGTGTTTTTTCCTCAGATTCTTTAGTGCCCGAATGGGCTCATGGAGAGGAGTTGCCAGATTGGTATGGCCAGCAGCCGATATTGGACTCTAACTCCATCAAAGATGACAAGGCGTGGCCGGCACAGCCTTTTTCGGCTCTAGACCCTAACAGAACAACACCGTATCCCGAACCACTACATCAGCTGCAGCAAAACCACAATCAACAACAGTTTCCCAGTGAACCAATTCTTGTCCCGAAGTCACCTTTTGTTTCATACCCTCCTCCAGGCAGCATATCACCAGATCAGCGTCTAGGACACCCAAATATACCATATCATTCTGCTGGGCCTCAAATGGGATCGCCAAACTTTTCTCAGTTTCCACCTTTGCAGCCCCAGTTGCCTGGCATGCATCATGGATCTCCCCAGCGCACTGTAAACATGCCTCAGTTTCGTCCTGCTCTTCCTCTGAACAACCGCCCTCCGGCTCAATGGATGAATCGTCAAAATATGCATCCTGGTGATAGTTCCGGGATCATGAATAACGCGATGCTACAACAGCCGCCTCATCAGAACAGTTTGATGCCCCCTCAGATGCAGGGATCTCAGAATAATAGGTTACAACATCCAATGCAGCCTCCTCCTGGGCCTATGCCAGGAATGCAGCCTCAGTTATACAATCCCCATCTCCCTCGATCCTCATCCTCTGGAACTTATGATGGAATGCTTGGGTTTGTTGAATCAAGACCAGGATCGGCTCAAGGCAACAGACCGAACATGCGTTTTAACCAGCAAGGCTTTGATGGTGGCATTCAGAGGAGACATAGTGGGTGGCCTCCGTTCCGGTCTAAGTATATGTCAGCCGACGAGATAGAGAATATACTGAGAATGCAGCTTGCCGCTACACACAGCAATGATCCTTACGTCGATGATTACTACCACCAGGCCTGTCTTGCTAAGAAATCTGCAGGCGCTAAACTGAAACATCATTTCTGCCCAAACCATTTGAGGGACCTCCATCCACGTGCACGAACAAACAGTGAGCCCCATGCTTATCTTCAGGTTGAGGCTCTTGGCAGAGTTCCTTTCTCTTCGATCCGCAGGCCTCGTCCCCTGCTTGAAATGGACCCTCCAAATTCAGCTAAATCTGGTAACCAGGAGCAGAGAGCGACTGATAAGCCCCTTGATCAAGAACCTATGCTTGCAGCTAGAGTGTACATTGAGGATGGTCTTAATCTCCTCCTTGATATTGATGATATAGATCGTTTCTTGGAGTTTAACCAGCTTCAGGACGGAGGAAACCAGTTGAAACAAAGACGGCAAGCTGTGTTGGAGAGCCTCGCGGTGTCACTTCAGCTCGTTGATCCCCTTGCCAAGAACGGTCAAAGCCGGTCTCAGGATGATTTTCTCTTTCTAAGGATTATCTCTCTTCCAAAGGGACGGAAGCTACTTATAAGGTATCTACAGCTAATTTTCCCCAGCAGTGACCTAATGCGGATAGTTTGCATGGCTATTTTCCGTCATTTAAGGTCTCTGTTCGGAGTCCTCTCACCCGATTCCGATATCGCCAAAACGACGAACAAGCTTGCAAATGTTGTAAACTTATGCATCCACAACATGGATCTAGGACCGATCAGCGCATGTCTAGCAGCCGTTTCTTGCTCCTCCGAGCAGCCACCGCTCCGTCCTTTAGGCAGTCCTGTTGGAGACGGAGCTTCCACGGTGCTGAAATCAACGCTGGACAGAGCTTCCGAGCTGCTCAGGGCTAATAACTTCAACAACGCAGGCATGGCTCTGTGGCGCGCCTCCTTTAATGAGTTCTTTAACCTTCTGATGAAGTACTGCGTGAGCAAGTACGACAGCATCATGCAGAATCTGAACTCGCAAGTGCCACCACAGTTTGCTACCGAGATATCTGACGCAGCTGCGCAAGCCATTGTCCGCGAAATGCCTATTGAGCTTCTACGTTCGAGTTTCCCACACATTGATGATCAGCAGAAGAGAATACTAATGGAGTTCTTGAAACGATCCATGCTCGGAAGCCAGAAAACCGAGCCGGTCTTAAGTTGATTAGTATCAAAAGATTGAAGCAGTATAGAATCAAGAAACTGTATCGCCATGTCAGAAACCGCAAGACAAGAAAGGTAGAGCGCTTCAAACCTTTTTATATATTTTGCATCAGAGATAGAGAGAGGATTCTACATTGAAATGGACAAGACTGTTTTTGCGTCTTCTAAAGAAAAAAGCAGCGGAGAAGAAGTTTGGTCTCTGTACAGAGAAAAAGTCTTTAGCTTTGCAGAACTTTGTAGCCAGCCAATGGAGTGAGAGTTTTCAGCCATTTGTGTGATTCTTCTGTCTTCTGTTTAGTTTGATCTCATTTTGTTTTGCAAACCTTTTTCTTCTTTGTTTTTGATAATATTTTCTTCCCTTTTCCTTACCAACAAACATTTGCGAGTTATGCTTTGGTAATGAATTCTATTTGTTCTTCGCTTAAAATGTTTAAGTCGAGAGTGTGGTGTCTACGCTCCAGTTTTGGCGCGTGGATAACAGAGGCGGAGTAAAAGAGGAAACATATCGAATCTAAGAACACAAGGAAGAAGAAATGATTCGGCCACAGTTTCGATTTCAGATTTTGAGTGGAAAGTACATAATGATCCTTTTCTTCTCTGTGTTATGCGTAAAAACCCAAACTTTTCATTTCATCTCTCTTTCCCGTTTTCTGATTGCTGTTCGATTGTAGGCCATGTCGTCTCTACTGAACTCAGTCTTATCCATGGCGGCGAATCCATCTCCGGAGCCGCCGAGAAAACAACCCCTAGGTTTCGTTTCACACATCCCGACTAGTTTCCTCCACTTCTCCTCCGTCAATAAAGGTGTCGCGAGGGTTTTAGCTCCGACCCAGATAACGTTATCCCCTAAAGACTCCGCCTTTACCATCACCGGATCCAGCTGGAAACCCGATTACGGTTCCTCGTTTCCCGATGACCCGAGAAGCGATGAGCCGAATTTGAGCGAGAATTTCTCTCATCTCGAAGGATTAGTCACAAAAGGGCAGAAACCCAATGTAGCTCACTCCACGCAGCTCCTCTACGATCTCTGCAAAGCCAACAGATTGAAGAAAGCGATTCGTGTGATTGAGCTAATGGTCACCTCCGGGATTATCCCCGACGCGTCTGCCTACACTTATCTTGTCAATCAGCTTTGCAAGAGAGGCAACGTTGGCTACGCGATGCAGCTCGTTGAGAAGATGGAAGATCATGGCTTTCCTTCAAACACCGTTACTTACAACGCCTTGGTTCGTGGTCTATGCATGCTTGGTACTTTAAACCAGAGCTTGCAGTTTGTTGAGAGGCTGATGCAGAGAGGTTTAGCTCCAAACGCTTACACTTACTCGTTCTTGCTTGAAGCTGCTTATAAAGAGCGTGGCGCCGACGAGGCTGTGAAGCTCTTAGATGTGATCATTGCGAAAGGCGGCGAGCCGAATTTGGTTAGTTATAATGTGTTGCTGACTGGTTTCTGTAAAGAAGGAAGAACGGATGATGCGATGAAGCTGTTTAGGGAGTTGCCTGGGAAAGGGTTTAAGCCTAATGTAGTGAGTTATAACATTCTGTTGAGGTGTTTGTGCTGTGATGGGAGGTGGGAGGAGGCGAATTCGCTTCTGGCGGAGATGGACGGTGGAGATCGGTCTCCTTCGGTGGTTACTTACAATATACTGATCAATTCTTTGGCTTTTCATGGGAGAACAGAGCAGGCGATTGAGGTTTTGAATGAGATGAGTAGAGGGAACCATCAGTTTAGAGTCACTGCCACGAGCTTTAACCCTGTGATTGCTCGGCTGTGTAGAGAAGGGAAAGTTGATCTTGTCGTGAAGTGTCTAGACGAGATGATATACAGGCGGTGTAAACCGAACGAAGGAACGTACAGCGCGATTGGGGCTTTGTGTGAGCATGAGGACAAGGTGCAGGAAGCGTTTTACATCATACAGAGCTTGAGCAACAAGCAGAGATGTTGCACGCATGATTTTTACAAGAGCGTGATCACGAGCTTGTGCAGGAAAGGCAACACCTTTGCGGCGTTTAAGCTTCTTTACGAGATGACTCGGTGCGGGTTTGATCCTGACTCGCATACTTACTCGGCTTTGATCAGAGGGTTGTGTCTCGAAGGGATGTTTAGTGGAGCGATGGAGGTTTTAGAGATACTGGAGGAGAGTGAGTGTTATAGACCGACGGTGGATAACTTTAATGCGATGATTCTTGGGTTTTGCAAGACGAGGAGGACTGATTTGGCGTTGGAGGTGTTTGAGATGATGGTTGAGAGGAGGAGAATGCCGAATGAGACGACGTATGCGATTCTGGTTGAAGGGATTGCTCATGAGGATGAGTTGGAGTTGGCTAGAGAGGTTCTTGAAGAGCTGAGAAGGCGTAATGTTGTTGGACAGAATGCAGTAGATAGGATTGTCATGCAGTTCAATTTAGATTGATGTGTAGAAGAAAGAGATTATTAGACTTTTTATATGTTTGTATCAATTTGACAAAGAGATGATTTTTAGTTTCACGTGAGATTAATAAGATGCAAGAAACACGTTGTTGTGTGTTTTATCTTGACATGCTGAAGATTCAATTGAGCAAGATGTAGAGAAAGAGGGAAAGTCTGGAACTTTGTTTTTGATTAAAATCTTAAAGCAAAAGTCTGAATCTTTTAAGGGAACTAACTGAAATTCTCTCCAATGAATGAACAAAAACTAAGAACAATGTTTCACGAGAGAGATTGAGAGAGAGAGGGAGATGATGCGAGCGACTCAGGTAGGAGGGAGCAAGAAGGCAGTGTTGGTAAGAACATGTCTTCAAGCTTGTTACTTGGATCGCTGTCTCATCTTTCTTCTCTTCCTCTTAAGCCTCCTCATGCGCTTCTTCTTCCACTGCACATAATAAGCAAAAAACACACATCAGAAACCGTTAGTTTTTAACACAAATTATGTTCATATAAGAAGCAGAATTATGATGAAAAATCACAACAAAACATCACAGATGATATGATCAATCAGAGGGTTTGTCAAGATTAGAGAAATGCAAAAATCAATTGTATAATCTGTTTACTACTCGTATTGTAGAATTACGAGGCAGAGAGAATCTATCGCCAAACTATTTTTTCTCCAGAAACCGAAGCTCAATCAAATCGCAGAATCAACAATATAACCAAAACTGAGCGAAACCTGAACATTCTCTTGGTGAAATGAGCTAAATCCTTAAGAGCTAGAAATCACAATCGAATCTACAGTTCGAGCTAGACTAACCAAGGATTCCAGATCTCACTAGATTGATTCGCTACACATCAAATTCCCCACATACGCTAAGATCAAACCCAAATGCATACAAACAAAGCAGATCTACAAAAAGCATAACGAAATGATTCGAGAAAAATCTTACCTTAGCTCTCATCTCTTCTTTTCGCTCTGAATCGTATCGGAGAGAAATGAAGGTTTCGTCAAACAATATATACACACACACTTTTGTAGAAAACCCTAAACCTTAATCGAAAATAGTTTACCTTCTCAGGGGTATTTCCGTCATTCTCAATACAAAACTCTTTTTTCCATTAAAAGAGCTTTAAAACTGAAAAAAATTCTAATTTCAATAACGTCGCCGGGAAATGGAGCAGCTATCGGAACCGAACCTCCGCGACTCAGCTGCTGCGACTAGCTCTTCGTCATCCGCAATCGCAGATGGTGACGCCGTCGGAGGAGGCGGTGGAGAAGCTCTGGCTCGAGGCTTATCAGCGATGCTGAAGTCCGTAATTAACGATTTCGATTCTAAATCCGTTGATACTCTCAATAGCCAAGACCAACTCTCCGGTTCGCTCGATCGCTTAGTCCAAGGTACTCTTCATCTTCATCTGGATTCAAATTCTCCTTTAATCGAATCGCAATCGCCTTTCTCACAATTCTCCGTTTTTGATCATTTCCCGGAAATCAGAAATGTTTAAAAATCAATCTATTTGATCTGATTGAGTTTCGTAGTCCATGAATTTGCCTTTTGGTCTAACTAATTATTCATACTCAGTTACGAATTTGATCTCCAAATTTTCACAAAGTTTGAAAGTTCGTAACACAATTTCCAGATTGATTTGATTCTTAATGTAATTGAAAACAGAGCTTGATCAATTGCTGGAGAACGCTCCGTTGCCGTTCGTAGTGCAACACGCATCGAGAATCAGCAGCGTGAAACAAAGAGTTTCGTCGCTTAATCTGGTGCTTAAATCCATACAAAGGCGTATTGATAACGTTGATCAGATGCTCTCTGCCAACACTACGCAAGGTAAATAATTAAATTAACTTCAAAACTCTTTTGGTTTGTTTGTTCATCAAATTTTCGTCAAGTAGCAAATTATATAACACTTCCACTTATACCACTAATCACAGAGAAAACAGGCTTGGAAGCTACATGATGATGAAGACTAACCACGAGTCTCTCTTTTACTCTATTTCGTCACTCTTTCTCTCCTTTTGCTGCTTTACTTCTTCTAGTTTGGGAGCAGCAGAAGCAAAGAGGTACTTATGTTGTTAATAGGCTTTTATTGGGCTTTTTTATTTAATGGGCTCGTTTTTCTAGCTTTGAATACCCAATTATCATTTTGTTTTACAATGACTAAAAAGAACAAATTATTTGTTATCTTGTTTTCACAAGTGCTAATTCGATGAACGAAAGTCCATAAATCAATCATGTAAAACAGAATTTGAGAAGTGAATATGTCGGCTCGTGTTTATTTTATGGGTTTGTATACATTCTTTTTTCGATTTTGTTGGGTAAAGGCGAAACAAAAACGAAATATCTAAAATACTGTCTATGAAATCTTGTCACGTGGGGAGTAGGACAAAATCGATAATAGATGGATGACCGAATGCATGTTGGAAAACAGAGTCACGTGTCTTGAGTGCTGGTCACGTGGTTGAAGCCTATATTATTGGATCTCGTAGGCTTTTAGCCTTCTACAGTAACCACTAGTGTCTCTACTCTCTATATACTACAACAAGTCTACAAGCTCTTCAAGAGGAGACCAATCTATATATAGAGACACTATGGGGCCACGATTTTATATCGTTAATAACGACTATCTTGTTTCAATAAACTGTTATTTAAAAAAAGTTTGTATACAGATTACATCTGTATATATGGATGATGATGATGGGTTTAACAATGCAAAAAAAGACTATAGAGCCATGGAGGACCGAGCCAGAGAAAAGAAATTTGATTGGTTCGTGTGTGGTAAACCCATACAAACACACAAACCTAAGCCATTTCGGGAACTCTGCCAAAGGTGTGTCTTTAACACACAAAACTAGCTTACTTTTTCTCTTTTGTGCGCTCTCTGCTATAACAAATCATGAGTTGCAACTTAGCATACTCTAGTATCATCATAGATGTAACTTTCAAGACAGCATTCACTTTTCCAAGCTAAATCCATAGCTGGAAACTGATTAGAATTATACCCCGAATGCTGTAAGTGAGTGGAGAAAGGGAACAAAAGAGAGAAACCAAAGTACAAAGTGGATAGAGACAGGTGAAAGAGGCTTACGGGGTTTTGTACTTATAAATACAAACTCTTGCTGGTCCAATCTTCTCTTCTTTTTTTTTAATATAGACTTGATAGTCTATGTAACCTTTCCAGACTTTTCGTACTTTTCACGTACAATTATCATAATAAGTTTGGAGAAATCCTGACACTTAAACATGTGATTCAAACACCAAACCGATGACCAAACAGATCCAACAGCATTAATGCCTAACCGAACCTTCTTTGATTAACAAAGCAACAAACAATAAAGAAACAGCAACAATGCAAAAACAAAGAAGGAGAGAGAGAGAGAGAGATGTGTGGTTAAAGTCTCTGAATACTGCATCATTTCCGAAACTCAGAAAACGACAAAATAAAACTAATATGAAAACGAAGAAAAGTTTACAATCTAGAATTTAAAAAAAAAAATATCACATGAAAGAGACAGCTTAGATAAGCTTCAACGTGGGGAGAGCGCAAATACACACAGAGCATTTGAGAGAGAGAGTGAAAAGAATCTGTTTCCTAATGTACGACCCACGCGCACCCTTTCAGCGCGTCAACCTCACTCTCTCAACTCTCAAGTGAAGGAGATACCACAGTGAAGGAGATTCCAATCCCATTGTGTAAAAATGTCTTATGTCGATGAACCCTAGAAAAACCCTAGAATTGCATTAACGATAACAGAGATTCTTTATCTACACACCATGGATTCTAAAATCTTTTAAAAAAAAGCTCTGTTAAAAAAATAAGATTTGTTGACAATACAGTTAACAAACCAAAAAAAACAGGATTACCACTAACTACTGTTGATCTCATCAAGAAATGTTTAACTCTCCGGTTAGATTCGATCGGTGGAGTTACGACCTCTACTGATACCACCGTGATGGTGGTGATGAGATGACGCTCTGATGTTGGAACTACTCCCTGTTCTATTGTGTTGCGACGAAGCTGAATTCGTCGAAGAGAAAAACTGGCCGAAAATCACTGAACCGCCTCTGATTGAACAAACCGGGACGTTAAGAACCGGAGTCACCCTCACGTTTGAGCTGTACGATCTCTCCATTCCTCTGTGTCTATACCCACTCGTTCCGCCGTTGAAGCTGCTCGGGCTGCTCGAGCTTCGCTCAAGGCTCTGGAACACGATTTTCCCTGACGAGTTTAGCCTCGGACTGTCTACAGAGACTCCCCTGCTCATCGCCGACTGAGACGTCTCCTCCACCGAGCGACGATTCGTGCTTCGTCCCACTCTCCCTCCTCCGGTTGTTCCTGCCGCCGTGTGGTTGCTGTCACGTGGCTTCACCAGCCTCATTCGCGGCGGATTTGGGTTTAGGCTTCGAGCTGGAGCGAACGGATTCGCGGTGACGTTGTGGTTGAGGTTGAGGACGTGGTTGGGTCTCTCCGCGTCGAGGGAGAGCCTCGGGATGTCCTCGTGGTCGTGGCCGGAGGAGGAGGAGGAGAGAGACATACGGGAAGAGGATAAGGAGAGAGATTCGCAGTCGGAATCCTTCAGGAGAGGAAGGTTGATTAACGAAGCGTCGGAGGAGGAGGATCCAGACGACGACGATCTGGAGCTCCGATGCAAAAATTGCTTCAACGACGAAGTAGACGATCTCGGATTCGAATGAAACGACGTCGTCGATGCGGGTTTGCTATTCTGAGAGAATCGCTTGAGTCCTAACAACTCTCTCCACCTACTCGAGCACCTCGGCGCTTTCGGAGAAAACAAGCAACTATCGGCGCCGGAGATCTCCATCTCCACTTCCATTCTCCTGCATTTCCCGCCGGTCTCCGTCGTCTGTTGCTTCGTCACGAGCTTCCCGTCGGAGAAAAGCTCGTCGGCGGCGAGCATCCCGACTGGATCCTCCAACCGAAACTCGAAATCACAACCGCCGGCCGGCTCTTCCGCCGGGGACTTCGGTGGAGTCTGTTTCTGCATCTCCGACGCGGCGGATCCAGTACTCCGAGCTTCTTCACGGCTGAAGGAAGCTCGTGGGTTGAAATATCCGTAAGTAGGAAATTCCTGTGAGACACCAACATTGTTGATACAAGCTGAAGCCATCGCCGGCGTTCATGCAACAGACTATCGCCGTCCCGGAGAATCAACGGCCAGATCTAACGAAAAAAAAAGAGCAGAGAGAGAGAGAGAAGAGAGAGGTTTTGTTAGTCACGATTGGGTTTGCTTTGGAGCGTTGTGAGTTTGTTTTGGAGAGTAGGGGCCACGTAGCGAACAGTAAATAAACGATCCAGGTGGCGCGTGCATCTCACTCATAGCCCTCGCAGGGTATTATCGGTATTTTATCATTGCTCTGTTGAAGTAGTAATTAACCAAAGGCAGATCATATCGGATAACGGCTAATTACACGGATTATAACTTTTTGATTATCATAATTAGTCTTTTGGTTATGGAAAGTGTATTATCTACTATCCTTACATGTATTGGAAATTTCCAAAAAGTTTATTTTGTAAAGTTGGAAATAAAAGTTGGAGGTTGGGAAAAAAGCATGAAATCATTAATAAGAGGATCACGTGATGTAAGGGGTGCTTTTGATTATCCAATACATATTCCTATTTTGGCCAAATGGGAATATTTTTTGAGAAATATACGAATCTGTTAGAAATCATTGACAGGTAGAGCGATTAACTGCATTCTTGCTAGAAAATCCGACGGATAAGATTGGCACGAGAATGAGAAGCGAGAGAATCGGGAAAAATTGACTATTCACTGCGAAATTTCTGTTTGATATGAGAAAATAGACAAAAGCGGTAAGTTTTAACTATGGATATTTTAATTTGTGTTCATTGTATGGTAATTGCTTCGAATAAAAGAAAATAATATCACTCTTTGAGATTTCGAAGAGAGCAGCAAATGGTATTTATTTGTACACGTCTTTAATGTTTTATTCGGATTATGGTATCGACTATGGACTATTGAGTGGTGCAATGTGTGTGTGTCTCTCTTTATCTGGTGTTGCGTCCATTTTAGTATGGACTCAAGAGTAAATCAGGGTTTAAACCACTGTCCTTTTGTTAGCAAATATAAAATCCGTTGCACATGACACCGATCAACAGTGTTTTATGGCAACCACATGAATTTAAAGGGAATAACATGAAGGTACATAGTTTGTCTCAACACTTTCTGAGTTCCAGTTCATTACTTTCAATGATTTCCACATTTGGTGTAACCAGTTTCAATGCCCTTTTTGATGTGCATTATCGTCGAGTTAATGAATTATCAATAAGAAAAGAAAAACCCGAATTTAGTGAAATAGTATGCAGCTGTGAATTTACAACCCTGTCGAAAGCAACCCCTAATGAGATGATAAATGATTCGTTATTATAAATCAAGAAAATATCCCATCCACCATGATCAGTTGCTACTTCATATACTCTAACCGCAGGATTGTGAAACCCTAAGAAACAGAAACTTAGGAGTCATCACCAGAATATCATAGGCTTTGTGTACATAATTGTTTATGTTTGGTTGTTTAAGAGTGATTTTGAGTTAACACTTCTGCTTAGATATGGTTTGAATAAGGATAGCTCCTTAATCAGATGGTTTAGCACCCGTTAGTCACTTTCAATATGATTAAGTGAATATTGCAAGGAGACAATTTTTGTTGAATATAAAACTAATTTACAATAAGTTGGTTTAAATAACGAAGAACATCATTTGCAAAAAAGAAAATGGCATGTGTTGTTAAGTTAAGTGTAAGATGGAGTGCCAAAGGCTAATTTCATTACAAGAAGTCAAGAACTTTTACTTTTCCACGGAAGCCTTTACTTAACTGATTTGTCTCCGTTTTAATCTCTTGTCCGAACGAAACTTTACTCTTTTGTGATTGGCTGGTTATTATGCTAACTCTACAGCATATTTTCGGTATGGATGGAATATTTATATTTCTCTGATTATTTTTTGATTACCGAAATATATTAACGAAAATAATTATTTTTAATTCGAATAAAAAAATTGGGGTTCTTCTTCGTCTTTCGTCTTTTCGACTCTCTGCTTAAACCCAGAAAATGGATTTGAGCCTAGTGTTGTCTCCGAAGCCAAGTCCCTGCTTCAATCCTCTTTCTCCTCTCTATCCATTCACACCATGTTCGTATTCGCCGCCGCTCCGGCTTTCTTCTTGCTACTCCAGCCGATTCAATTCTCTAGTCACCGTCAAAGCCGCGAAAAAAACCTCTCAGAGCATCCGTTCGGAGTTCGATGACAGTATCAACGGCGATTTCTCTCCCGACTCTGATTCCCGCTTCCTCGACCGTGTAATTTCATTACTTCTCCCTCTTTTTGATTTAAACATGTGGTCTCCCATTAACACCTTTAGGTTTGGGTCTCTATTCATGGGATTAGCTTTGACTATTATCTATTTGGGTATTCATATTCTGAGCTGAAATTCTTAAAATTTCGGAGGCTGTTCACAGTTTACTACATATGCTTGGAAAAATTGTGTCTGAACTTGCTGAGCTTTGGTCATTTGGTAACTCAGAGAGATAGTTATATCCGTGTCTGTCTGTTAACACGTGTGTCTTTATTTCCAGAATGTCTCGGCTCGTCTTGTTTGATCAGTAGTAGTAGAGCACCTAGGAGTCTATAAGGAAATTTGATTTCTCTCATTTTGCTCTTCTTCTTGTGGACTCCTTTTTTTATTTCTAACAAACTTTTGTTTACAGCAAAAGGCTTTAGAGGCAGCTATGAATGACATAAACAGCTCCTTTGGCAAAGGAAGTGTAACAAGATTGGGAAGTGCTGGTGGAGCACTAGTGTGAGAATCTCTAATAGCATGTCACTACACATCTTGATTCCACTATCTTTTGTTTGATTTTATTGAAGAAATGATTGTGTAATTTCGGTCTGTATTTGCAGGGAGACTTTTCCGAGTGGTGTTTTGACTCTTGATCTTGCCTTAGGCGGAGGCCTACCAAAGGGTCGTGTAGTCGAGGTATGAGCTTACTGGAATAAAAATGCAGAATTTTGATGATAGAGAATTGAAAACTGTGACTTCTATGCAGATATATGGACCAGAAAGTAGTGGCAAGACCACACTAGCACTCCATGCAATTGCTGAAGTGCAGGTTAACTTTTCTTTTAAACTACTTCCATCAGAAACTTTCGTATCTTTGTATGTTACTAAAAACATAGTTTGGTGGTAACTGTGCAGAAAGCTGGAGGCAATGCAATGCTTGTTGATGCAGAGCATGCCTTTGATCCAGCATACTCTAAAGCATTAGGTGTTGATGTAGAAAATCTGATAGTGTGCCAGCCAGATAATGGCGAGATGGCTTTAGAAAGTAAATCCAAAACATTCTCAAACTTTTTGTATTGTGATATGATTATTTTGTCATGTGTGTGAACTAACATGATCTTTTTATTGTTATTACTCAACACAGTCGCAGACCGTATGTGTCGTTCGGGTGCGGTTGATCTTATATGTGTTGATTCCGTCTCAGCACTAACCCCACGAGCCGAGATTGAAGTATGACATCTTCTCTTTCCCTGAAGTGGTATGAAACTTTTCTGAATGGAACTTGTTTTTAATCTCGCGTTCATGTGCATAGGGTGAGATTGGGATGCAGCAAATGGGGTTGCAAGCTCGTCTGATGAGTCAAGCTCTTCGGAAAATGTCAGGAAACGCCTCTAAAGCTGGTTGTACACTTATTTTCCTAAACCAAATAAGATACAAGGTGATTATTATGACTAATCACTCACATTATTATGGTTGTATATAATAAGATAAGCATGTTGTGTTCTTGAACTAACAAGTGGTGTTCTCTTTTGTTATCAAGATTGGTGTGTACTATGGGAATCCAGAGGTGACTAGCGGAGGAATCGCGTTGAAGTTCTTCGCTTCGGTCCGGTTAGAGATTCGTTCTGCTGGGAAGATCAAATCTGTAAGTATAACTGCTTTGTAGATTATATATATATATCTTTTGTGGTTTGATTCTGTTTTTTGAAACTGAAATCATTTCTAATGCCTAATTACTGATTTTAAAGAGCAAAGGGGATGAAGATATTGGTCTAAGGGCTCGTGTAAGAGTGCAGAAGAGCAAGGTTAGTAAGAGTATCAAGGCAAAACATGTCCTTAGAAAGTATTGTACAAATAAAAGTGACTTTGCGCATCTCTTTTTGTATATATTGCAGGTTTCAAGACCGTATAAGCAAGCAGAGTTTGAGATTATGTTCGGGGAAGGAGTCAGTAAACTGGTATGTATATATCCATGGCTGATAATTTTTTGACAAGACAAAAACGTTTTTCCTATGGTTTAAACTTAAGCATAAATTTTGTAGGGATGTATTCTTGATTGTGCTGAAATTATGGAGGTTGTGGTTAAAAAGGGTTCTTGGTATAGCTACGAAGAGCAAAGGTCAGGACTTTTACATTGAAAACTCAAGACTTTGCTTATGTGATAGAAAGTGGTTACAGAGTATTTTGTTCTTGGGGTCTTTGTTGTCAGGCTCGGGCAAGGAAGAGAGAAAGCATTGCAGCATTTAAGGGAAAACCCTTCTCTTCAAGACGAGATTGAGAAAGTTAGTTTCCTCTGTTCTGATGATTGAAAAAAATCAATCCTTTTCACAAATGTGAATTTTACATTTTTACTTTGATTCATTCTCCTTATTTGTTTGTGGATTTTTTTTTTTTGGAAATGGTGTTGCAGAGAGTGAGATTGTTGATGTTAGATGGAGAAGTGCACCGATCAACACCTTTGTTTAGCAACAGCTCCTCCTCTGTTTCAAATCGTGAAGAAGAAGAAGAAGACTCGCTTGATGGTTTCCAGTGACTTTAGGATCTAATCCAATCAAAATGTTCCCTTGTTTCGATTATCATCATTTAAAACTCCAAAATGGTTTAGTATATGTTGTATTCAAGCTCAATTTTTTGTGCGCCGGAAATGGAGAGATGAAAATATATACAAACACTAGCAAGTCTTTATAAATTTCTGAGTTTTTAACAAGATTACAGAAGAAGAAAACAATAATAACTGAAACACATTTATAGAAAACACGAGAACATATGTCTTTTACCAACTTAAGAAGATTTACTGAGCCAAAGCACTCGTGTTGTACACAAGAAGAGCTCCTCCGGCGAGAATTCCGGCGAGTGTCACCGCCCAAATTGCCAAACCGGTCAGTCCACCCTTGTACGTATCACCACCTGGTGCCCACTCCTCCTCGTTGTAAATAGGACTGTTCCAAAAAGAAATGATCATAATCATTTTCTCAACAACATATGATATGATCCAACGTATAATAAACTAAAGTGATGAAGATTGTAAATTCACCTGTATCCATCGACGTTAGCTCCGTACTTGTCGACGAATTTGTAAACACCGTATCCCTGAGATTTAAACGACACCGTTTTAGAGAGAATCGACTTTAAATTAAGTTAAGACAAACGGCATGACTATAAACGACATCGTTTACTAACCTTGCCCTTTCTGCCGGAAGCGTCGACGCCGTCCCTCAAGTCCATGCTGCCGTTAACTCCTACAAACCAAACCGATTAACGGAATAAGCTTAACACTTTAACGGTAGCGTTGATGTGAATATGTAAGTGAATCTAAGTGTGTGTGTGTGTATACGGACCAAAGGGCTTGTCGGTTTTGATCTTCTTGACGCCACTGGCGACGATTCTGAAGGAGGAAGGAGAAGCTCTTGTGAGCGACGGCAATCCTCTCGCCGACATCTTCTCCACCGTGAAACCCGCAGGTTTCAACGTCACCGATGAAAGCATCACTGAAGCAGCCATTTTTCTCACCAGATCGATCAAAGTTTTCTTCTCTCTGTCTCTCGCTCGCTGCTTGTGTGTGTGGTATTCAAATATGGAGAGAGGAGATGCGATAAGAGTGATTCTGGTCCTGACACGTGGCTGCTTTTGTGTGGCTGTAGTAGGGATATCTTCCTTAACATTATCTTCAACTGGTTAAAGGAGATTCTTCGTCAGTTTTTCTTCACTTCGTTGTGCCACGTTGGACTTTTAATAACAGTTTATTGCTATTTTCAGTTGTGGCCCGTATAAATGATAGTTTACTTAAAACAACCCCACTAGTTTGTCTTAGACTCGCAATGTCTTCCACGTTGGAGATCTTGTCTGCACACTGCACATTGTGAATTGCCAAGCCGTGAAAGGAAACGCAGATCGGTACAATAAACTTGTTTATAGCCGTGACTGCTTCCAACGACCAGCGTTTAGTAACCGCGTTTATAGCTCGTTGGTGTTGACAAAAAAAACATACGTAGAAGATGTTGTTGTTTCTTTGATGATTAAATAAATGACAAATGCTCCTTTAGTTATGGCTTCTCCATAACTGGAAACATCAATAAACTTGACCAGTGTCTAGATTAGAAAAAGGTCTTAGCAACAAACAAGTCCTAATCAAAATTACTAATATATAAATCCGTATAATATAATACAGGGAATATATGATTGTACACAAGGATCTGGTCAATGTTTTTTGTTTCTCTCTATAGTTTTCTACTAGAGACATTAGAAAACTATCAACTAGGGTACTAATTTGTAAGATATATACGAATCAAATTCATTTAAAGTAATACAATTGGTTGATCAGTCGATGTGTTAGCTACACGTCTAAGTCGCAAGAGAAACAAATATATAAATCTATATAAGTTAAATAAAAGTGAGTAAGGTTACAAGCTACCAATTTCATATGTTCAATCTAAAATCTAAATAGCACCCACCACGATTTAAATATTTCTGTTTTTTTTTCCAGAGACTGCTTCTATAGTTCTATTGGATGTTGACCCAACATGTAATTGATTTGTTTTCTAAAGACTACAAGTAACAATTAACTTTTAAGTCAAATGTCCTTTTAAAATTATTGGCCGATCACATATTCCGGTTCCGGTTTAGATATAGACTAATTTAGATACTGTACACACACACACACACATCATACAGTCAAACTGTAAGCACATCTAGATACAGTTTAATTGCATTTGGACAGAAAAAAAACAACTCTAAGTATTTCATTTGGTATTATTTGTTGTATTCACATAATCCCAAAAATGACACTATGGATACAGATAATGGAACACGCATGCTTAACTAATAATGTCAAATGAAAACAAACAATCTCTTCATAACAACTACAGGGGAAATGATCACATGTTCTAAAATCAAAACTAAATTTATATTCCAAATCAAATTCCACAAGAATATTTCACCGATACCATCATATACTGCCAAATGAAGAATTGAAACATCAGTTATTATATAAGTTGTTTTCTGATAATCGATAAATCCAAACCGAAGTTGGTATTCAACATTTACAGATTAAACCGGACTCAACCGGTTTTAGCTTTATTGTGGCAGCCGCAGGAGATTCACACTCTTGGAAGTAAAGTGGGACCCAAATGATTATACTACTACTGCAGTAAGTATGTTCATTTGATTTAACACAACAAACACAAATTAATACGCCAAAAACCAAAGCTAATTAATAATTAACGACTTAACAACATCGCCTTCTTCTCTATGGATTATATCTTCTCTCTATATACGTGAAACTTTGTCGTCTCTCTCCTCCTCCTCGAAGCACTTTTTGAAACTTTTCAAAGTTTTGTTTTTTCGCTTTTTCACGAGCTCTTTAGGGTTCCTGGAGCTTTAATCTTAACACTGCCCCTACCCAATCTACTTTAACTAGAGCCCATTTCCTTACTTTTATTCATCACTCTCTTTCTCTTTCTCTCTCTCCCGGGAAAGTCTTGTCGGTGGTGGTGTTTCTCCGACGAAGCTATTAAGTCGCCGGGAAATTACTATGATTAGCTAGATTTTTCCTGGATCCGATCAGAGGATTGGGTTTTGAAAAGTGGGACCGTGGTGGTGATTAAGGGAATGTCTTTGAATGAAGCAAAGACTAGTTTTTGCTAATTAAAGGGGAAATAAAAGATTCGATTTTTTTTGGGTTGTTTCAGATATTGCGGAGCTTTTTCTTTTTTAATCTGTTGTTTTTGGGGAAACTTGCATGTGAAGGGATTTGCGTTGAACGAATAAGCTTGACTACTGTGTGTTTTGCTTCCATATCTTCTATCTGAAGTTTATGCGGCAATTCTGTTGAAATCAAAATCTATGATTGAGAAGCTAGCGATGACGAGTCTCTCTTTGCTCTGTTCTCACACCATTCAGTCTCTGTTTCAAGCGGTCAAACCTTGAATTAAACGTCTTTATGAGCTAACTCCGAGCCTGAAGTTGTTGGATTTGAGAAGCGATGGAGGATATTGGGTTGGTTCAACAAGGTTGGAAATGGATGCAGTCTCAGAAACATATGTGCTCGAGTGCTTGTTCTGCTCTGCGGTGTTTTGCGGAGAAGACTGGAGAGTTCGTGGAGCGTCACTGGCCGTTGGTTTGCAGTGGATGTGGGAAGCTATTAGGGCTGCTTCGTCTGTCGATTGTTTATTGGAAAGATTGTATCTTGAGGGGTTTCCATTGCAGCTCCAAATTAGGCTCAGCTGCTTTGCTTCTGATTATGTGGAGTTGCTTCCTTAGCTTGACTTCTTTATCTTCCCTGGTTTATGTTCTTCTCAGTATGGTAACGTCTTTAGATCTTTTTCCCCTTTTCTTGTTTTCAGATCTTTATATATGACTGTGTAACTGATACTGAAACTTATCTAAGATGCTATTTTGATTTAAAGTCTAGATTTTTCTTGGAGATTCGGTTGACTTGAGTTTGAGTTTCACCTTACAATTTGCAGGGAGCTGCTGCTGCTGTTGTTCTGAATTTGGGTTGCACTCCTGGTCTCTTCATTGTAGGACTATTTGGCATTTTGGTTTTGTGGATGTATGCAAACTTTTGGATCACCGGAACATTATTTATAGTTGGAGGCAAGTTTCAACGATCTATTGTGCTCTTACTTTCTCATTCAATTGAAGTTATGATCAATTGGCCAATGAGTCAATCTTATGCTTGATCTTTACTATCTAAATGGTGTTAAATTTCTCTGATTTTGAATGATTCAGGCTATTTATTCTCTTTGAACCATGCTCGGCTAGTGGTTCTGATAGCGACAGTGTACGCAATGTATTGTGTGAAAGCCAGACTTGGATGGCTTGGTGTATTCCTCTCAGTGAATCTTGCTTTCTTGTCCAACGATGTGTTAAACTGTCTTCTTCAGTGGTGTGACAATATAAGTGAAAAACCACAGCCCGAGGAGACAAAGAAACACGAGGAAACGATCATAGAGGAAGACTATTCAGGGGAGTTCGAGTATCCTTCAGTTCCTGTAGAAGAAGAAGAAACCGAGAGAAAGGTTCACGAGAATAAGTCGTCTGCTGAGCCAACTGCTCCTACTACAACTGTTGTTAACAGCGTGAGGGAGATTTCTAGTGTTAAGATAGTCAAGCTAGAAACAAGTTCAGATAATGAAATGAAGAGAATACTGAAAAGTTTGAATCATTATGAAGCGTTGGGGTTCCCTCGGCATAAGAAGATCGATGCCGCAGTGCTTAAGAAAGAGTATAGAAAGAAGGTTTGTTCCTTGTTTCCAATGCTTGAGTAGGTTTAATGCAATTTCTTTGAAGGTTATTGAAGTACTGTATGTTGCTTTGTTTTAGGCAATGTTGGTCCATCCTGATAAAAATATGGGAAGTCCTTTGGCAAGTGAATCATTCAAGAAGCTTCAATGTGCTTACGAGGTATAATCTTGAATTTGTGATTGTGATGTTTATGTTCTTGCCTTCTTGGTATATTCCGATATACTTGTGTTTGAATTTCTGTATGTTTCTCAGGTTCTTTCTGATTTTGTAAAGAAGAGAGATTACGATGAGCAATTACGGAAAGAAGAGTCTAGGACTAGGAGTGTTTGTCAGACATCTCATGCTTCTTCACATCAGGTTTAGTTACCACTTTTTCTTCTTCTCTTCCATGTGATATCTTTTGGTATGTGGTCTTGTGCTCCAATTTTTGTATGTTCTTGTTTATTTATATACAGAGTGGTCCTGATTATCGATCAGAAGAGTCAAGGAGGATACACTGTACAAAATGTGGTAATTCACACATATGGATATGCACTAATAGGACTAAAGCAAAGGCAAGATGGTGCCAGGTGATAAATCCAACCAACTCCAGAACTCTCAAAGCATAATCATCTTTGCATCTTTGTTATTTCAAAGTCTGTATTGATAATCTAAATCTTTTAAATGTAGGATTGTGGTCAATATCATCAAGCAAAAGATGGAGATGGTTGGGTCGAACTCAAAGGGACATTACCCTTTGAGAGAGCACATAAGGTTAGTAAAAGCTTCTTTCTTTCTTTCTTTGTTGCTTAAAATGATGCAACTCAACAACTTTGTTTTTTCATGTCCTTGAAGATTGAAATACCGCGTGCTTTTGTCTGCGCGGAAAGCAAAATCTTTGATGTCTCAGAATGGGCTATTTGTCAGGTTGGTTCTCTTACCGGTTTCTTTGTGGATATTTGGAGATGATTGAGATACATTAACGTGTTTTTGATTTTATATAAATAGGGAATGGCTTGTAGACCAAACACGCACAGGCCAAGCTTTCATGTGAACATGGTTGGGTTAGAGAAGACAACACAGAGATCAAACTCAAGTAGGTTCCCTTGGGATCTAGATGTTGAAATGATGGATGAGGATGAAGAAGAGTTTGAGCTGTGGCTTCAACAAGCTCTTGCTTCTGGTCTCTTCTGTGAAACCTCAAAACGCAGAAAAAGCTGGAGCCCTTTCAAGTTAAGCCAGATGAAAAGCAAGAAACAATGGCGAAGAACATCCACTTGATTCAGTGAATGCAAAGCTCTTAAAAAGATCATTTTTTTGAGGGGTCTTTCTCTGTAAATAGAATCTGTAGATTTGTCTTCTTCCTTTCACTGTGGTAAACAACTTAAGAGAGGATTAAAGATGCTGTTTTTTATAATTTTTCCAAGTAATGTGTACATTTGAAGGCAAGCTCAAAAAAGAAATGCTAATGATTACTACATTTATAAAGTTTCATTTTTTTTTTCTGTTCCCATTTGGATACTTTTTGGGGAAAATAAAAATTGAGAAATCGAACCCGAATTTACCAAAGTTTTCCCTCCTTGTATTGTTGTTACTGACGACGAATCAAGAACGTCGACGAAATTTTTTAATTTTTTTTCCTACCCGAGCTTTTCTCTATTCTTCGATTTTGACTTTCTGGGTTAATCACGGAAAGAGTTTCCTTTTTTGGTACCGCCACAAATTTTGTCCGGAGAGGGAAAAAAAAACCCTAGAAACTGGGATTTTCCGACGACGAGGGAGAGAGATTTGGAGATTTTGGGTATCAAATTTGATTTTTTTTTACTCTCGTCTCATCCAGATTCAAAACAAAAAACCCTAACCCTAAATCCCTCATTCGATTGCTTCACTGTTTTATCTGAAAACCTATTAATTTCGTTGTCTTTGTTCTGTTTTCCCTCCGTGTAAACGATTTTCGAATATTACAGATTTTGCTTCTTCCTGTCTTATTGGAGCAACACAAGCATATATAGTGTCTGTGTATATACACACTTGTAAGTTGTGAGTAGAATTGTTGGGAGGTGTAGAAGTAGAAATGAGTAGGCTCTCTTTCCGGCCACGGCCATTGGACATTCACAAGAAGCTTCCGATTTTGAAATCGTTCAAGGACTTTGAAGACGACGAGACGCCAACTTCTACTACTAGAAACTCCCAGCTTCTCCGTATAGCTTCCATTGAAGTTGATCATGAGGTGAATTCCCAAACTTTGATCACCATCGCTAGTGTGAACTCTTTGTCTTTGCATTTTTGATTCTATCTGCATTATGTTTTCAGGTGCATCCGACGCCAACCAAGAAACTGGCTCCAGAGATACCAACGCCTCAATTTGTTATTGTGGACACATATGAAAGGGATTATTCTCCGACTTTTGGCCAACCTGCTTCTTATCTACGTGCAAGAGGAGGTACGATTTACATCTGGTTTTGATTTCGTAACTCTCTTCTTCTCCAATGGAAGTATGTAAGTGTGTTTTAAAATATGCAGCTCGGTCTGAGCTTGGAGAATTTGTGGAGTATGATCTTGACAATGAGGATGATGACTGGCTTTATGAGTTTGATAAGGATAACAAAGAGCTCTCACCTGAAAAGTAATGTAACCAATCAATCTATCACATTCTATACATTGTTCTTTTTTGTTTTGTGATGGACCACTTTGCTCTGTATACTCAAATTGATTGGATTCTGGTAAATTGTTTGAAACAGGCTTGAGGGGATTATATTTAAACTTGAGGTGTTGGATCACAAAACGCGGGAAAGAGCTGGAGTTATTGCACCTACGCTTGGTTCTCCGGTTCCTGTGCTTTTGCAGCTTGATGCTGCTATTGATGTATTCCTTTTTTACTTTTATTTGTGTTCCATAGTCTTTTGGATTATCCTGAAACAGAAGCAGTAGATGATATTTAAATGGTTCTTGTTTTCTTCTTATTGCAGGCGCTGCAATCACTGTCGATTAATTATGGAGTCTTTCAAGCTATCTTCAACTACTGGAAAGACAAGGTTTGAGATCTTAAACCTTGTGTAACATCATTTGATTACTATTGAGTTTTCTGGATACAGATGTTATGTGTGAGATAAAGACTGTTTGACATATTATCGAGTTCTTGAAGCCTATGCATAATCCTTATGAATGACAAAACCAGATCAACATACGAAGCACGTTTGGCTAAGACTAATGCAGGTGTTTCATTTTCTATTTTTACGTAGCGCAAACGATGGCAGAAACCTATCTTGCGGCGCTTACAGGTACAAATAATTAGTTTGGTTTGAAACAATTAATGTTGGAAGGACAATGAGTATAAAATGTTTTTGCTTGTTTGTTTGAAACAGCCACCTCCACCTGTCAATGACACCAATCCATACAATGTGTTTAGGCCAAGGGAGAAAGCTCACAGACTGCACACAAGAAGGGTATGCTCTTATCATAAAACTTTTTCATATGTTTAATTTCAACTAGAGGAAGAAAAAAACTGATAAGACTTTTACTTCTACTGTAGATGCAAAGGAGAGAAAACAATGTGCAGTCATTCGAAAAGCTTCGACAGGTAAGCAAGTCACTTGAACATCTTTACTCTTCTTGCTCGGACCAGTCTTGCTTTTCTTGTTCACCTTAACAACGCCTTCTTATATCTTCTGGGATTATGTTATGATTCAGGTTAGACGCAATCTTGACCAAGCGAAGACCATTCTGGAGGCTCTCATTAAGGTGTTCTTTATGAAAGTTTTAAGAGTTATATGACTTGTATGTAACTTCATTTCACATCTTAACAAAAGCGTTGCATTCTCCAAATTCACTTATTCGATTTTACACATCCCACAGAGAGAAGAAAAGAAGAGAGATGTCATGGACGGTGAGGTTAGCCTTCAGAGAATCCAACTCCAATACAGGGTAACTACTACTAATCACTCTTCTTGTTAGAAATGCTGTCTTTTTGGTTCCTTTTTGATCTTTATCAAATCTATAAAAACTTCATCTTTTTGGTTTTTGTGCAGCATGAAACAGAGCTCTTGGAAGATAGCTTTGCTCTACCTGGATTTCCACCAACTACAACAACATCTTACAAATTCGGCTCAAGCGACGAAGAGTACATGGACTCAGATGACCACACTAGCGCCCGTGTACGCACAAGACCTTCCTTTATCCCTAATTCTCGTTTCACAAACTCAAACCTGAACGCATCTCAGCCCGGAGGCATCAAACAAGAAGTTAGAAGACGACACTCTCATAACGGATGGCTTCACAAACTAGTTAAAACCCTTCTTCTACCTCTCTTAGTTACTATAACTGATCACTTAAGCAAGCAAACATGTAATGGTTTTGGTTTTTGTTTTTGATCTCATTAGGATCCTAATGAACCGGTGATGCTGTTCACTAAACCGCTGGTTCCTGAGAAACTGGCAGCTGCAGGGATCGTTCCTCCAGCGCCGGATTCGTCATCGGGTCAGCCTCCAAACCGGTTTCAGGGGAGGATTGGGCGCGGTGGCCGGATTATATTCGATAGATGGAATCCTTTGATGCAGTCTCACATTAATTGCGGCAACTCTTTCTACATTGCTCCACAAAACCGGTCCACCAACTTCAATTGAAACATATTTCTTACAATCTTTCTTTGTAAAGAATTTTCGATCACACCAATGGTGATGAACAAGTGTATGCATAATGCAATAACTATTCTCTGCTTAAAAAGTTCTTGTAACTCTTTGCTGTTGTGTATGTTACTGGTTTTTACCGGTTAAGAGAATAATTCGGTTAATTCATAATCCGGTTCCGATAACCAACCAATAGCTTTTGTGTGAGGGACTAAGTTGTAATAATATATAAATTTTGGGGCAAAATTGGAATTTAGGGCTCTTTAATGATCTTAATCGGAGCTATTTCATTTTTGATTTGTTCTCGTCAATCGCAGTGAAGAAGGAAAGACCCTAAATCGAATTTTGGGTAGCTCCAACAATGGCGTCGATGCTGGCTCGCAGGTCGCTGAATACTCTCCGTGCTCGACATCTCGTATGGATCTCCTTCGCTCTTTCATTTCTCTGTTTTGGGTCGTTAATTTCGATTTGTTTGGATGCCTAGAATTGCGGAATGTCTCCTGGAGTCTTAGGAATTACACTCTCTGTGTTTCGTTTCGTGTCGATGGGATTCGAAATCGTATCTCAATTCTGAAGCTGTGTGATTTAGAGTTAAGCTTTTTCGCGGACTTCCTTAAATCTTAGATTGTTGTGCGATAACGGAATTTGATTGGAGTGAATTTGATTTAGCTGATCGATAAATCATATAGCAGAAGGGAAAATTTATCATGATTTAATCTCTTGGGCATGGTTTGTCACTCTTCTTCGAAGGAACAATGGGTTGTTATTGTTATGCGAGTCTCTATTATAGCATTTTTGCAAGTTAATTTTTGTTCTTGTGAAATTGTCAATCTTTGGTTTAGCTTCTTTCGGTGTGTATGTTATGAATACCTATTTAATACCTTCTCTTCATCGATAGGTTTTGTCAGGGCAAGCTTTGGGGGGATCTCATCTTTCTGCGCTGCAATCCCGTGGGATTTCGTATGGTAGCAACAAAGGTACATCTCCTACTTTTGTTTGGGGTTTCTTGGTGTGAGTCTATGGATAATTGGGAAGCATTGCCATTGTGGTCTTCACTGTTTTTAGATTTACTTACCAACTTGTATTACGACGTTTCTGATGCGTATATGACTTATGGTTTACCTCTGTAATATGCAGATGATGAAGAAGCGGAGCAACTTGCTAAGGAAATCTCCAAGGACTGGAATACTGGTAAAACTATATGATCTAGACTCTTCTGTTTCTTCGCCGTTTTCTTCCCTTAAATCTTGGAATCCCTGACATTTTTGTTACGTTTACAGTCTTTGAACGGAGCATGAACACCCTAGCTCTCACTGAAATGGTCCGCGGTTTGTCGCTGACCCTCAAGTACTTCTTTGATCCCAAAGTTACTGTGAGTGTCATCTTTCACAAGTCTTTTCAAAACTCAGTTTGAAAGAAACCTGTATGATTCTGAAGCTATAACTTGTATGCAGATCAATTATCCGTTTGAGAAGGGTCCACTGAGCCCTCGCTTCCGTGGTGAACATGCTCTTAGAAGGTATCCTACTGGGGAAGAACGTTGCATTGCCTGCAAACTCTGCGAAGCTGTGAGTTTCCAGATCTTTTCTAAAGCTTAACTTAACGTTCTCTTTGTTTATAAAAGCACTTGTAAGGAACCTTAGAACGTTGGTTACC